GTACTCATCATCCTCCAATATGGAGGTGTTCATCTTCCAGAACCCAGGACCCTTAGCCTCTTTGTCCACGTTCCCAAATTCTAAATAAATAGCAGAATGGTCAGTTCTGATGGCGGGGATTATATTTGTGGCTTTGACCCAGTCATGTAAATTGTTAGAAATCAACCAATAATCAAGGCGACAAAATATCGGCGAGATCGTTGACTCCAGGTAAAACTTTTAGTTTGCGGGTTTTTAACTCTCCATATATCTACAAGATCTAGTTGACTTTGGACATCGTCGATGAAATTTATCACAGATTTCCTAGGCGTCATTATGCCACCTTTTTTGTCCAATGTAGGATTCAGAGGACAATTGAAATCACCTCCAATCACAATATTTTCTTCTGAATCTAAATTTTCGGTCTGCAGCTTAGATAACACATTTTTGAGGAATTTAATGATGTCTTCGTCTTTGTTTGGTGCATAAATGTTTTCAAGAACATACATTTTATCTTTGATAGCGGCTTTAACAACGATATACCTCCCCGATGTATCTACAATTTGAGAGTGAATAACGCAATCAAGACCTTTTTTGATTAAGATTGCAACACCTCGAGAGTTTGAGCTCCCATGGGAGCAAATAAGTTCTGCACCCCATTCGTTTTTCCATTTTAACTGTGTTGACAATGTCGAATGAGTTTCTTGCAGGAATATTATATCCGAGTTTCGTTTTCGACACCACGTGAAAATCGTTCGCCTTTTTCTGAAATTGCTTAGTCCCCTCGCATTGAGAGATAGTAGATTAAGAGAATGATCGGTCATTAGAGCTGAATCGTGGAAGTGGTATTATAGAAGAAGTCATATAAAATGAAAATGAAATCGATGGTATAGCAGAGTGCAAGAAAATATAGTGCACATAAACGATAATATTCGCCCTAAAACAAATTATTAATCTACAGAAAAACATACAGTAACATATCAAGTAAGAAGTTTCCAGAGCATTCACATTTCTAATTAAACAAGAAGGTTAAATAGTTTAACACTTATTACACACATAAACCTTAAACTAAACTTAACTATTGATGTGCTGTCGCGCTGTGACCGCTTTGGCTTTAGTTTCCGCTGTTTCTTGTGTCCATAATGAGACCGTAGTATGGGAGGTTGGTTGTTTCTTCACCTCTGTAGATTTGCCCGTTTATAATTAGCTTATCAACTTTGAAATAGGCTGTTTGCTTTCTCTGTTTGGCCTTTTTCAAGATGGGATATAACGTTTTCTGTATCTCATCAATTTCCCGGGGGAAATCATTCGCGATTGAAATGTTAGTGTTTTTCAAGTTTTTAACAAAAGACCAAACATACTCCTTGTCTTGAAAGAAGCTAAATTTAGCTATAATAGGCCTAGGTTTGGAGTTCTGTCCTTGACTGGTATTTTTCTTAGTAGGGATGCGGTGAACGCGTTCGAAACGGATCTGTTCGGTATCTTCCTCTGGGATCTTAAGTTTATCGCGCATCACTTTTTTCAATTGATCTTCAGCAGAAGTTGACTCACCTCTTCCTTCTGGAATATTAAACACTTTTAGATTTTCACGTCTTGTGTATGCTTCTAACTTGATGTTGCGGCACTCAAGATGTTTTATTTTAGCACTGAGATCTTCCAGATTCTTTGCGTGGGTTTCCAGTGTTGCACACGTGGCGGTTGAAGACGAATTTAGGTCGTCGATGTCGGCTTGAGCGGTGTTCAGGCTTTCTTGTAAACTTTTATTTTCTTTTTCCAATTCTGCCACTCTATCATGCATAGCCTCTAACTCGCCGAGTCTTGTTAGCACTTTGTCGAGCTTTTCACTGACTTCATCTAGTTTGGCAAAAGCCCCACGACAATGGCCGTCGGCTTCGTCGAACGCATCTTCCCCGTCAGTCTGTGAGCCGCTTTCCCTTAACCTTTTACGACTATCGGCTCGGGCGTCTTCTTTTCCCATGTTATTTAAGCGAATGAAAGCCAAGCAGCCTTCGTTGATTACATTATTTAACAAGTTTTGAATTTCATCTAAAGGAGCTAGCAAGAACACGTCCGCCTTCGGCGAAGGCCAGGTTGAAAAATCATTACCTATTACCTATTATACTTGCAGCAATATTTCTCACTGGGAACTGTTCTTACAAAATCGTTCAGGGGAGCTCTCGATCTTTCCTCCAATAGTTGACGCGATGTTCGTGAAGTTAAAACGAAACTGTAAGAGCGTTATCGAGATATTTTGGGATGAAGTTTTTATGGCTAGAAATAAGGTAAAAAAGGAAAATCTTGATGTTTAGTCGCAATCTGAAGAAAAGGGAGCGCTTTTGACATGCAATTTCACCTCACAGTAGTTTCAATCTTATTAAAAACGTGTATGAAAGATCATGGAGATAGCTCCTGCCAATTGCTATAAGGAAGGATTTGATTAGCGCTCGATCTTGTTAGGGGTTTCGTAAACATTTCGGTCTACTTAAACAAATTAGTGAATAATTTTTAAACCCCTCGATAGATTTTTTAAAGAAAATTATTATTCTTCTCGTAATTCAAACTGAGAATTAGTCAGCCACTTCACTTTCAGACCCATTGCTGATGCGTGTTCTGCCACACACTGTTCTAGTAGCGGAGGTGATTCTAGAAAGTTATGCGGAAGTTTATTCTAATCAATTCATGACTGGAAATAGCCCACTCCAGCTAGTACAGTGAAGTACAGTGCCCAACAAAAAAAAAATTAGCATATGATACCCTTCCCTTATAAGCAGAAACTCATCATGTGCTAGGCAACCACTGTCTCGTGTGAACGTAACTGAATTATTACGCCGACTTCTGGTTATTTAAAATAGAAAATATTTATCTCTTCAAAATAATAATAATAATAAAAAACATGGAAACGTCTTTAAAAACTGGCTTTGCCCAAATTTTCCCTTGCTGCCCAAAAAATCTGAGTTGCCAAAACTTTGGGGGGGATGCAGCCCCTCTCGCCCCCCCCCCCCCGGCCCGTACGCCTATGTGCAGGCGAGAGTGAATTTTGACCAACACAAAAACATTTCACCTGTGAAGCACTTGATCATCAAGACGTTTAGCCATTTTATCAAGACTTACCCCGATTTTCCAGACTTTTTCGGGGTCTGGAAAATTGCTGGGCAAATTTTAAGACTTTCTCAAGAATTAAAGACTCTGTATGAACCTTGTTAATTTTATAAACAATACAATTTATAAGTAGGTGGAATAAGATCGTCAGTTGAAGAAAATGAAGAGGTTGCTTGCAGGCTGTAAATAAGTGGAAATAAGGTTTGAGCATACACATTTTTTTTTTAAAGAAATAATACCATTCCCCTAACACTAACCCTCATAAAAACATCCAGGGTCTGTGGATTTATTAAGTTACTGAGGTGGTTATTTCTGAACCAGCCCATAGACCTGTAGGCCCAACCCGCACCTACAAATTTTTGAATCGATTACTCTACAGCTTGTAATAAATTATTCGTTGTTGGGGTGATAGGTAAAAAGTTTAAGAGCTCAAAATGTTGGTGAGGTCAGTGTGTACTAGTCATGCCTGCAATTTTCAGGATATGTGGAAAATGAAAGTCAGCCAGGCATACAGCTAGTCAAAAAGCTGGCTATGCTCCTGAGTATGAAAACTCTCTGACTAGAGGTCAAATGCTAATTAATAATTAATAATTAATTAGCAAGAGAGAGATTTAGTTGGTTTATCTAGAATGTGAGATTATAATAATACATCCATCCAACAGGTTATCAGATAAGGCAAGGTTAACCTAAGCTTCATTATGATTCGAGTTAACCTGAGAGCAAACCCAATACACCTTTGACATGCAGTGGCCATTTTGTCTCAAAAGATTAAAAAAGCTTTATTTATGCATGGCTTGCCTCGTTCTCTCTATGAGGCTAGCCGTGCATAAACAAAGCTTTTTAAATCTCCTGAGAGAAGTGGCCATCACGTGACAAAGGTTCTAGCAGCTCTTGTGCATTCTCTCTTACATAGTTGCCATACCTGCTGCCAGATTTTTATTCACCACATGACCAAAAAAGAGCCTGAGCTCATGTTACATACTACCACAACATATCTTTAGGGTATTCAAAATTATTTTAAAAGAAATGGTCAAAATGATTACAAAATTCAAGTTCATAAGAAAGAAATCTGAGACACTAAATGTAGGGCATGGACTAATGCAATATTATCCCCTACTTAGCCCATATGCTGCCATTCAGTTGAACAGGCTAAAGAAAGAAAATTCACCATTTTTACACAGACCATAATGCAACTTGTTTATCCCCCAAATTTGCATAACCATTATCTTGAATATTTCTCTTGGGACAACTGTAATACCCAGGAGAAACTGGAAACAATGGTTTTACAAAGTTCTGGGGGCAACAAAGGTGGACTATGGTCTTAATATAAAAATGGTGAATACAGTACTGCTGTTCACATCATCCAAAGTTTTTCAATACAAAATCTAGCGTTGCTTAAGTTTCACTTACTGGTAACCTCAGTTTCAGTCAGCTCACACTAGGATAGACAGTGATAAATCGGATTACAAATTTTTTTGCCAAAAATGCTAGCCGTCTCCACCCCCTAAGCCATCTCTCTCCCCCTGCTCCACCCACAAGTATTCAAGGGGGTGGAGACAGCTGACATTTCAGATTAATAGCAGCAAGTAAAGGCTATTTCAGTTTGACAGATATAGGTCTACTAATTATAATTCTTAGGGTTGCTGTCATAGATTTGTGTTTTTAAGAGGACATGAGTGGATTGTATGAAATGTCTCAATACATTTTGCAGAAAAGAGACAAATCAAGGAAAAATGATGCAGCTACCAAATATATTTTAGGTTGAGTTAAAAATATGAAAAGCTCAACATTACTACTAACTGTCTGTCTAATATTGCTACATTAGCTTGTAATGACTGATGAAGATTGGATTCTGCTGGCACCTACTGGTGGGTGTAGTTGTATGCGTAAAATGTATGAAATCTTGTCTCACATAAAACAAGTTAACAAGTAGCTGAACTACTAGGTTCACCATTCATAAGAGCCACTGTGTCTGTAACTCGGATCAAAAGATCAGCTATTGCATCCTTATTTTCTTTTGCCCAAACTTCGTCAGCGAGGTACTTCTCAACTGCTCTCTCTGCCTCTTTGGGTTCTAAAGAAGCATCTGGCTCTAGAGGCAAGTGTACAGTGAAGATGATTGCCACGTGTTTATACGGTGCATTGTGATCATCGCAATATGAGTGAAACAACAGGGGTGCTGGTAAGGGGAGGAGCTCAAGTTGATGAACAAGTGCTACTCTGTGGCCTTCCTTAAACCTTTTCATTAGAAATTCATCTATCTCTTTCTTGGCTTTCTCACCAGGTAAGCTCCTTTCCTCTCTTCCATCAATTGTTGCTAACATTCTCCTGTGTTCTGGATCTAACCCCTCTGCAAGCTTCTTGGCAAAGCAGTCCACAGCGCTGTGAGCAGCTGGGGGTGCAGCTAGTAACAATACAAGTGGCTGAGGGGGACTGGCATTTCTGAGATGTGCCAAACCACGGTTCTTTATGATCCGCCAGAACCTGTCAGTTTGGTTAGTGAAAGAAGACTGAAGTTCCACGATCTTATTTGCAAAGATCTTAGTAAAGTTGAAACCCGGCGAAATAGGGGGAGGGTAAGGAGGAGGAGGAGGGATAGAGATAGCAACGACAATAACCAAAAAGAAAATGATGATGGGGATAACAGCCGACTTACAACTGTTCATTAAACTCGACGCTTCTTTGTCATCTTCGTCACCCTGATGTGATGCAGTTTCTTCTTCATTCTTTTGTTGAGACGCTGTTTTTCTTGTTTTGGTCCTGGTGACACGTTGTTGTCGGTTCTTGGTTTGAGATAGACCCTTCTTCTTTTCGCGGTCCGATTCTCCATTTACAAACTCACTTTCTGAACTAGAAAGCTCATCACCATTCTCTTCTAAAGGATCATTTTCCTTTCCTGTATTTTCATCTATTGCTGCAGGCGGTACGCCAACTTCCGCACCGTTTTTATCAGCAGAATTCTCTTTCTCAGTCTCTCTACGGGGCATTCGGTCATCAGTAAATCTTCCTAAGATTCATCAAACGTTTTCTTGGAAAAGTTCAATACCACACTTGTAACAAATTACGCGCGTTTTCCGCAAAACGTCCGCTAGCTGTCACGTACCCAGACGTCTCTCTCTCGATGAAAATGTGGGCGCAAAGGAAGGTGGGAAGGAGACAACGGCTGCCATCTGTACCCTTCTCATGGTCCCTTGCGGTTCATCACCAGTCACTCACGACACTGGAAAGAGGGAAAGAAGAGAGAAGACATTGGTATTAAAGAGATGGACAAGGTTGTTAATCTCGGCGAGTTTAATACTAAAGGCGGTTTCTGGCGTTCATCGTTCATTGAGAAAAATTCTGTAGATTATTTTATCCCATTTTTACCTTTAGAGAGATCTCATGTTAAAATGTGCGCAAAAGTAGACTTGGAAAAAAAAAGGACATCCAGTTACTGAACAAGTCCTCAACAGCATTGCAGATGAGCTATTATACTACCCAGAAGACTTAAAGGTCTTTTCTCAGTCTGGTTGTAAGAAAGTATCGAGCAAAGTTGACTATATCATGAATTAGATCAGACAGTGGTGTGGGTTAATTATAGCGATAAATAATTTTTCTGAATACAGTCCAACCCAAGCTTTTTTAAAAGACATTGAACAATAGAGTACTAAAGCGATGACGTCATAAAAATGAAATTTCTGAAATTATGAGATTTGTCAGGATATTCTGAAAGAACAATGTTGAAGAGGCCTACTTGCCAAAAATGAGCATTTGGGGGCAAATTGTCTCTGAGATCGTAGCCCAGTTATACTCAGAAAACTCCATACAAACCCTTCTAATTTTTTTTTGGGTGGACCCAAAAAAAATTTAGAAGGGTTTGAATGGAGTTTTGTAAGCATAACTGGGCTACGATCTCAGAGACAATTTGCCCCCAAATGCTCATTTTTGGCAAGTAGGCCTCTTGGACATTGTTCTTTCAGAATATCCTGACAAATCCCATAATTTCAGAAATTTCATTTTTATGACGTCACACTTTAGTACTCTATGGGTGTAACTTGGCTAAGAAAATTTTGTGTTGATTTTTCCTAAAAGGAAGCATCCCCTGGTAGCCTGTGAATGCAGACCTATTTCTTCCGCCGGGCTTTCAGACTGTGTACTGTTTGTAGAGGACCCGAAAATACTTTTCAGATGAAGCACAGACTGTTGTTTCTCAAACAGGGATTAGAACTCTATCTTGACCGGTCAACCTCCTCAACTTTTTAAAAACAGCATCTTTACTCTCAGAGGCCATGCAGCCCTTCAAGATGAGGTTTGTTTTTACTCTCAAAGAATCCACCTCAGGGGCTGACCATTTGACTTTTGAGGCGGGGATATGGGTGATATGGTTTGGATAAGATTTTTTCCCTAAACCTCTGGTGATAGAATTTTTTTCCTGACATACAACGGTGTAAGCTAGATTTTTTGCCAGCATTATACTAGTCCGTAACCCCCCGGGGGGGGGAGGTGCTTTAGGACGTTTTGGGTGAGGATGTGCCGCTGGGACCCTGGAACCGTTAGTCTATACCAGAGTAGACTAAACTCCCCAAATCCCCCCACCCTATCCTAGAGTAGCTGTTTTCCAGAAACAACTGAGGTCATTAGCACAGTCTAGCCAAAACAAAACCGATTTGATTTTTTTATATTCTTGAGTGGCAAATACCGGTTTCCCTAGACTAGACTAAAATCCCCTCGGGCCTGTACCCAGAGGTTGTTTTATTTTTCAGAATTTTTTTGGCCAGGTATTTCCTTGCAAGAATTTTTCCCCCTTGAAATCAGTTTGCAGGATATATATTCAGTTTAAAATCACCCATACCACCCACCCCCTCAAAAGGTGGTGGGCCCCTTTGCTTTGATGCTTTCTCGGAAAGGCAAACACACAAAACTTGTAACAGTTTACGCGCGCTTTTCAGGAAGCCATGCAAGTTCATTCAAGGGCAAGGTCTTTCAAGGACACAAGCAATTTTAAGTTTAACAGGGTAGGGGTGGGGTTCACAAATTCAAGAGGAGAGGACATGGAAATGGAAAGCATCTGAAATGATAGACATACAGATTCTTAGGAATGCCAATGCTATTTCCTCTACCGTGAGTCGGGAATTTTTTTCTACGATTGCTGAATGACAGATTCTGGTCCGTTCCTCCTTTCCCTTCCCCGCTCATAAAAGGTTTGTCCACTTCGGGCACTATGGGCAGCGGTTGTGCGAGAAAGAATAACATCACTACTCGTCCCTGACTCGTTATTTTTAGCGTTCAAGAAGAAATGCTCAGCTCTTGTTTTGTACTACAGCTCGGTTATTCCTTCAATCTCGAAGCACGTTTTTGTTCATAGAGGATAATAAGAAACGTTGATTCTAGCTTGAAGTTGATCTATCATCATGGCCGAGACGGTAAGCAGTTCAGCTTTACTCCCTGACAAACCTGATGTTATTAAGTTTTCCTAACTAGCATTAACCAGCTGAGCAAAGCTGAGTTTGTTTTCGGTGACTCGATTTATACATTATAGGCTTACGGTCTTTCCTCGCAACAAAACTTATGGTACGATTATAAAAGTGAAGTCTTAACGCCATGTTTTCCTCTTATTGAATATGTAGCATTTTCAAACATGTACTTCTTGCAGTAAGCTGCTGATTGCCATCGCCTGGCTTCAGTTAAGCTTATATAATTGAACTATATATAAAAGCTATTTGTGCAGCTAAAGGTTTATAAAAATTTCCATGAGGGTGACTGGATTGGAGAATGATTATCAATATGCTTCTACTGTATGAGCAACTTCCTTCTAAAGACAGCATTTGTTCTGTTTCCCCGGGGTTTATATGAAAGGTCATCCAAGGGCACAGAAAGATTGCAAAAAAATGATTGGAACCCTAAACTGATCACATGATTTTCAACCAAATGACCATCCTATCAGGCTGAAACCTTCATCCACGTTATGCCTCTGAGTACTGCTAGGCTATGGCTGGTATATATGGGACAAACAAAGGCACTTGCAATTGGCCCATAGGAAAAAATCCCTAGGTGAAGGAGAGATTTTTTAAAGAAAAAATTCCTAATGGTAGGTTTCAAAACTTTCTTAGGGGTTTGCCTGAGATGCTCTTATTTGGCTTGCAACTTGCATTAGATACTGGCAGATCTTAAAGGGTTACATTTCCATAGAAACTGTGGTGTTTTATAAGTAAGGAGTGGAGGGGAGGGGGGGGGTGAACTAGAAAGATTTGGTTTTATCAAATAAGCTAATAAGTTAGATTGTAATCTACCTTATTGACTTGGGTGCCATAGAGGATTCACTATGATGAAGGGTTAGTACTTGAAGTGCCAGCTGCTTAATCCTTCTACTGTGATCAATCTATCTTATTAACTCATTTAATAAAACCAAAGATGCCAGATCTTGTCTCATGTATGTTAACAACTGCATCGCTAAGTGGGGGTGGGTGCCCAGGATGTCCAGGGGCTCCCAGTTTTGGTAAAGCCAGCCTCTAGACAGTGTTATGCTCCCATGGGTAATAAACCTGCACCTTGCAGCAATGATCCCCTATGCCAGTGGAACCAGGCACCTGTCACATAAATATATCAGTGGAAAATAAAGGGAGGGAACAGGTGGGGGAAGGGGGGCGGGCAGAGCACAATCCAAAGGCTAAACAAAGCAAGTGGCTGCCATGAAAGAATAATGTGCTGAAAGCATGGAGCTAATGCAAGCAAGGCTGACTGCCCTTGCGCCACCACACTGACTGCTGACTGATAACCGAGGATTGTTGGTACTCCTTGTTGTTAACTGCACATGTTTAACGTCATTTAACACCAATTTAAAGCCTCACTATGGCCGTGTACTGGCAGCAGAATCACAAGAAGAAATTTTGGTTAATTAAAGGAAACATGGTCTACCTTTTAGAGAACTGATTGGTTATAGTTTCATGTCATATTGTTCCAGTCATTGCTTGGCAACATCTCATTTTTGCAAGGATCAAGAAGATTTCTTTATGCTGTAACTCCAAAAGAAACATCTTTTGAAAAGCTTGGGGATGTACCTGATTATCTCAATGAAGTAAGTTACTTTACTTATCCATACCGGGTCTGTAAGTTTCATGATGTGAAAAATTGATGTATCTTTAGAATCAGGCAATGAATTATGATAAGCAAATCTGTGAGAGAGTGGGGTGGGAGTTGTCTGAAAGGTGCTATGGCCAAGAGGGGATGGAAATAAAGATTCCCTCAGTGGGGGAGAAAACTTGAATGTAACTAAAAGGAATTAAGGAGGAAAGAGGAGAGATGGGTAGGGGGAAAGAGTTGAATGAATATTTGAACATGTAGCTGCAGCCCAGGGTATAATATATGACTAAGGACCCTAGCGGTTACCCTTAGCCTCTAGCAGACCATGTTCAGATGCAATTTTATTTCTAGACAAGACACCAAAAATCCCTATCCTATCCTAGACTATATGAACCAAAAATCTCCAATTATACTTCATATATCACAGACCAATATTCCATGCAATGTCTACTGTTACCCTGTTCTAGAACAACTCCCTCTGATTTTTAGCAAGACCCAGTCCCACACTAAACTGCTTGAAAATTCTACCATTCTGAATCCGACACACCTAATTACCGTAAAGTGGATATATAGCTTTTCTGCTGATTTTGTTTTACTTTGACCCTTTTTTTATCTTTAGGCCATTCCATTTTTCTTGGGTGCCATTGCCCTGGAGTACATTTTAGCTTTCCTCGCTGATCTTCCAAGAGCAAGGTTGAATGATGCATTCAGTTCAGTCTCTGCTGGAGTTTTTTCTCAGTTGTCCAAGTAAGATAAAAAATTATTGGCAATATTGTCATTTTTAAATGGCTACTTGCATTCAAATTAATATTATGAGTTGGCTGCTGGTTGATTTTTATGTAAAACTTATGCTAATGCCATGCTCAGATCACCTACATTCTGAAATCATAATATATTTATTAAAATATTTATTATTGAGAAAGCATTTTGTGTAAAGCAGTGCAATGAATTGAAATTAAAGGGGTGTCTGGCATGGAGTGCAAAGTTCATGATGTATGATAAACTTCTAGATTCTCATTCCAATTTGCCATTAATTAGCTGTTAAATCAAAGGGAGAATTTGATATTAGATCAGGAGTCCTGTGGGTCCCTATGCCTCCCAATGCTGATTGTGATTTCCAAGATCCGTGAGGATTTTGGCCAATTAGTTACAGCCAGAAAATGTCAGAGTACGCACATTTTTACACTCAAGTTTATGTGTTCTTGTTGTTAATTTTCTGCCCTTTTTTATTCTTATATAACATTGATGATGTTTTTTTTTCAGGATAATTGTGTTGAGTGCTGAGCTTGCTCTGTACGTTTTTGTTTATGATAATTTTCATCTGGTGACTTTGCCATGGGATTCCCCATGGACCTGGTACATTTGTTTTATTGGAGTGGATTTTATATATTACTGGTTCCATAGGGCTGCCCATGGTAAGCTGCATGTCTAAATACATAAACCCATTCACCCCTAAGCTGCCTATAACTGCCCCCTGCCGTGATGATGTAAAACCTCATTTCCTCAAGCCAAAAGTGTCTACATCGTCAAATGATTATCCATTGGTGTAAATTGACAGGGAGTCTACATTGTAATATCAAAAAATTGTAAAATTGTAAAAGTAAAAGTTAAGTCTGTAAGAGAGTGCTGGTGATGGTGGGTCCTTTTTTTTCAGGGGTGCAATGTTATTTACTCAGTTGGTTGATTAGGGTGATTGCCCATTTCGGGAGGGTGCTCATTAGAGTATGGGTGTTTGTTTGGGGAAAGAGAAGTGACAAAAGGATTTATATTATGTTGTTATTTCACTGGCATATATTTTTTTTCATCAGTAATTTTTTAGAAAAATTAATATGAAGTGAATTTTTAAAGAAGCTAAGTGTATAACTGTTAATAAATTTTTGGACCTTTTTATAGAAATCAATATTTTTTGGGCAGCCCATCAAGCGCATCATAGTTCAGAGGATTATAATCTTACAACTGCCTTGCGACAATCTGTGGTACAAAATTACACATCTGCGGTAAGTCTGAAGAGTCATTCATCAAGGCCTTTCCTACATGAGCAAACACAATAAAATGAGATTAGACAATTTGTATGCAAATCATTGTGTTTTGTCAACTCCAAGTCTCCAGTTGGTGCCTTTGTTCAGACAAAAAAAATCTGCAACCAGTCTGTAAGGGCTAGAGCTACTTAAGAGGAAGCATTCATGTCCAAACTTAAGACGGTAGTAATAACTATCTAAAGCTTGAGTAAAGAATTCATTTCGGCGGGGTCCTAGGCTGCCTGTTACCCCCCTGCTCCCCTTTGTCATAAAACTCTTTTTTTTTTTCAAATTGAGAAGAGCTTGTTTGGGAAGGAGGAGGGGGGGGGGGAACTTGCTCAAATACTCCAATACAATGCTTATGTACCTGATGCTTTGCATTTATTACAGTATGCCAATAAATTAATTATTTGTTTCTGGCATGTGCGCAAAGCAAAATTTTTGTTAAAAGTTTATTTGTTCAAAAATGTATCTATTTCCTCTTGTTTTACAGATTTTTTACATGCCCTTGGCTTTAGCTGTTCCTCCATCGATTTTCTGTGTTCATGCTCAGTTTAACATGCTTTATCAGTTCTGGATTCACACAGAGATTGTGCGATCTCTTGGACCTCTTGAATACATCTTTAACACCCCAAGTCATCATCGAGTCCACCATGGTAATTTGATCTTTGTCTCCCCTGTAAATATGTTAGACATGCTTGAGGAGATATTAAAGGAACTTCTTCCCTCCCCACGTGTGCCCTCCTCTCTCACGCGCGTTATCTCGTACTTGAAAATTGCCCATAATGCATTGCAATTGTAGGGCCACGTCACCTTTTCAAACGCATAGTTAAGTTAAGATACAAAGAAATGTCCAGGTCTGTAAAAACGTTTAAGGTGGAGAAATGGATCATAAAGTTCCCATACTCTGACTTATAATTTGAACACGACCTTAGTGTATGTAGAATATTGACGTAAGACAAGCACATTTGCTGACGATTACTTCGAGTCGTTTTTACTCCCTCAGGGAGTAACACGACTCGAAGGAATCATCTGAAATTCAGGCTAAGGGATAAGCTGAAGAATCGCAAGTTAGCTAAAATGCCATGTACCATAATTGACCATTATTAAGTTACTGGAGATTTGCATGTTATCTTGTTGCAGGAAGAAATCCATACTGCATTGACAAAAACTATGGTAAGTAAGCAATTAGTTTTACATATCTTGAAGAGTTTGGACCTAAGTATTGGTCGTAAATGTTAGGTGTTAGGGAAGAGGAGATTTGAAAAAAAAAATGAACGCTTTGGGGGAGGAGGAGAAGCGGGGAAAGGCCTGATATTTTCCATATGTCCTTGCAACTCCAATCAAAGTCACCTTTCATCTTCAAATAGGGTAACTTCAGAACAAAAGAATCCAAATTCCTTCCCCCTCCTCTCCATTCAAAGTTGGGGTATTTGTTGTTTTCTATAGGTAGCTCGAACAGCGGAACAAAATTGCATAAAGGGGATGGGAGAGGAAAAAGCTTTATTTTCCACTTTTAAAGTCGGTAAGACATCAAAAAGCCCCTTTCGAGCAAAGTATGACTACGGGTAGCATTTGAGGGATAGGAGATGATTACCGGTATGCTAGTGGAGTCAAGGCTATAAGTAGTTTTAAAAGACACAGTTAATCAAAATACTTTCAAATACTGCTTTGCAAAAGCTAGTCTGCGAAAACAGCCGTGCCTCCTCGAGTCGCTCCTTGCCGCAGGCAACGTTTCGCCAGCAGCGAGGAGCGAGGAGCTTGAGAGGCGGCTGTTTTCCCGTAGCGTGCAAAAGCTGCACATTTAATTTTTTTGTCAACACGCTAAGAGCAAATTTTTTTTCTTGTTTCAGGTGGTACATTTATTATCTGGGACAGACTTTTTGGTTAGTTGTTACTTTGCTTGAATTTCGATTTGGTCATGATACACCCTTGGATCCAAAAAGAAAAAAAATTACAATTAAATCGCCAAGGCCCTCTGTTGATTCGCGCATTGTTGCTGTTGTTTTTGATAGGAACATTTCAGGCGGAAACCAATGAGGAAATAGCCTATGGCCTGGTTCATCCACTCGCGAGTTGGGATCCTGTTTGGATACAGGTTAGAATCAATAGATTCCTCGCCTACCATGACCTTATTTTCAGTTTAAAAAAGTAACCGTTTAAACGAAATTATCCTTCACAGCTTTGCCACTTCTCTCATGTTTGGAAAACTTTTTGGGAGACCTCAGGAGTTATGAACAAGGTAAAAACCCCATTTAACGATCTTATGGTTGCGCAAAGCCTTTACTTTTCTTTGGTTATGAGTATCTTTAGTTCATTTTGCTTTTTTTAAAAGTAAACATTTGTTTCTAGGTAGTAAATGATTGTAACAACTGCAGAGGAAAACCGTTGTTTACGTAAAACTATCAGGAGGGAAACTAATTCTCGTCTCCATTTCTTATATTTTATTTTAGTTGTTTGTAGTATTCAAAGGTCCCGGATGGACACCAGGCAGCCCTCGTTTGGGTGATCCCGCAGATCTACCAGAGGTAACAAATGAGTCATTTAGCTTGCTTAGGATACGGTTATTACGTTATTATGACCATTTTCTTTTTTCCCTGCTTTATACCATAGATTGAATATCCCATTCGGAAATACGACAATTCATTATCCTTCTGTGGTACCATGTACGCCCTTGTACACTTTGCTGTCGCCATTGTTGCTTATCAGCTGCTGATAGCGAGAAGGATGGTAAGGTTATTATTTCTTATAATTTTTTTTTAAAAAATCCATCCCACGTTAGTGAAACCAGGGGCCAATTCTTTGCCGGTTTTTTTTTCGCGGATATATCCCTTCCGCTATGGCATCTCTCATAACAGATTAAATACCGTAAACTGCTGCTCATAAACCTTTCCCACGTCTGAGCCCTCCCAGTTATAGGCCCGTATCTAGCTGTAACCAAAAACATGCACCCGATTATGAGCCACTCGGGTATATGCCCCCCTCTAGCTGTAATTATAACCCCCCTCTAAGGGACTGGTCAAAAAGTATAATGGTGGGCCGGAGCATTTGGAAATGTGGTTGATAAAAAACACATGACCCACCCCCTCCCTTCGGCACAAAAATGACTGACCCACCCCTAAAGCAAGGTTGGAAATTGCATGACCCACCCCCTAGTTAAAACATGGACGTTCGGTTTCCTCTTAATAATCCAATAAAACCTTGTTCTGTACTTGACAAAATTTGTTGATACACTGCTACAACCAACATCAAAATCACAGAAATTATACCTTTCACTGAAAATACGAATGTCAAAAACCGAACATTTCTTGTTTCAATGGACGTTATGAGTCTTGACACAAATATACAGCAAAACGAGGGTATATTGAAATTATCTGTCACAATGCATATGAAAATTTCAACAAAGACAACCCATTCCTACACATTACTTGCCGGAAATGCTTAGATTAATCCTCAAATCAAATTTCTTCCACTTCAGTGAAAAGCACTACTTACAAGACCATGGAACTGCAATGGGCACAAAGACAGCAGTTTTGATTCCTTTGCCAATATTTTCATGACATATATTGAAACAACAATTCTAAGCAAAACTGTCTTTAGAACAACAGTTTGGAAATGCCACATACACGATATCTTTTCCCTATGGGACATGACATGGGCACCCAACGACAATTTTCGGAAAAATATCTGTTCGGAAGACGATTTGAGATCTAGAATTTTCGGAACATTTGTTGTAAAATTTCTTGCTTCCATGCCTCTCCTAGGATTTTCGAACAAATAAAAAATGGTATACTTGCCCATTTTTAACTAATTTTTACCGTAAAAAGTTCACCTAGAATTTTCGGGAGTTTTGAACTATATTCTCGTTGGGTGCCCCTGACATGAGTAAACCAGACATCGAAGCCTTCATTGAACAAGCAAGCTTACATCACCCAACTATTGAATTCACGGCCAAAACATTTGACACTGAGACTGCGTTTTTTTTAAAAAATAGTGAAAGACACATTTTAAAAAACGTATTTTGATCAGTACGTTTTGCTGGCTGAAATTTTCTGCCTAAGTTTTGATCCCTATAGTATACTAGACTTTGCTGATCCGAACAGACGAAAAATGAAATACTGTTTAAATACTAAGATACGTCTATGTTTAAGTGGTTTTGAACTATATTCTCGTTGTGTGCCCCTATCTTTTTCCTAAACCCCTTACGTATTTGTGTATAAACCCATTTCCTTAAAAAAAGGAAAAGGAATTATAAGGGCGGCAGTTAAGGGTATGTTTTAATAAGTCAAATTTGACTGAAAATTTGTCAAACTGTTTGTCTCTACCTTAAAGCTTAAGTTAGCCGGTGTTTGAAGCATGATTTAAAAAAATAGTGAATAAGCCAATTAAAAACATTTCATTTCCTAGGGGATGTCTCAGCTTCATGTTGCTGGAGTAATATCGTACTTTCTCTTCACGATGTCAAGTGTTGGAGCTCTTTTTGATAACAAGTAAGAGTTTTAAATTACAATTAAATCTCTTTACTACCGCGTTACAATGGACATCGTCGGGATGTAGATATGTAATGTGACGTAATATTTTTTCATCAGGTGGTATGCACCATACGTAGAGTTATTTCGCTGCCTTCTCTTCCTTATTGTTGATCTTGTTCTGTCATCACAAAATCTCGACACTGGAGGTAAGTCGCCTGCTGATAAAGCCGGAAACAGTTTTCTCCTAAGTATTACCTAATGATTAAACCTCTGTCTTTACTTCCCAAAAGAGTCGGTCATTTCAGCGATACAAGGTCAATCAGCTTTTTTCGTAGACCAGCACACGTGCTTCCTGCGTTATTTCGAAAATTTAAACGGTGCGGTGATGCTGTCGAGAGAGTTCATATCGAGTATCACAAGCCAAACATATTTCTTAAAAGGTAGCGATGCCTAAAAGCGGAACTCCAGTTAAATACTACTCGTCCACATAACACAAAAAAATTTGAACCTTTGCAAGGAATTCGTCAACCTTCTTGGACGAGTATCTTGCCGTCGAGTAGTTAACGAGTTGCCGTGTAAGACAGTAATGAAATGGTTTCTTACCAAATTTTGCATGTTCTTGTCGTGGAAATTAACCGAAATGTCGCGATATATCGACTAAATTGCCTTAAATGGTTGTTTTAAAAAAGAAACACATACGCACTTGTAGCCTTCTAGCTGGCGGTATTGTTGCCGCCAGTACTTTTTTTGCCGGCAATACAGGGGAAGGAGCAGCGACTCTTATGTGTAAGTACAACCAGGCTGTTTCCCCTTTGGAGAAGTTACACGCACAAGTTGAAGAAGAAATAAAATTTGTATAATTTTTTAACCGTTGTTTTTATTATTGTTTCAGTACTTCCTACAAAATACATCGGTGTGATCAGAGGGATTTTTATTACATCCGCTCTTTTCTGGATAACGGGATCATTTATGTCCGCGAAAAAAACAAAGACGGAATGAACATGGCGTCAAGTGTCGTTCTAAATACCAGCAACCCTAATGGCCATGTTTCCTCTGGTCGCCGTCGCCAAAACACTCTTCAAGTCGTCAACTAAATCAAAATGATAAAGAAAAACTTTGGGCCGGAGTATCAGATTAAGAAAACTGGATGCTGTTTCCTAGCAAAGTGAAATACAAAAGCAAAACCAAAAGACATTTAACTGACAGCTTAATATTATGCCCCCAAAATACCTTGTTAGGAGATAAATTATATAATACAGGTTTGTGCCCAGTCTACAACCACGTAAAACGATGGATTTTCTTGGTTAGACTGTGACTGCCTTTTGGAATTTGACTGAAATTGTTGCTGGACGACAATTCTGGTAAAATCTAGGAGTAAAAAATTAGGTATCTTTCTTCACGGAAAGAATTACGGCAGCATACTTATGTAACATTTTTAGCTTTCTGAAACTTCTTTAATAGTGGCTTTCTAATTTTTATTAGTAATATCAACGATCTTTTGCGTTTTTTTTGCCTGTTTTGCGAAATCCATAATTATATCAAGCGCTACATGTGTGCCGTATTTGCACTTGTAAGCAGGCTTAGAAGAAAAATTTATTACATTAGAGAAAATTACACGCTTTACAAATAAATATTATAAATATGATGTTGACTTCGATTTTTTCGTCGGACTTTTTAGTCGTCGTGAATTCAATTTTTCGGAAACGAGAACCGGGTGACCATCATAGAGGTGACAATCAGGCTACAGTGACTATTATTCAGTGGCAAGAATGAAAGCCCTGCGATTTTCGCTCTATGTTCCGCTTGCACAGCTCGACTCGTGAGCATGCCGTATGCTGCGTTTTTTATGTGTGTACAGATTATATTTTACGGAAATGATACCCTTTACTCGTGAAGTAAGTTGCCTAACTGAGTTTGCGGCCCTTTTAAATTCGCATCGCTTGTGAACACTGTAACGTTTTGCATCTCCGAATTTTAGTTCAAAGTAAGCACATTTGGTAACTTTGATCTAAACTGCGTAAAACTTTGCCGCTCTCTTCATGTATCTTTAAAATTATGGGATGTTTGGTACTACAGCCCTGATAAGTTTTCCGGCCATAAATTATAAACATATTTTCTTTGCAAACACCTTCTTCACACTTTCTTTTTTAAATTACAGCACAGTAAGCCAAAGAGATTTTAAAATTCAATAAAACATACAACATGTAAAGAAATTAAGACGATATTGAAAGCTTGCTGAAACTCGCTTTTCCTTCTCGCCAACTGTTTGCCCCAAAGCTTACTCCGAATAAGCCGAAAATCTGGGTACCTTCCAGTTCAAAGTCATTCAATAGTGCAACTGAAAATCTCCTTTCAGTACAACAGGGACAACTAAAAAGGTGAGAGGGTTGGGAGTGAGGCTAAAATAACTGAAGGTCAGTACGAATTGGAGAAAGAAAGTTCCTAAACTGAAGGAAAACAACACTCTCTTCCAATCTAATGCTTCAAGTTTAGCGTGGCGTGACCTGATCAATTCGACAACATTCCTGCAAAACGAGAATAGCGATGTTGCGCGTTTTACCACCAACGTTCGCACCTGTCTGGCAACAAATCAGGTTACAAGGTTTTTTTTTCGAGGGCGGTAGCGCTATTCAATTCAGTCGTTGTGCTACAATGTTGCCAAAGAAGTTGCATGTACGTTTTTTGTTGGCCGTTTTTCCGTACCTTGAAGATTATTTGACATTTACTTCCTCGCAGCTTGAGAGTTAATGGCCCCTCCTTATACCAAAATGTTGGACAGTGATTGTGCAAAAAAAAGGTAACCAAACGGATATAAAAGCAACGATGTCCAGAGAAACGTTTCAGATATGTCACGGTGTTAACGATCATGAGGAGACATTCGCTCTCTACAAGTTGAACAGCCTATTTTTTCATATCTCAGTACTGGTTCGAGTTTATACTAAGAAAAAGCTGAAGAAGCAGCGATTTAGCTTGATGTTCATTGGCTATCATGGATAACACGGTAAGCTCAATCCTTCGATGCAGTTAGTCTTATTCTCGATATTAAACTTTTCTAATGATCAGCACTTTATTATCGCCGCCATATTTAAATGAGAATATTTTTACTGCTTCGATATTTCATTGAATGTTCACAAAGTCGATAGTAGTCATGCATGTTATTGGTTTATATACAATACCTATGATAAATCAGAATAACAGAACGTTTATTGCATTCGCTGACACTAATGTAACAGTATTGATCCACTGGCTTCAACTCGGTGCTTTTACTCATTGTGTTTTTTTTGTATATAGTTTTTTAAAGATTTTTAACTTTCCATGAACCTCTATTCTCATACCACAAATAAAAAACTCTGAGTATTGTTAATGCAACGATTTTTTTTCATTATTTCCTACTTCCCTTACTGTTTCAGCCATTGCTTGGCAAAGTCACATTGTTGCAAGGCTCACGGAGATTTTTCTTTGCTGTGACTCCGAAAGAAACATCTTTTTCAAAGCCTGGAGATGTACCCGACTATCTAAATGAAGTAAGCACTCTTAGTTTAATAATTATGTTATAATAAGTGTTTTTACCTTGTAAAAATTATCGGTGAGCCTGAGGGCAACTATTTAAGAGGAATTTGGAAAAGCGGAAACCAACAATCAGATGAATAAAGGGGAGAGTGGTTGAAGGAATGGCTGTGGAAATTGGAGACATAAAGCAAGGGTGGCGTAGTGATGAGAGCACTCGCCTCCCACCAATGTGGCCTTCGTTCAAATCCCATTCTTGAGCAATTGATTGATTTTTGTTGAGTTTGTTGTTGGTTCTCTCCCTCAATCAACGCTCCGAGAGCGTTTTTTCTCCTGTTTTCCCCTCTTCTCAAAAACTAACATTTCCAAATGTCAATTCGACCAAAAATCGGGTAGACGAAAAACCACTTGGATGTGCTACCTCTAAATCGTTTTTTTATTTATTTTATTCATAATCACCCCCTATATTTTCTGTCGATCCCCACTAACCAAAGAAAGTGTTAAAGTTAATATGTTAACTAGACAGAAGAAATTTGATACATTCAGGCCATTTCCCTAATCACGCTCTTGCTGTGTATCGAATGTTCATTTTGTCTCCAGGCTGTTCCATTTTTTTTGGGTGCCATAGCACTGGAGTACATTTTAGCTTTCCTTGCTGATCTTCCAAGAGCAAGGTTAAATGATGCATTCACTTCAATCTCTGCTGGGGTATACTCTCAGTTGTCCAGGTAAGTAAACATTAATCGAATTTTCTGTCTGCATGTGCAAAATTATTAATAATTATCTACTTATATTTTTGAGTACACTAATGCATCAGTCAATTCCAGCTGCTCCCCGCCCCCCCGGCTATTACGGGGAGTTTGCCCGCCTTGTCATTCCCAGGGGTGGGTCATTAGCAAATTTTCGCTACCCGGAGAACAGGCATTTGCCAACCGCGGGGCCATACCTCCGAGCTTTTGACACGCACGTGGTTTCCTATGCGAATATAACTACACAGAGGATTTTACTGGAAAAACAAGCTTATTGGCTTATGTCAAGCACAGGAAAAAATTGAAGAGGGTTGTAAAGGCATGTTCTCGATTTTATGCATGCATTTCTTTTCTTCATTGCTTTTGGAGATGAATCAACGTTTTTTGGTCAAATCGAATTTCTGTTTTGGTATTTGAATCAAATTTCATGTTGATATTTATTTGAAGAACATTTCAATTTCATAATTTTATACAACTATTAAAACCAGAAACTGGTTTACAGAACACTGAATTAATTTTTTATAGACGTCAATAACACAAAAAATGAACATTAAAAAATGGCACTACTCGACTGTGCGATCAATGAAAAATGTTGCAGTGTTGATGGAGGACGGGGCATTTACTCTCATTTTTCGTCCCCACTTATTATCTACAAGTGATCTGAATCTGGTTTTATAACTTATTACCAGAAACATGTTAGAGTTTACAGAATGTCGTGTAAATTTTTTTTTCCTACTCTACAACTTTCGAGAAATGTGATTTCTTTTTTGCAGGGTAATTGTGTCAAGTGTTGAGCTTGCTTTATATGTTTTTGTTTATGACAATTTTCATCTGGTGACTTTGCCATGGGATTCCCCATGGACCTGGTACATTTGTCTTTTTGGAGTGGATTTTTTCTATTACTGGTTCCATAGGGCCGCTCATGGTAGGTTTATAAATATGTTGCCCAAAAAACAAATTATTTACTATTATTCAAACCTTTTTTCATCTGCCATAACCATTACAATTTTCTCAATTTTCATTGGTGCATTAATTGCTTTAATTATTTTTCACTAATCACAGAATTTATTTCAATAACCATAACAAGAACCACTTATCCTACCAAACTGGTCATTTTCCAAAGTTGACGAATTTGTAAACATTAAAAGCAGTTTCACATGAAAAAAAAAATGCATTTGTTTTCTCGGAAATTGTAATGGTTATGATTAACAAATCGGACTCCCCGCTACTCGGTCGTCCAATTTTGTTAATCACTCGTATGATTACAGAACGAATTGGACGACACGAAGTCCTATTACCATTATTTAGGGTAAATGCGAAGTGAAACTTGTAATGATAATACTGAGGACTGAGTGGAGTCCAATTCGGTCTGTAATCATACACGAGTATGATTACAGACGGAATTGGACAACACAAAGTACTGGTACCAATTAATCATAACTGCGACGAAAATTTGTGATATTTTAAGCTTTTTTTAGATGAATATACAAGATATTCTGAGAGTTCTAACTAGAAATGAATAATAATAATAATAATAATAATACTAATAAAACATTCAAGTGCACGCGCAATGGCGTGTACTGTCTTATCTGAAACTGTCCTAATAATGCTGAAATCATGGCGGCTGATAACCAATCAGATTTGAGAATTTTGCTATAGTTATGATTAAAGACCAGGAGCCTATCACCTGTTCAAGATCTAATAAAGTATAATCTTCCATAGAAATCAACATCCTGTGGGCAGCTCATCAAGTGCATCATAGTTCAGAGGATTACAACCTTACTACTGCTTTGCGACAATCTGTTGTACAACAGTACTTAACTGCGGTAAGTCTTCCATCGGGAGACATTCGGGGGACGCCAGGATGAAATTAAAACTAGAGCACTGACCTGTCCACCTTTAGACTGAGATTATGTTACATGAATGAAAAAAATATATATTTGCATTCGAGGTTACTTCTCTTATATAAGCCTCGTGGTTTCTTGAGGTCTCTTCGCCTAGACAAATTTATCTGTAAACCTAGAGCACTGTATTGAAACATGGCATAAACAAAATGACGATGATGATGATGATGATGATGATGATAATGATGATGATGATGATGAAAAGCCTATAAAAGACTGGTTTATGCATTATTTCCGCTAATGTGGAGCTAAAATGCCTAGGCAAACAAGAGTAGACATTAATTTTTAATATAGTTTGGTTGGATGTTCAAGGCAAACTATACTTAAAATATGTCTATTCTGTTTTTTTTTTGTTGGTCGTACACAAAGCAACATTTTGGACACAATTTTTAAAGATGGATAATTTTCCCTTTGTTTACAGATTTTTTACGTGCCTTTGGCCTTAGCAGTCCCTCCCTCTGTTTTCTGGGTTCATGTTCAGTTCAACCTTCTTTATCAGTTCTGGATTCACACAGAGATTGTGCGATCTCTTGGACCTCTTGAATACATCTTTAACACCCCAAGTCATCATCGAGTCCACCATGGTAATTTAAATAAACTTTGTCTGATAGGTCAAAAATTGCGTACTTAAACTAAATTTATTAATTTAAAGGGCTGTTTCTGTATATACCTGTATTTTTTATTGTTTGTTTGTTTGGTTATTTTCTAGGAAGAAACCCGTTCTGCATTGACAAAAACTATGGTAAGTGGGTTTGGGAATAGGACCTTTGTCCTCACGTGGGGGAAATTCGAGCCAAAATCCCACAATATTTTAAACAACTCTTTCTAAAATAACTCGCTATATATCAAAACGCTGACTTCATTTTCTTATTTATCTTCTTTCTTGCCTTTGAAATATGTGAAATGTCATCAATAACACAATGCTTTCTCGCTCCAGGAGGAACATTCATCATCTGGGACAGAATGTTTGGTACGTTGGCAGTATTGCTGAAGTTTGACTTGGGGGAACTCTTTAGCTTACAGAATATAGCGTCGTTTCTAGTAACCTACCAGACGGGATAGCTCCTCTTAGCCTGACTTTTTATTTATTTCATTAGCTTCGCCAACATAATATAAATACATTTAGGTGATGAAACTCACAAAGAAAAAGTGGCAGGGATTCCGCAACAGCGTGAGCCAGTTACTGTGGGCCCAGAAAATTAAAAAATATAAGAATAGTTAAAATACATAATCACAAAATTAAAAGTAACACGAGACTGGTTGGTTAAGACTACGACACTTAAAAAAGCGGGGATTTTTACAGTCGTAATTACTTAAGGTGGTTTTGTAATACTCTACCGTTGCCTGTTTAAAATCATTCAGGGCGTTCATGCGCAGGTTCAGTTCATCAGCAATAACGTTAATTCCACTGAAGACGCGTATGCATCTGATGATATAGGACTTTACGATAAGCTGCTGTCTGACATTTAGGCTCTACAAATTTAATAACACCACTAGATGAAGATCTGGACTAGACTACGAGTTATCTTATGTGAGTTCCCTGCTAGAAGAGGCATCTTTTCCGTGGTATATGGCTGGTGGGACTCTCAGTCTCATTTGCTGCCGCCCACCGAATAACAGGGAAAAGAGACCTTTGCCAGCGGGGAAAATGGGGAGCCAAATGAACCGCCAAATAATAGACTCATGTACAGTCTTTGTGAGTCACTGTCTCCTCAGTTCCAAGAGATAACACGGACATTTAATTCACGATGCGCTCTGTAAAAGCGCGTATTTGGCTCGTCAAAACGATGCCAGCTCCAACCTCGTTCTCAGGGTTTTCTCCTACCCGTAAGGAACCTGTTAAGCTTCCACAGTAATATTTTTTGTGCTAAGTTCAAGTACATATAATTTTTAATAGGAACATTTCAGGCAGAAACCAATGAGGAAATAGCCTATGGCCTGGTTCATCCACTCGACAGTTGGGATCCTATTTGGACACAGGTTAGAATCAATAGATTCCTCCCCCGCCTGCCATGACCTTATTTTCAGTTTAAAAAAGTAACCGTTTAAACGAAATTATCCTTCACAGCTTTGCCACTCCTCTCATATTTGGAAAACGTTTTGGGAGACCTCAGGAGTTTCGAACAAGGTAAATCTGATTTTTTTTCGCTGTGTGTTCATCACATTCCTCTGAACGGACTTCTTTTCTGTTCACAAGATTTTTCCTTTTGATTTAACTGATTAGTAAATGGAAATCAAATTTTTTAATACTGATTAAAATGTTTGTTGGAAGAGACATACCTAAAAAGTATCATATTACTTTGGGCAAGAAGACATTAAATTTAGGTGGGTAAGGTGGAGTAGGATGTGCAAAGGTATATAGAGAAACCTAAGCATGATCTCAAGCATTCTCATATGGTCTTTTATGCTAACCCTAGATAACTAGCCGGCAGCGAGATGAACATGTTAGACACTCATCGTATGACATGACACTAAAGAGCCCTCCTAGGCGTGACAATCATTCAGACTTGTCTTCATTCCTGTTGCTTTACCACAATGGAAGAAAAGGAAGAAGAGATGTCGGTTCGTGCTAATGAACCGATTGTAGAGACTTATCTTGTCCCCTAAATAAAAAATTACGGTGAAGCGCGAGAAATGCATGTCACGAATAATGAATAAATCGTAAGGAAAGAATAGGGGAATACGACAGTTAGTGCGTCAAATTATCACCAGGATTTTACTAAAATCACAACTGCCAAATTCTTGGTTCGATATCCTTTCCCGTGCTTTCTTTTTTTTTCCTAAAACACATCATGATTCATTTTGCCGCCTTTTTAGTTGTCTGTAATATACAAAGGTCCCGGATGGACTCCAGGCAGCCCTCGTTTGGGTGATCCAGCACATCTACCAGAGGTAACAAAGCAGTCATTTGGCTTGTTTGGTATCTGGTTATTTAATACATTTTTACGACCATTTTTTTCGCTGCTTTATACCTTAGATTGAATATCCCATTCAGAAGTACAACAATTCATTACCCTTCTGTGGTACCATGTACGTCCTTGTACACTTTGCTGTCGCCATTGTTGCCTATCAGCTTCTGATAGCCCGGAAAATGGTAAGTTTAATTTTTATTTTTGTTACAATAAAACCACCAGCTGATACAAGCAGGCTATAATTACTGCAACTTCTTTAAGCACAAATGAGAAACCCGGATTTTTTTTGTTGGTAATACAAATTGTACTGTGGATTTTCAATTTGTTTTGAGAAGTGTCTGATAGGAGAACTGATGCTGTGTTTTCTATCTTAGGAGATGACCCAACTTCATGTTCTTGGAGTAATCTCGTACTTTCTGTACACTATTTCAAGTTTTGGAGCTCTTTTTGATAACAAGTAGGTGTAAAACAAAGATTACATCTTCCATATATTTGTCTGTAATTTTTCCCGGGATTTTCGGGTCCAGACAATCGGCGAGCAAGCGAGCCATGGGAAACAATAGAGTTTTATGAAACTGTAAATGCATGAAAATTGTTTCCTGCTTAGTTCCGAGGTTTTGCTGATGGAATATTTGCAGAATTACGCAGTATTGATCGACTTTCACTGATTAGGGTTAAGCGCTCATTTTACTGACTAGGGTTAAACACTCGCTTTACGGATTAGCGTTCAGCGCTGTTAAGGGTTTAAAAAACGATGTAAAAGTACTCAAATTGCGCAGACAACCACATCAGGTAACAATATTTACACTTTGTTGATAACTTTTATCGCTTTTAGTTCATTTATTTCATCTAAGTTTCATTTCCCAAACAAACTCTTCATTTCCCATACAAACTCTCATAATACGCTTGGGTCACCTGTGATCAAATGATGTCATCTTGTGCATGAAAAAGAAATTATGCCTTCAACTTTTTTCCGTTTCACCTTTAGTGATCTTTAGGTGGTATGCACAATACATGGAGTTATTTCGCTGCCTTCTATTCCTAATTGTTGATCTTTTTCTGTCATCACAGAATCTCGACACTGGAGGTAAGCTGTAATCGTGTATGTCGTTCTTTTGGTCTGTGACCCCCCTCATAATGTCAAAGAATAAACTGCTCGCTTTTTCCAGTGATTTTGTTACAAATAGTTATGGTGAGTCCTGGGACTCATCTTGTGAAAAATCAGGAGTCTTAGTCCCGAACCAATGAGTCCCAGTTGAAAAAAAAAACCAGACAGTTAATCTGAAGACAGACTCCAAAACTCTGTATTACAGAATACTGAAATTAAAATATCATTAGTCGTTCTAGTTAAAGCGCAACAAAGGCTAAAAGAAACACCCATCGTTAAACAACTGCCATAATAACTGCCACGGAAATTACACGAACGGGATATTTCTCTACGGGAAGCATGCCATGAATGATTTTGCGTCATTGGAGATTTCTTTGCGTCAGGGACGCAAGACGCAGAGGTAACAAAATCACTGTTTTTCTACTATCTTTCTTCGACGATTTCTTTTTTCCGTTGCGTTGGCCCGTTCCTGAAGAATTTCGTCGCACCAACACCCCCGAGTCGAGAATGATAAACAACTGCCATAATAATTTTGCTTACTGATCTTTTAAAATTAACTGCAAAATTTCGGCAGTCTTCCATTATATTTAGGAACCAAATCACGCTAACAATTTCTACCGTAATTTTAAACACAAGCGCTGCAAACTCCTTACACAGGTTTTTTAAACACACGTACATCAGTGCAAGTTTGAAAAGCAAAAACACAAAATCTTTTAATGACTTTTATGTTTTCAGTACTTCCTACTAAATACATTGGTATGATCAGAGGCATTTTCATTGTGTCTGCTCTTTTCTGGATAACTGGATCATTTATGTCCACGAAAAATATCAAGACTGAATAAAGCGGCTACAAGAACACCATCACTGGTTGCCTCTTTAAAATGGAAATATTGATCTCTGCCAAAATGCTCTGCCTGCTATGTGCTTTAGTTAAAACCCAAGTAAAGAATAGGAGACTATAGCAATCCTACTGTTTCCAAGACCTCTGGTTACGGTTAAGTCGTAAACAAAGTTAGAATAGAGGCTGTGGCATTATCAGGTACCGAAAAGCTAATTACCAAGTGTAGAAGAAAAAAGAACAGAAAATAATGATAATAATACTACTACTAATAATAATAAAATAATAACAATAAATTTAATAAAAAGCGGGGAAGGGAAAGGGGAGGGGAGGGGAGGGGAGGGTGCGTCACTATCTGGAAGCTTGGCATCACACCACTCTGCGCTAACTGAACGCCTGACTTCGCGCGTTTTGTACACCTTTGTCGGACGGAAGTACTCTCCCGTTAGATTTTCTGCAAGCGCACATCGGATATATGTTAGTCATTTATTTTAAAGACGAAGCCACACACACGTCCAACTTATTTGCACATTTATTGACCTATTCGAACAACTCCTGTTCTATTATACTGGTAGGAAAACCAAGATCTGTGAATGGCCTTTCTCAACTTGAGAAACATTGCGCAAAAATAATTGCTAGCTAACACAATTGATTATCCCGTTTATAACGATAGATTTCGAAACGTGTCGTAATAATCTACACTGAAATTTAGACCAAAGAAATCATAGCCTGAGAAAAGAGCCGACATTTCCTTACGCTACCACTGGTATCCCCGCAAAATAAGGTCTGTGGAACGAGCGCAGAAATTCCATACTGATGACGCGTCACTGCCCAGATCCGGGTAGTGCTTCTGATTGAACGTGCCGCGCGAGAGATTTGTTCCAACCAATCAGAAGCACTACCCAGAACTAGGTAATGCTTCTGAGTGGTCGTGCTGCATGGCAACCAATCAGAAGCAATACCCATATTTGGGAAATCACACGTCATCAGTGTGAAAGTTCTGTGCTAGTTTCTCAGACTTCATTTCGCGGCGAAACCAGTGTTGACGTTCAGAAATATTCGGGGTTTTTCTCAGGCTAGAGAAATCATACTTTATAAAATAAAGACAAAAAATTAATTACTTAACAATTCTATCTTTTACATTACTTATTTATCTTTAACAGCCATTTGAAAGACACTTTCAAATTGATCTTAAGATTGTTAACAACTGAAATGTTTTTTTTCAAACGTATGTGGCGATTATTGGCCCATTGTCTTGGTACACTGTATCTCTCACATCATCGCAACTAAACTCCTGCTGATATTCCCAAAAAATAACCTCTTCATTGACTGGACACAAGGGTGGTTGTAGTACAGCTTTGTGCACATCGTTCTGTGATCGTAACTGACGAAGGTTTTCTCGCCACAATTCCATGGTTTTTCTTGGATTTGGATCACTGTAATGTAGTTCCACCCAAAAGAAGGTTGCTTTCTTCTCCATGGCTTGGAGATCTTTTTCCAGTGCCATTTTCCTTAGCCCTGTCTTTCTGTAAACAAAAAGTGATATATCAATGGTTTAGAACTTAAAAGCTCCGAACAGTTTCAGAAAATAGCAAAATTGGTTTTCCAGTACAGTTAAAATACGAGGAGCAGCCAAGTTTTGTTCGGATTAATAAAACAATTTTTAGATTGTTTACGGTCCCATATTTTTACGTCAGATCGTTGAGATCGAGCGCTTTAACGGGAGCTTAACGGGCGCCCATCTTGGTTTCAGGTGTAAGTGCAACCTAAATCTACCTGGGGGGTGGGGGGCTAGTAACAGTCCCGGAAGTCTTTGCGAAAGTTAACTTGACTAAGTTATCTTCTTGTTTTCTTAAAAGTAGTGAATGGATTCTCTACCTAATGTTGTTATAGAAACCTGTACTGTAAATAGTTGAGGTCGAGTAAAATTTCAACTTACATGATCTCGGCTAGTGTAACTTGGCGATGCTTCAATGCTAGATTTAGTTCATTCTCAACACATTGTACTCGTTCCATCAGTCGACCTCTTTTGTCTCTCATCGCCTTTTCTCGCTCTTCTGCTAATTGCTGTTTCTTACGGCATCCCTCAATGATCTGCCTGAAAAAAAAAAAAGCACTTTATTTGAGTGTCAATGTATTTAGCACGAAAGTACTAATTGGGGGGACTTTTTTGACGTCTCCAACTGGAGACAGGACCGCCATTTTACGTGGTCATCCGAGCCACACGAAGGTCCAGCCGCTTGCAGTGCAAAGGCAGTACCTTCCTTTCTCAGTTATTTTAAGAGCCTGAGTATTAGTCCGGCCGCGGGAATAGAACCTGCGACCTCCCGCTCTGCAGTCAAGCGCTCTACCGACTGAGCTAATCTTGCCGCGGTAAAAATAGAAAAAAAATACATTTTTGTTCTTGTTTTTCAGTCCACGTATAGTCTTCGGTGGACATACAAATTACTATATTTTGACACCCCAAGCCCCGAAGTCGGCGTAATAGTTTCTGTCTAATAGACAGAAAGTTGAACCGAAAACCGAATGTGATATAAACATTATTCCGCGATAAAAAAAAATGTATTCGCAAATTTAAACCCTTACTTTGTACTTTCAATCTTCTCCTCCATTACAATGATAGTTGCATGCATGCGGCTGAGTTCTTTCTTCATCTGTTTCCTGTTTCAACACAAAAACAACGCCGATTAAAATTAAAATTGCGTCAAAAAGTTGATAAAGCTTCTTTCAATTCAAAAAGCTTTAAAAGAATCATAAAGAATACTTACGACGACTTTTCTCTCCTTTTGCTGTTGCCAAAACAGTTCAAACTTCTCATGAATCTACGAATACCCATATTCGAAAATCTTGAAATAAATAGCAAACGGAAAACACCCAACGAAGGTTTGACACAGGTTTTGTCCTTTAAGACTGTTTAAGTCCAGTTCCGATTGTGACGCCATAAAAGTGAGCATGCGCGCGTCTGCACTCACGAGTGCGCGCACATTTCTGTACGCGCGCTTCAATAGGAATCGTCACACATTCGGCTAAATTAAAATTTAAATCATGGACTTGCAAGGCACTGCGCACTGTTAGCAGGAATGCTAGAAAGTTGAAAATACCTCGTATTCCTATTGTTGTGAATGCATTTATTCTATACGTGGTAAAGAACGGTGCGTCTCTTGTCCCTTTCTTGTTTTCTGACCGTAGAATATCCTCCCTGACTTGAACTAAACCTTTACACACGCGAAAGCCCCGAAACTGTTCTTTTTGGCAAATTTTGCGGTCTTAAACTACGAGTCAAAAATGCGGAAGATTTTCCACAGCTTGAAGATTTGGCCGAACGGAGCGACTTTTAAATTAAAAAGGGAACCAGAGAATAGTTGCCAATGTTAATATACATGTAGCATTTATTTCAGTCCATTTAACAACGTTTGATTTAATGTCTCGATCAAGTTTAAAATAATTATCAGCTCTTTAGTAAAAACAACAATAAACATAAAAAATAAAAATAAAACAACCATTCCCAACCTTTAAAATAACATGCACTACATCAGTTTTTCTTAAGAATACATTGGGTGAGTTCTAAATTTTGTAAAACGTTTTAAATGAAAAAACGCAAAGTTCCGAAGGTCATGGGTAGACCAGTAAATAACGGTCAGTCATCGGCCACTGAATTTACGGTCGTTTCGTCAGCGACTTCAGTCGTTTCGCTAACATGTCCCCTAACTTACTTTCATCTTATCAATGTGTTAAAGATCAAAGTACGACTCTTCGACAGTAAAGGTGAAAAATCCTCCAAACAGAAACGACAGCCAGAAAGTAGTCACTAGAGGAGACTAACGAGGCTTGTTTCTTTTGAAACTTTACGGTGACAATTTCTGCCTACAACATAGAGGAAAACAGCCAATATTAATGATTAGTGACAGTACTAATTCATTTTTGTAACAACGTGTAATAGCGCGTATATTGCACAAAACGTCTATAACATGTTAACAAAATCAATGATTTTGCTATTTAGCCGGGTCACACCAAACAAAGGGTGGACTGCATCAGTGTTCAGGACAGGGTCACACTAAGATGAGACATTCACTCTCTTGTCTGGACCTATTTGAAGAAACTGTTTTATTCCTGGAGAGAAAAAAAATGGAAAGACTGCTTTTAAAATTAACAAAAACAAGTGAACACTTTTTTTCGAAGAATTCACCCAGCTCGCGAGTGAAGCGCCAGAAAAAAACGGAAAAGAAGGTTTTGCCTTATCAGACTTGCCGGTACCCACCCCAAACCCTAAGCATTTACAGACAATAATCCCAGCGGTTTTTATTTTCGTTTACGCGCAAGAGTTCTGAAGAGAGAATAGAAACACCGTGAACATTGATTAAATGTACAAAAACACGGCAAAGGTCGTTAACTTTAATAGTAAAAAAAACAAAACTACCAGGAAAATAATTATAAGGGGGTTGGAGATTAACCTCAGAGAGAATTGACTGAATGTTAACGATTAAACTCATGAAATCTAACATTACCTTGCAATTTGTCCTCTAGAGCTTGCCTCTTATTTTTTGTCATTTGCAGCTCATCTGCATATATAATACAGAAAAAAAAAATTCTTAATGTGATGTACAAAAAGTCAGACATTAACTGATTAAAAAATACTTTAATAATTTATGCAAGTCGGTCACTTAAGTCTACTGTTTTAAAATAAATTACATATCGTTTATTCTTAAATCAACATTATTTACCATTAATTATTATCTGAAGTATATTTTGCTTTTTTAACATAATTTTATCTTTCTCCATACACACTTTATTTCACCAAGTATAGCTGCAGTATTCTCAAACATTTCTTTTACCAAATTGCTGTGTATGTAAGTCCTGTACATGTGCCTCGCCCCATATCTGAGTTAGTGTTTTATAACTCCTTTGCCCCAAGTGAGGGATCCCAATACAGGTACATACAGGTACCGGATTCCAGTATTGTCAGTGGAACTTGGATTCTGGATTCCTTGAGCTGTTTTCCAGATTTCCAAAGCCCACGATTCTGGATTCCACAAACAAAATTTTCCAGGATTCCACATTCAGCATACAAAAATTTCCTGGATTCCAGAGTCTGGATTCCATTACATGGGACAAACTCCTGATAAAGACCGGCCAACCCAGCAGCTGGCCTTTTATCCTGCCTACATGTAACTGCCTGTCTATTGATTAATTTATATCTTGCCGCATTTATTTGATTAAACGCCACAGCATTTATAAAAGTTTTAGTGTCTCCAAAGTGGCATTTATTCAAGAGTGGCGTTTATCCAAGGGTGGTGTTTATTTCAAAATCACTTGTCTTAAATCATTGACAACAATTACAATAAACCAGTTGTCAATATAATTTAAAACAGATTAAAACAGAAAGATGTTTAAAATTCTAGTGTCTGACTCTCGCTTTTTTTGCCAAGGTGAATCATAATCATCTGCGTGGTATAGATAATTTACCAAGTTTGACAGAGTTTTTTCTTATCTTGTTTATTTCTACAGCTGGACTATTAGTAATGGCATATATTATTTAACTACAATTAGATTGTAAAAAAAACTACAAAATTAGTAAACATATTAGATAAATTGATTAAGGTACAGGAAATAAATAATAAAAGCTAACAAAATACCTTTAAGAACTTGTATTTCTTCATCTTTAATTTTTCTGGCTTTTTTCTCTTCATCAAGTTGCTGTTTGAATTGAACTGGTGGTGGAATAAAAAACAATGAGCTGAATATTTGCAGGTTATTGGCAAACTATAGGCCTATTATTTTCATGCCAGATAAACTGAATAGGATTTTTTTAAGGAAATATACATGATTAAGTAACAGTTTTGGAAAAGCCCAAAAAATTACCCAAAAAAGAAACAACAAAACAAAACAAAACAAATAGGAAACAAGCATTACATGATTTAAGACTCAGCCTATCTTGCATGTTTTCCTCAACATACAATTAAAAATGATGGAATTTGTTAAAAACATTTCTTTGGTTATTAAGGGCTGGGTCTGACTGAATCTTTAAAAGTGTGAATACTTTAATTAAGAAAAAGAAATTGCTCTAAAAAACTGGTAAGAATGAATATCAAGGGGAGTCATTAGTGGTGTCTTGACAAGTATAACCCTTATTATGCTAGCATCATAATAAAAATACTGCACCTTAAAGCTACAAGATCTATGAATGCTCAATTGGAGGTAAAATTAATTTTGTGAATGACAGGTACTTCTTGATTTGTGGGGAAGTCAGAGATCTTGTGTACAGTACATGTACTAAAAATGTTGGGGCCCACCTTTAAGCTCATTAATTTTTTCCTCTGCATTCTTTCTTGCTTGTTTCTCCTCTTCAAGCTTTTCCAATAACTCATCTGAATTCACAACATGATATATAAAAGTATCAAAAAAGAAGCCTGAGTAAACAGCCAACATTTGCCGATGCTACCACTGGTTTCCCTGCAAAATGACGTCTGAGAAAAGAAGGAAGAAATTCTATACTGATGACGCGGCACTACCCAGATCTGGATAGTGATGTGTGATCAGTATGGAAGTTCTGCACTTGTTTCTCAGACATCACTTTGCAGGGAAACCAGCGGCGTTTTCTCAAAATGCCAGCTGTTTTCTCAGGCTATCAAAACATGAGCTATTGGCAAAATACATACATCATTTAAATATTAAAGGGGCTATGTCACCCAACACGCATGCGCGAGCCAATGAAAACAAACTTGAAAAAGACAGCCCAACTTTTTCAAGTTGTGTCGGAGATTTTGGAAGGCTGTTTTTATCTGTCTAAATCTCAGCCATCGTTCGATAGTTAGCGAAGTTTTGCATTAAGAATCATTCTATGGTGATTACAGAACAATTTTTTGGCGTTATTTTAAAATTGTTTGCCTGTGGAATGTTTTTACGTGGATTTACTGTGTCCTCTTATCAGCGGCCGTTGTAATGGCAAAGTTAATGACGGCTACTCCACAATGAGTGATGGAATCTTTGATGGAATCTTCCCTATAGTTCACAGGACCTTTCTATTGAGTTATTTTAGAGGCTGCTGGCTCTTGGATTTTTCTTGTGCTCAAAGTATGTGGACATATAATGAAGCGGCTATCGAGTTGGCGGCGGCCGTTTTTTGTAAACGATTACAAGAGCATCAGGCCATGAGTTTCGTGACGAAACTCAACTCCTGGCGAAGGAAACATTCTAAAATTCGGCTAGATTCCTTCTTGTATTTATCTCGATTCACGGCAAAGATAAACACGACCGTTTGCTCGTCCAGATTGTTCTCAACGGACTTAGAGAGGTACCTTAGTACGAGTTAGATCCTGTAAATGCCATGTTTTTGAACTGTTTGTGTTGGAGCATAATTTTGGAAAATAGCAGAGTTTGCTTTCCCTTTTTATCAACGGACTGCTTATAGTGGAGTAGTATACCAATGATGCTGGGTACTGTTTTTCTCGACGTCGCAGTGATTCGGCACGATCGAACAATTTTGCGCGATAATGTATGTTTCCCTAAGATCAAAACAAAGACTTGGTCTCTTGTTCTATCAGCATCTAAATTATAAAATCAATAGCGACAGACAAGTCTAATTGTTAATGATTTGAAACAGTCTTGGTCTTTATCTTCGGTCTAGCGTCTTTTGTAGCTCGTTTGTAAAATACAACTTCCATTTATTTTGTTGAATAAGACAATATGTTGTTGTTGAGTTTTTGTTTGCGCTCTATTTTATGAATGGCATGCGTTTTTACTTCAAAACTACAAGTAAAATTGTCGTCGCAATTTTATTCTTGATCTAGCATAACCAGAGAAGAAACGTTCCATAAATTCTATCGAAATATCCCTTATCTAAACCCATTTCGCTAAACCTCTCAAAATTCCGAACCTTGGACGTGACAGAGAACATGAAGAAAGTCACGCGTTAAAAACAATAGAATTTTGACAGTTAAAAGTAATTTGCATAACCTCACAGCGCACATGGAGAAAGTAACGCGTTAAAAACAATAGAATTTTGACAGTTGAAAGTAATTTGCATAACCTCAGAGCGCATGCTCTCCAGCTGACATAGCCCCTTTAAACTATCCTCTAAAAATATCAGGGTATTGTGGTATCATATGTTCTACCACAGTTCTCTTCACCTTGGAGGTTGATGTGTATATCATATTTCAAAAACTATATCTCAGGGAAAAAAACACAGCTGCCTTAACCCTTTAGGTCCCAAGAGTGATCAACATTAATTTTCTCCTAACAGCAATAATCCATGATTAAGAGAAATGGTCATCTAAGGAAAAGTGCTTTGATCTTTTATGAAATTCTCTAAAATAATTCTTTAAGGAATGTATGGAGAACAGTCTGGAGAATTTTGATGTGGATATTGTTTTCAGACCTATTGCCTATGTCTCCCTTGCCCCAACCCTGTAGTTGGGAAAGCCAATAGCAAATGCATTATCTGTGATGTTCTGAAATTATTGAATATCTGAAATAGAAGACTAAAAAAGCAGATTACTGGTACACTGTTATACATACCTTTTTGACATTGTTTCTTTCCTAAAAATGTCTTGGTAAAAGCAAGAAATGACTCAATGAACATCTCATCACTGCTAGAGGCTGTACAGCTTCCATCTGGCAGAGAGAGAAAAGTTATGTTATTTAAAAGATAGGAAAGTTTTACAATCTACTTGGAAAACAAATGTTTACCTTGAAAAGTTAAATTGTTGGTAGGGTATGTTAACAATTAATACAAAAGTTACAGACAAGGTGCTACTGTTGGTACTGTCAGAGAAGGGTGGTGGGAAATGCAACACCTCCAGATTCATGCTGGGCTATTAGTGCCAAGCTTGTGCCCACCCTACCCCTCTAGGAATGGAAATTAAAATGGAATAGCGAATTGCCAATCATCAACAAAGGGTATTGCTGGTTTGCACGTGACGTCACAGAAGCTGTGTTGGTGGTCAATAACAAAAGCATTTCTCACCTCTGGGGACTCTGTTTCACGTAAATTCTTCGAGAAAAAATTCTGTTGTATTGACCCCAACATGGCCGCCTGGTCACGTGGTTGCAAACCAAGAATTCTGTAGTTTATGTCCGAGAAGGAAATCGACAAGCACTACATGCGTTATTGAATTTACTATTCTTACCAGAGTTGCTCATCTTTCTTTTCTTTGCGCTTTCATCAAATCCTGAGGAGCCATTAAGCGGGGATTCTCCTCGTTTTGCAGCAACTCTTAGTCTGGTCTTGCGGTCTATCGCTTCTCCCGGTGATTTCTCGCCATTTTCCTCTCCATCTTCGTCCTCCAGTGGTTCTAAAATAATTGTTTGGGTAGTTGGTTTGCAACGCCCCTGAATTTTGGGGTCAAAAATTTTTAGCAGCAGTTTTCCCGGCCTCGCTAAATGCTGAGTAATAAATTCCAACGCGTCGTCGTATGGAAGCAAACGCATGTATTCCTTGGCCATGCTTGTCGCGGTTTCAATCAAATCTTCCTCGCTTGCAGACAACATATAACCAACTTGTCCCCACAATGTCATGAACGGGTTCAAGGAGATGCAAGAGTAATCTTTCAGAGGACTGTTGTCGTTTATACGGGCAACATCCGCCAACAGAACCAACAGGCCTTCGCGCCGTTTGAAGCACGTCCATTCTCCAAGGACAGGGCAGTTGATCGCTCTCTTTTGAATGAGAGGCGATTTGGATATCGATGCACTCATCTCGTCTTGAATTTAATTCCCCAGCTTCTAGTTTAGGTATCCTTTAAAACCAGATTGTTTCGTTCGGTGCGCTCGTCGATTCCTTTCCAGAGCTTCGCGAACAACCATATATTTGTGTTTTTGCGCGCGAAACTGCAATGCCTTCTGGGGGCTTCTGGAGGTCTGTCACGCTCTGTCACGTTTATAGTTAACTATTGTTGTAACAGCGAAAACAGAACAATATCAGCAACAACTGAACAAACAAACCAAAAATTCAACATGACACACAATCTTTTTCAGATGCAAGTAACGAAAACAAGGAACCTGTTCTTACATTTGACATATTAGCAAAGGCGTTGTTGAGGTCGTTCTCAGGGAGCGACTCTGGCGACTAAACGTCAACCGGAAGCTCAGCTCCAGACCGGAAATGAGACCTTTTCCTTGCTGCGGTTCTTCCTACATAGTCTTACATAGCCATACACAACCCTAATATGCCTTGCCTACCTAATTTTTATTGCTGTTAAGTGTCTTTGATCTTAAAGAGACGATCTGCTCAAGTTGGCGAAAGTTGACGGGGACCATGAGGTTGTTATAAGCCAATGATGGAAATTTTACATAGTCATGAATTCACTTGTTATTATACTAAAAAACGGCAATTTTGCCATTTCTAAACGCCGCAGGGGAGACTGTATTCAGCTTTCCTTTAATAGCGCAGGGAAATGAGAGTTTATTGACGGTGAAAGAAAAAACAATAAACAATTTTTTAAACGAGCGAGCAGGTACCAGACCATAGTATCATATATTAAGATTTATATTACGGCTGAGATTTCTAGGTGAAAGGAATATTGCCTTTCACACACTTCACCACATTATGCTCTTATCGCCACGTCAGTCACTCAAAATGATCCCGGTTTCGCCCGCTCGACGAACTCGAAATATATATATACATATATATATATTAAAAAACTTCTTTTGTATCGTAGCTCTTACTGCTTTGGAGGGAGTCCTATATAAATTTAAAGGAACACTAGCGATAATTTGCATCCACATAAATACAGAAATCAGATATGGTGGGAAATCACCAAAGTGCTCTTCCGATAGAGGCATGCGCTCGACCGGCAGTGTAAATAAACTTCCCTCTCCTTTCAGTGTGTTTTCTGTTATTCAGAAAATAGTCAAAACAACAGAAAAGAACAAATTGAGTAAAATAGTATAAATAAAATAAAGCAAAATAAAATGTAGAAAAAATAAGGAAAATAAAATAAAAGGGAAAGGAAACCTAATACATTGCGTACATAACGTATGTGTGATCGAGTGGTTATCCTCTGATCAGTTTTCTCGCGGATTCGTTCTGTTTGAGCTGGAAGCCTGCTAGATTTTGCCACGTCAAGTTTGTAGGTTCTTACAGCTATATAGTGCAACGTGTACCAAACTGTTTTGACTATTCTTAGAAGTCTGGCTGGGTTGTTTTCCTTTTATGCTTTAGAACCACAGGAAGCTCCTGCATTCTTGTCCGTCGGTAAATATGGAGAGGGCTCTTTTCTTTGTGATTTGTGCACTTGTTGTAAACAGCTGTGTTTGTGCGACCACCACTGGGAGAGACAGACCAAAGCCGCATGAAGAAAAGCTATCGGAAAAGGAGGGCACAGAATACGACCATGAGGCTTTCCTCGGAGACATGAAGGAAGAATACGACGACCTTCCTCCTGAAGAAGCTAAAAAGCGCTTGAGAATTCTGGTCAAACGTTTAGATACCGATAAAGATGGCTTTGTTTCAGAGGAGGAGCTCACCAACTGGGTAAAAGCTGTCTTCCGCAAACGCTTGATGGATGGAATAGAAGATGATGTCAAGGCAAAAGATACCGATAAAGACGGGAAGGTGTCGTGGGACGAATACCAGAAAGAATCGTATGGCGCTGAGGAGATAGAAGATCCAGATAATGAAGAAACCAAAAAAATGCTGCAAAATGACAAAAGGCGATTCGACGTTGCGGACAAGAACAAAGACGGAGGTCTGAGTAAAGAAGAGTTTGTTAACTTCATGCATCCTGAATCATCGCCAGAAATGGGAGACGTTCATGTCATAGAAACTATTGAAGGTGAGTTCTTGGTTACAAGAAAATTTAAGATATTTTTATCCATATTGAGAATTTTACTTCATAAGTATTGCTGCTTCTGTAGATTACTTTTTTAAAAAAGAAATCGTGTCAAACCGATTTGTTCTTGTAACAGTTTTCTTAGTTTCATTCAATGAACAAGTTAAGTCGTGATTGTTTTGCGAAATCCAATTATGCTTGAAATATGGAATAATGCGTTATCTCATTAAATTAGCATTTGTGGCACTGGAATCATTATACTTTCAAATCAGTGAAACAATAGTCACACATTGTACCGTTTTTGTTTTCACTTTGATTAGACGGCCTAGTAGGTGAGTTTTTGTTGGAATTATGCCAAGGAGTCTCTTAATTATGATATTTATTAAAAATACTTTCTTTGAGCAAATAATAAAAAAAAAAAAATTCAGCCATTAGTGGTGAAAAAGATAGTCTGTCTCCAGTATCCATGGTTTTGTTTGGGATAAGCTAGCCTTTCAAAATAATTTAATGGAAATTAAATATTTAAAGAACTTGACAGGATGTAAAAATAATATCAATATCCAATAACCTTGATATTTGATCAGCCATTTTTACTTGGGGGCTGATAAAATACATTTTTTCAATTTATGACTCAAACACTTTATTTGACTTTCAGTGGGATAGCTTATTGCTATTTTTTCCATTTGCTTTGTCTTTTTTTTCTTTCTTCCTATTTTGATCTGTAATGTTGCAAAAAGTTTCAATTTTTGATTTTTAAAGATTAATTTGAGCATAACCTGATCATATGTGGTAATTACAGGGAACCAGTAAACGTTATCATGGATAGTTTAGTATTTTCCCAGTTCTTAATCTAATATGTAATCCTTTCACCACCCTGTTTTTATAACAAGTTTCAAAAGTAACCAAGAGGGAATTTTTTTATGTGTGTGGGGATATTTTTAGCATTTATAGCAGCTTTGGACAAGGTTGGACAATAATATTTTATTGTTTCATCCCTGCTATGAAAAAGAGAAAACTTCTTTCCTAAAGAAAAGAAGCTAAACAAGCCCTGGCCTACAATAATATTACAAATATATACAGTACAACCAGCAACAAGATAGTTGAGACACTTATCCCCAACAGTCTTTTACCCAGACATTGAAAACTGACCGTCCAGAAGGCATAAAATTATAAGACATTAAGTGAATTTTCCGTCTGTTTCTTCCAGAAATGGACGTCCCTAGGATGGCTGGATACTCTTCTGGCTAAAACCTTGATCCCCAATATGTTCCATATTTAACTGATACCTTCCTCTTCAAATAGGACAAAGCAAGCCTTCCCTCTCCCATTCCCTGTAGAAGGGTTTTACCATTGATCAAGTTACCTGCAGGAAAAGCTTTAGTGAAAAGGGGGTTGGGGACGGGTGCAAAGGAGCATGAAGGGGTCCAGATTGGATTTTTTCTGCTACATACCGTTATTTCATCTGTTTGTCGAAAGAGTCCATTATTGTAGTAATGCTTCCATAACTTCTTCTCGCCTTTCCAGATATTGATAATAATAAGGATGGCTATGTTAGCTTGGATGAATTCTTGGGTGATTATCGTGATCCTGATGACAATGAGGCTGATGAACCAGAATGGGTCAAGGAGGAAACAAAGAAATTTAAGGATGAATATGACAAGAATCATGATGGAAAACTTGACAAGGATGAGGTGGGTAAATGCCTACTTTGCACTTAAATGAGCATCTGATCAAATAGGGAAATAGCTGCGATAAATAAAGACTATCCAACCATTTGTGTATGTAAAATCAGGATATTTTTCTAATTATCAATGAATCTTGTAAGTGTAGAAGATGTGAGCTACTAGGGGGGTCTGATGGCATGCTTACTCAGCAAATTTGGAAATGTTGATGCTTCAGAACACCATTTCTAGTGTTCTGAGAGGACAATATATGTCTAAAATGTCCGCAAAATTGATTGTCAATTTTATGCTTATTTTTATTTGCGTGATGTTATTTTAAATTTTGTGCAGTTTTTAAAAGTATTTAATCAAGGTTTTTCCAGTCAAAGCCCTTAAATGAGAACTTCTTGTAAACGACCACCTCTCATAAGCGGCTTCAACCACTTTTTGGCCTGACAGCTTTAACAGTTTTCCATAGTTTTTAACCCCTTGTAAGCGACCACTTGACTTATGGTTTACTATTTCGTTTCCAGTTAGTACTAGGCTACTCAGAGTATACGAAGAATCTTAAATGACAATAATAGAATATAGCATTATGAGATCCGTTTCTTGAAAGAGACCCCTTACGGTTGGATTCTCGTAAGTGACCACCTCCTGCACTGTTGTCACTAAGATTTCAAGTTGCCGGGTAAATACAACAAGTAGGCGGGGAATCAAATGGCTAGGGATTTCTTTTGGTTCTATTTTGCTTCTATTTTCCGATAAAAGTAGCTGGGGGCCACTCTCTTTGTAGCCGGGGAAAATCCCCGGCCCCCGGCTCTTAATGACAACCCTGCTCCACCTGTAGGCAACCACTAAATCTTCTCAATTTGTTAGGTTGCTTATGGGTGGTTGTAATGTAATAATACTACAAATAAGTAACATATTTTACATGTAAACTTCGTAGGTCAAACTTTGGATTCTTCCCGAGACTGACCAGATGATGGCCCAAGAAGAAGCGCAGCATCTGATTACGTCAGCTGATGATGATAAAGATGGAAAACTTAGTGAGGAGGAGATTGTGACAAATCATGAAACATTTGTTGGAAGTGAAGCCACCGATTATGGCCGTGCTTTACCCAAACATGAAGAGCTATAGGTTTTAATAAAGGTTTTGATACTTTTATATGCAAAACTCATCTGTTTGTCCAAGATATGTTAGTAAATTATAAAATGTGCTGGTAATATATACTTTCAATCTCAAAATCTTGTAATTCTCGTTAGAAATAATATTCCAAAGAGCAATTTTTTTTCCCTTTGAGTACATGTAACAAGTGCTGTGAGTAGAAGATTAGAGTCTTGCATCCAACTCCAACATACTTGCCTTCTCTTATAACAGTAATAATCATTACTTCATCACTATTGATATAGAAAGATCCCTGCAGATGTTCCAGAGATAATGATTTTTGATCTGTACTGAACAGACTCTTTGCCAATGAGGTCAATTTTTATAGTTTTATTAAAAGAAAAGCTGACCAAAAATGTGGTTGTGAATTTTTAAGATGTAAATTGGATACAGTGTATTTGTTAGTGTTGGTTATGATCATCACTGTCGTAGGTCATCAACTTGTGCACCAAAGTGTTAAATACAAAAATTCAGGGTTGACCAATTAGGTTCTTTTGTGGGCTGCAAAAGTTTCTAGGCCACCAGATCACTGCAAAAACTGTTATTGTTAATCCATAGTTCATGCATCTGGTTAGAGCGATTCTCGTATGACCTTGAAAAATGGTTTCGGTAAGTGTTCGTTATTTGTTTTATTAGCCAATGGATGAAAAGATAAAAATTTTGCCTCTTCTTTTTCCCGCCAGAGAAAACCCTAACATAGAGCAGGCATTGTGCGATTGGCCAATCGTGTTGCAGTATGACATGAAAGCAAAGTATCGATTGATTTCTAGAAAGTTCTTGGGCATGAAGTTTTTTCAGCCAAGTATTCGCTTAACCAACCAAAAGCCACACGTGTTTGTATCCGTTCAATAAACCAATCAAATCACTCCATTTCCATTTGTTTATTGTTTCTGTTTTGTTTGCGTGTTTTCATTTCAAGGTCAATTATGAAAATCGCTCTATTTCACTATCAACACTCATCTTCACTCTCTGTTTATCATTCCCAGTCCCTCTCCCCTGTTGGCATCAACGAGGGAAATGTGTAACAGATGCACGCTGGAGAGATGGGAAGGAAGAAGATAGTGAGACCTTCTCTTTCCATCCTTCTCATCATCCTTTTTGTTGAGTGGCCTCCTATTCTCCTCAGCGGCAATTTCTCTGTCACATACAAATAAGAGACGACTGGGACAAGTTAGTAGTTGATTATGATCTTCTAGTAATTAGAGTGGCATAGACTAAAAGCATTCTAGGAATGCATAGGTACAGGCAAGAGTATGACCATCTCTTGGCATGCTGTTATTAGCTTTGTCTCTTTCACAATAGCCTCCCACACAGACTTTTTTGCGGCTTTGTCATGCGTTCTTTTTTCATTGCATTTTTTTACTGTTGTCACAATTGTTTTCCCTGCCACAAAGCATTGTGTGACGAGCTAAGACAACGTCTACGTTAAGGCTACCTTCATAGCTGTTTTTAGGGCTGTCACACAACCCTGGAAAGAGCTGCAAAGGAGACCATAGTTTTTGTAGCTAAGCAGGAAAATTCTTGCCACTTTTTTCATGACTGTAGACCATCTTAGACAATCAGATGGGATATTTATGATATTGATAAAACTGATAGAGGGTGTTTGTTCACGTGTTTCATCGGATTCGAGTTTGAAATAAACTTCCAGGATGTTTTAAGATATGTTACCTGGTCCCCCTCTTTATTGCAACATCGTTAATATTACCCCCTAAATTAATGTCAGATGCAAATTATTTTTCGATAGTTTGCAACATTTAACTCTCAAACTTGGCAAATTGTTCTCACTTCAAGGCGGAATTTCATCCGTGTCAACCGGTTTTCGCAAACTGGTCCATGTAATGTTTCTGCTGTACCCAACTTCACTAGGCAACCTAACCTAGAGTCCAGACCCCTCCATTCCTTTTGCCGTTAAATGCGTTTGTCCAGTTATCATACCTATCACCCCTTCTTTGAAAAAAACCTGGATCCACTCCTTATTGTGATCAAGTCGTCGCTTGTGAAAACCAGGCAACTTTTAAGAACTAAGGATTTTGAAGCTAGTACATTTTGCATTTAAGTTTTGAGACGCGCGTAATGTAGTTTAATTGGGAGAGAAAGAAGTGTCCACTTTCGAGAATAAAATACAGCCTAATTCCTATACAAGAGGTAGGAGGATTTGATCTTATATGACAGTAATAGAATGCAAATCATTGCCACATGCAAATTATCCTAAAAACATGGACCGTGTCATTAATGAAACATAATGTTACAACTACTTTAGACTTTGAAACTCCATACGTCATGGTTAAATCGTAAATCAGCACATCCTAATTATCTTCCGATATTCACTCAGGCCACTTAGGCATGACTAGCTAATGAAAAATGCATATTTTGTTAAATGCTATTTCTAATGATTTGCTTCCATCAGTGATCCTGAAAAGTGAACTACAAATGTGGTTCAAGGGAAAAAAAAAACAAAGAGAAACGTGATTTCACATGTTGAGTCATTTTTATTTCTATTTTTGTAAAAAAAAAAAAGGACTTTAGGACCTATTCTGTTTATTTTCATACTTTCTCTTATAAATTCAAAGTCCCAACGAACTTCCACAGAGTTTGGGCCGCCTGTGGGCTAAGAAGTGTGTCTTTCCGTGCGGATCGTGTGTGGGCTCCACCACCAATATCCCGGATAATGAGCCCATGACCCTGCCCATGCTCTTGATCTACGATCTCGACCGTTATATAAATCGATGATCACTTTTAATTGGGCGCACCGCCCAAAATTTTCTGGAATCGATAATCTTAAAAGAGATTTCCTATTTTTGGTTATAACTAAATATAAGGGGAGCATGAACCCACCAATTTTGCCAAAATACCCCCTCCCCCTCCTCTTAAAAAACCCTTAATTTTCCCTCGAAGAGTGACAAAGGGCTTGATTACGACACCGACGTCTTACGAGTCTCAGAATCGAATATCTCAGACTTCTTTCTCTCTTCATATTTTGAAAAAGGTAGAAGGAAACGATTAGGCAGAAAGGGATTAAAACTGGTCATATCATAAGTTTATGAAAGAATGGAAAGCGGATTTATCAAACCGTTCATGCGTCAGCATGCGTATGAGCAAATCTTAACCTTGCTTATTTGTTCTATCACTGAACATGACGACGGTGTCCAACAAGAAACTCTTGCTACTGACACTGTACACAAATGAACTTAAGACGGAATCCACCAGGAAATTGAGTAATTTTAATTTTCAGTCGACAAAAACCATGTTCCAGAATAATTTAAAGAATATTGCATTCTTTTTTAAAGTTTTCAAGGGCTAAAAGATGTAATTAGTCATCTGTAAAAAATAACACCAAAGAAAATTTCTCATGGGAGTCCGAGAAAACAAATGTCAAATTTCACAAAAATTGTGAAAACACAGGTAGAATTCTGAAAATTTAATGTGTAAGATGTAATTTTGTAAAATTTGACATTCATTTTCTCGGGCTCCCATAAGAAATTTCCATATATATTTCTCAGTCACCTTTAATCACATCGAAAGAGGAACGAATATTAAAATGTTCAATGAACTGAAAAATGCTCACCGTGGGACAAGTGGCCAGCTGGTAATCTAAAGCAGGGGTAGACCCCAAAATTTGCAAAGAAGAAAGATTGAAGTAACGAGATGACCAAAATAATTCGATAAAACCGCTAACAGTAACCAGCAATGAATCAGAACGGCAAAAACAACACTCAAATCGTCATGGCGGCTTGCACATGAACGAGCAATTCAAACTTGTCACAAACGCTCAAGAAAGCAAAATATTTAAAAGTAACGTAACTACTGTCAAGATAAAGTGTTCTAACAACTTTCCACGGCCGTATAGAGTGGAAATTACCTACACAAGCTTGGAATAATGCGAAAATTTCACCATATCCACCTCGCCACCCTATTAGTAGTCATTACATGGCCAGCTAGAAGACCTGACACTGAAATAAAGTTTATCGGGCGCTTTCCATTTAGGAAAAACAACCGGAAATTTCGGTGGGAGCAAAAAGTGGAATTTCCGATTGGTAAAAAGTTGTTCCATTTGGTCGTAAACCCCGGCACGTCGCGGTGTCCGACCGTGGACCTGGAACTGGTACAAACTACGAGAAACGTAAATGGAACACGACATTCCGTTCGGAAATTCCAACCGGGAAAACGGGCCCACCTTTTTGGATTTTCCACTGTTTCTGGGAACTTCCAGTGGGACGAACCGACGAAACGTGTTCCATTTACCGCCGAACCGGAAATTCCGGAAATTTTGACTAAATGGAAAGCGCCCAAAGTTTATCATCTCTTCCCAACCGCGAAAATCACTCTACAAATAACGCATTCTGATTGGTCGAATCTCGTGACGCACACCACCTGCCGTGATACAGTAGTAAGTTCTTTTGAACATATATTACATTGAGCCATTCAGAGCTGCGATTGGATCTACACTTCTAGGTCTACAAAGAATTTACAGACTAAAGTTACTTTTATTTTGCTGTAAGAACGAAGCTTTATTAACAAAATTATGGATATTCTTTGCCAAAGTTGTATAAACCATGATGAAGACTTGGTTGGCTACCCAGATGATGATCATCAAGGTGAAAACATCGGGAGTGAAAAAGCGCAAAACAAGAGCCGGGAAGATGGCGGTTTTGTTTTGAACGTCAACGCTTCATACATGCAAATCGGTAGACAAAACGACATAAGCTTTGGTTCAGTGGATAAAACCTCTGACAGCAAAGTAAATGAAAGCGATGAAAGTGGCCCCGTGCTGACAGAATATCGGATACCAGCTGGAAAATTGAGCGTCGGTCGCAGTAGAAGTGGTTTTCCTGGTTGTAAATGCGATCATTTGGTTCAACTGTTGGCCCGTAAGAATAAGCACACGAGAGAAGCTCTTGACATCACAGATAATTACAAAATAACCATGACGGTAACTTACAATGGAACCAATGATGGCAGCTTTCAAATGCCCGATTATCAGTGTAAACGCCTCAAAACTGAAACCCAATGTGGTGTAAACCGATCAATGGTGGGTGTTGTTGGCTTCCTGTTTCGTTTTCACGAGCCTAACACAAAATACAAGATCACCTGCACGTTGCTTACAACTCCAACAAAAAGGGGAGGAAAAACTAATATTGCCAGAGAAACTGACGCTTGTAAAAAACTTAGTGAAATTTCAGTCGTTTTAGAAACAGGAGAAAGATCAAAATGGAAATCAGTTAAGCCCAGAGAAAAGACGGAAGTGCGTAAGGTTTCACCGTCATTTGCATTGGGACCAGCTTCTTTGTCCAAGCCTGATGCAAAACTACTTGATCGATCCGTTTCGGTGGTGAATAAGTTACAATCTCTCCGCAATGATGGAAACTGGGAGGATTTTGACAAGTTATCCTGCGATCTTCTCCAAACGTTTCCTGACACAGACATTCAAATTACTGTTAAACTTGAACAAGGAATGGCTGCCCTTTATACTAGTAGAAACGATTTCGAGCGGGCTCTTCATTTCTTCCATGAATCTTTCAAATTAATGCCACAAGCCAAAAATATGAAACTTTTAGTTGGCAGAGGCTACGGTTATCTTGCGGGTATCGCGAGGCGACAAAAGAATTTGGGCGAGGCCACTAGTTTAATGCAGCTTGCGGAGCAAAACAGCCATGAGTGCAGTGACTCACTTCTCGATAGAAGCTACATCGCTAACGAGAAGGCTAGCGTTTTGCTCGATTTTATCGGACTTGCTCCTCAGAAAAGTCTTCAACAAGTGAGAGAGGCTCGGGATAATCTTAAAAGGTGCATAGATCTGTGTAATCAACTCGAAAAGGATGATAATGATTTCCACATACAAAGACACCACTTCGCCTTCGTTAAAATTGCACTGCTGTTGTTCGACTGTGGAACGGAGGCCGCGCGCGAACGCGTTCTTAGCGAGGATTTTATTGCAGAAGGCGAAGAGAGTTTGATGACACTGAAAACCGAGTACTGGACAGAGGTCACTGAAAGTGTTAAGATTCAGTTTTATCTAGCCAGCTCCGATCTAGAATATCGTAAAAGAAACTATCTGGAGGCAGAGAGGTTCGCTAATTTAGCGAAGGACAAGGCGGAAAATTTCGGATTCAATACAGAAATTTCTCAGGCAGAAAAACGTCTAGATTACATCAGTGTTGTGGCAAACATTGGAAGGAATGGAAACGATTCACGACTCTTTACACCAACATCCGTAGGCGAGAGTGAAGGAGATGATGGTGACATCAGTTCGTCAGCATCAGAATCTGATTGGTTGCAGAATTTAAACTAGGACCAAGCCATATTTCCAACCATTTGCTGACACCGGATCAATTTTTCATAAAGTTATACTAACGCTGCCTCCCCGTTGTCCTCTGCTCGTGGGTCCAGAAAAGAGAAATGGAGGGAGCAAAGTGTGATATATTACTATTTTTAGAAGGGAATTTGTTACAAAATACTGAACTAGTAATAGTTGACACTACAGCTGCCCCCGCTCTATATGTTGTAGGACAATTGTATTCTTGATCATTGTGAAGCTCTTTAAAATATTTCAATTCAAAGTGAAGGTTTACACATTTATTCCATACCATAGGTGAGATAAAAACAGGAAAATCGTTTTGTTTGTTTGTGGACTGAGTCTTCATAGACAGAGACAGAGTGTCTGGCAAATTGTTTCCAATCATAGATTTGTGAATGATAAAGTTGTGTCGGGCAAGTTGTGTCTAGCAAGTGTTTATATCAGTTATACGCACCCTATAACTTCATCCGCGCTTAACGAGTGCCTTTTGGTCCATGATAACTTTTAAAACAGCTGCTCCACAGAATGTCACTGATACCACGCAACGCAAAAGAGTACCGAAGTATAACTGTACAATAAATGTGAGGGGTCCCTTTGGGGATTTTCTTTTCTACGTCATCCTAACCATTTCGTACTCGCGGGCGTAAACAATAGAAACGTCATCATTACCTAAAGATTCCATGCAGCTCCAGATCAAGCAAGTCAAGATTTTTTTTTGGCATACTGAGATCCCTGCGGGGCAATTAAGCTTAGCCTGCCATATCAGCTGAAGGGTCTGCAACGAGTACAAAGTATGTGTTACGGCAGAGTCAGACACCTCCATAAGACGGACACCTAGCTAAGACGAACAGCTAGAGTTGGTCAATGCCTTTCTTTACTCTTTTGATTGACTCTTTATAACGACACCTCAATAAAACGGACACCTAGAGTTGGTCCCTGCCTTTCCTTACTAATTTTAGCTGACTCCCTATAAGACCGGCACCTCGCTAAAACGGACACCTAGAGTTGGTTCCTGCCTTTCTTTACTCCTTTTGGTTGACTCTCTATGAGACGGACGCCTTGCTAAAACGGGCACCTAGAGTTGGTTCCTGCCTTTCTTTACTCTTTTGATTGACTTGTTATAAGACGGACACCACAATAAAACGGACACATTGTGCGAGTCCCAAAGGTGTACGTCTTTAATAGCGAGAGTTGACTGTAAAGCTCCCAAACGGAATGGCGCAGGCAGACCCTGATCTGAAATTCCAATCGGATTACTTCGCACTTAGTCTGTACACATACCTTGTTTTATTTTTCTTTTCGATAATCGGCGAGCGCTTGAGCAAAGCTAGCTTGCCAGAGCGAGCGCGAGAGGGTGGCGGTCAAAACATTCCCCGCTGTTTTTATTGACCTTTATTTTTATCACCCGCGCGCTCAACGGACTTTGAAGAGAAAATAGAGGGTCTTTGAACAGGCTATTTCTACTTAAAGGCTTCTACTTAAAGATTACTCCAACCCATCAATTCGAAAGAATCGGAATCCTCGATAAATAGGTCGTTTAGAGAACAACAAACTTGCCAGATGGCTGAGCCTTATTAGCCGGAAAGTTCTTTCCATCAGTGATTTGGTCACGATAGTGATAATCAGATGGAATATTTTTGATCTTGGTACAATCATTGTTGGAGGACTGCCATCTTAGGAAAAGTGCCAAGATTGGGTTGCGTAAATGATCACATTCTGGGCAAACATGCCTCTCCGAAACTGGTTGCCATAGAATCATCACGTATGAACAAAAATCGATCATTAGTAAACATCACTAGGTTAGATGGAAACTGAAGTTAATTTCAGTAATATGAACTTTCAAAGTCCGACAGGGTATCTTTTCATTTCATAACAGAACACCATGATAACACCCAAAATATGAAGTTTAGGACTTTGGTATGACAGGAAAACTGAGATGAACTGGCCCTCTTTTAACTTAAGAAGATTTTCATTTGCATACAATTAGTCGTTTTGATTGTTCCCACTGGTAGAAACAACTAAAATTCGTTCATGTATCGGCCGGAATTAAAAGAACAAACTGCATTCTTTTAAAAAAATAAAGCTGAATCTTTAGGCTGGTTTGATGCACCCAACGAAACAAAACCGTGATACAGTAGTGTTTTGAAAAAAGATGATGACCACATCAAGCCGGGGAATTCCCTTCACATCACCAGACAGTCTCGCTAATCTGAACACGTGCACTAAAAGATCTTTTGAAACCCCACATACTTCAGAGCTGCGATTGGATCTACACTTCTACACGGCTACAAAAAATTGCAGACTAAACTTACTTATATTTTGTCTTAAGTAACGTAGATTTATTCACTAAAATTATGGATATTCTTTGCCAAAGTCGTATAAACCATGATGAAGACTTGGTTGGCTACCCAGATGATGATCAGGGTGAAAACATCGAAAGTGAAAGAGCGCAAAACAAGAGCCGGGAAGACGGCGGTTTTGTTTTGAACGTCAACGCTTCATGCATGCAAATCGGTAGACAAAACGACATAAGTTTTGGTTCAGTGGATAAAACTTCTGAAAGCAAAGTAAATGAAAGCGATGAAAGTGGCCCCGTACTGACAGAATATTGGAGACCAGCTGGCAAATTGAGCGTCGGTCGCACTAGAAGTGGTTTTCCTGATTGTAAATACGATCACTCAGTTCAACTGTTGGTCCGCAAGAATAAGTACACGAGAGAAGCTCTTGACATCACAGATAATTACAAAATAACCATGACGGTATCTTACCATGAAGCCAATGGTAGTAGCTTTCAAATGCCCGATTATCAGTGTAAACGCCTCAAAACTGAAACCCAGTGTGGTGTAAACCGATCAATGGTGGGTGTTGTTGGCTTCCTGTTTCGTTTTCACGAACCTAACACAAAATACAAGATCACCTGCACGTTGCTTACAACTCCACCAAAAAGGGGAGGAAAAACTAATATTGCCAGAGAAACTGACGCTTGTAAAAAACTTAGTGAAATTTCAGTCGTTTTAGAAACAGGAGAAAGATCAAAATGGAAATCAGTTAAACCCAGAGAAAAGACGGAAGTGCGTAAGGTTTCACCGTCATTTGCATTGGGACAAGCTTCTTTGTCCAAGACGAACACAGAACTGTGTAAGAGATCCGCTTGGGTGATTAATCAGCTACAGGCGCTTCGTAATGATGGAAAGTGGGAAGATTTCGACAAATTTTCGGGCGCTCTTCTTCTTCAATATCCCGATACCGATACGCAAATTACTATTAGAATGGAACAGAGCTTGGCAGCTCTATATAGAAATAAAGTCGAAAGCGCTCTTGAGTTTCTTGATGAATCTTTCAAGTTCATGCCACAGGCGAATAACGTAGAACTTTTAGCTGGTAGATACTACGGTTATCGCGCGGGAATCGCTAGGCGACAAAAGAATTTAGGCGAAGCCGCGACATTCATGCAACTTGCGCAACAGAACGCTACTGCTTGTCACACGCACCTAGACTTCATTAGCTTAATCGCCTACGAGAAGGCCAGTGTTTTGCTCGATTTCATTGGACTCGCACCTCAGAAAAGCCTTCAACGAGTGAGAGAGGCTCTGGATAATCTTGAAAGGAGCATAGATCTGTGTATGCAGCTGGAAAGGGATGATCACGATCTTCGCATACAAAGGCACCACTTTGCCTTCATCAAAATTGCAATGTTGTTGCTCGACTGTCGAACGGATGCCGCGCGCGAACGCATTCTCACAGAGGAATTTTTAGCACAAGGCCAGGACTGTCTAAACACACTGAAAACCAAGTACTGGTCAGAGATAGCTGAGGGTGTTAAGATTCAGTTCTATCTGGCTAGCTCCGATCTAGAATACCGTAAAGGCAACTTTGTGGAGGCAGAGAGGTTCGCTAGTTTAGCGAAGGACATGGCGGAAGATTTCGGATTCAATACGGAGACTACTCTCGCCCAAGAACGTCTAGATCACATCCATGTTTGGACTGGAAATGATTCACGGCTATTTACGCTCCCATCCGAAGGCGACAGTGAAGGAGAGAAAGGTGACATCGGTTCGACAGCATCAGAATCTGATTGGCTGCAGAATTTAGACTAGTAATACGCCATATTGGACAAATGTACATCCATTTGTTGGCTGTGTCAGATGGGTTGACTTCAGCTAATCTTAAATAAGTGTGATATAGATGTCTTCGCTACTCAGACACTTCTAGTTAAGAATAGCAGATGCTAGTGAAATTTGATTTGTACACCGCGCATGACGACTTCTGGTTTTTGAAAACCCCAAATTGTAGACAATGACGTCATGTGGAAGCAGGGGAATTCCCTCCCTAAGCACAGCGAACATAGATATTAAAAATTTGCCAGCTTTCGAAACTCAATTTACATACTGTAAGACTGTTTTGGAAGCTAAAAAACTAACCGTAGGCCATTTTTAGCCTTCCAGTGATAGAAAACTGAAAATGGTCACTTCATGTGAGTTTTTTTTGTCGCGCGTTTAAAATGGCTACCAAAAGTGGAAACATGGAACAAGAGAGAATTTTTTTCGGGCGTTCTCAGGATGACCAGAATAACATCACTGGCGGAATGGGGAGCGAAAGTGTGGAAAAGGATTCTTTGGGGGCGTTTGTCTTGAGTGTCGATGCTCGAATCATGCAAGTGGGTAGACAAAACGACATAAGTTTTGGTTCAGAGGATCAAACTTTTGACAGCAAAGCAGATGGAAGCGATGAAAGTGGCCCCGTGCTGACAGAATTTTCGATACCAGATGGCAAATTGAGCGTCGGTCGCAGTAGAAGTGGTTTTCCTGATTGTAAATTCGATCATTTGGTTCAACTGTTGGTCCGTAAGAATAAGCACACGAGAGAAGCTCTTGACATCACAGATAATTACAAAATAACCATGACGGTAACTTACAATGGAACCAATGATGGCAGCTTTCAAATGCCTGATTATCAGTGTAAACGCATCAAAACTGAAACCCGATGTGGGGTGAACCGATCAATGGTGGGTGTTGTTGGCTTCCTGTTTCGTTTTCATGAGCCTAACACAAAATACAAGATCATCTTTTCCTTACTTACAGCACCATCGAAAAGGGGAGGAAAAAGGAATGTTACCAGACAAACTAACGCTTGTAAAAAAATCAGCGAAATTTCAATCATGTTAGAAACGGGAGAAAAATCAAAATGGAGATCAGTTAAGCCCAGTGAAAAGACGGAAGTGCGCAAAATACCACCTTTATTTGCATTGGAACCAGCTTCTTTGTCCAAGACGAGTGCTGAACTGGTTGAACGATCCGTTTCGGTGGTGAATCAACTACAGTCGCTCCGTAATGATGGAAAGTGGGACGATTTTGACAAATTATCGAGCGATCTTCTCCTTAAATTGTCTGACATCGACTCGCAAATTATAATTAAACTGGAACAGAGCGTGGGAGCTCTTTACAGAAAAGATTTTGAAGGCTCTCTGAAGTTTATCGACGAATCATTTGAGTTGATCCCACAGGCCATAAATGTACCGTTTTTAGTCGGCAGAGGCTACGGCTACCGTGCCGGGGTCGCGAGAAGACAGAAGAGTTTAGGCGAGGCTGTTAGCCTTTTGCATCTGGCCGAGCAAAACAACCGAGCGTGTTCCATAAACCTCGACACGAGCAACATCGCATACGAGAAGGCAAGTGTTCTTCTCGATTTCATTGGTCTCTCACCCCAGAAAAGTCTTAAACAAGTGAGAGAAGCTTTGGGTAATCTTGAAAAGTGCATAGATGTCTGCATGAAACTGGAAATAGAAGACAACGACCTCAGTCGGTTCGCGTTCATCAAAATTGCCATGCTGTTGCTTGATTGTAGAACGGATGCCTCTCGCGAACGAGTTCTTAGCGACGAGTTCATAAAAAAAAGCCAAGAATGTTTAATCAGGCTGAAAACCAAATACTGGTCAGAGATCGCCGAGGGAGCTAAGGTTCAGTTTTACCTGGCTAGCTCCGATCTTGAATATCGTAAAGGGAAGTTTGTGGAGGCAGAGAGGTTTGCTTGTTTAGCGAGGGACATGGCGGAAGATTTGGGTTTCACTACCGAGATTTCTCTGGCGCAGGAACGTCTCAATCACTCTCGTGTTTTTGCAATCGACGAAAGGACTGGAAACGACTTCAGGCCATTTACATCATCATTTGTCAGCGCGAGTGAAGGGGAAAATGGTGACGTCAGCTCATCAGGATCAGAATCTGATTGGCTGAAGACTTTAGAGTAACAAGACATTTTTGTTTCTACTAGGAGATACTTTTAATTTGGAAAAACAACAAATAGCGAGTATAAAGCATTAGAAAGTTTCTATAGTTACAGATATGCGGCTACGTTCATTTAAAATATTTTAGCGCGACTGAGGTTGTTCTCTTAAAGCAGCTGTGGTGCTTTAGACATCGGTCATTAGTTGGTGGCTATAACTTACAATGATATGTTTTCATAACAAGAAATTTGGTGCAAGCCAGTGCTCCGATAGATGATTTTAGTCTTCACATTTATGTAAGTGATCAGATGTCAAAAAGCAGCGATTCTTTTTAAACATTCAGCTATAACAAGTTGCGATAAAACATTTCTTAAAAACATTCTAAGAAATTTTTTAAAAAGTTAAATAATACGACGACGTTTCGACGTTCTCGGACGTCATGATCAAATAAAAAAAAAATCGCGTATGAATGTTTTATAAATACAAGAAAAAAACAATAGGTCATTAAAAAGAAAAGTAACATAAAAATATATTACAAGTAAGTTAAACAAAGAGTTTCGCGCTAATGGAGTCACTCTGAGTATTAAGATAAGGCCTAGGTTCTTTGATGAATAATATCTCGTAAATGAGGCTGTCCGAATTTCGGTGGCACTTCTTAAGAACGCAAAAATGACCCTCATTCGGAAGTTTTTTGTCACCGTGAGCTTCTAAAAATTAAAATACTTTCCGATAGCCGAATATTTGTATGCAGCAAGCACTGATATAGGTGTCGGGCTGGGTAGCCGACATATCTTGAGTCGTTTATTCACACACCGCGAAAATCATGTTGAAAGTTTTCTGATGTTCAGAATGTAAACTTAGCTAACTAAAGCGGGTTTACAGAGATATTTCTGACATTTGTTTCTCTTCAACTTTAGAACACTGTGGGGTAATACCGCGACTTCTATATTTTGTTAAGAGCTAATTTTCCGAGCTAAATTTTCAAACTTTATGAACTAAGAGAAAAAGAAAGAAATTAAACAATACAATAAAACAAAGAAACCCTCCTGAATATGTTACGGTTTAGTTTTATCCTCGGTTAAGATTTTCAGTTATTCACCTTAATTTGTTGCAAACTCATTATCATCATACATTACAATACTCAAAAACAAAGGAAATAAAATTTAAACCAAGGATAAAATTAAGCCACATTATATACGCTTAACAGTTTTATGCCATTAAATTTATTCTCCGTTTTCTTGGAACTAAGCTCGTTGTAGAGCATTTTAAAGTCGTCGCGTCATGAGTGGGGTTAATTTTGTAAAATTTATTGACAGTAATTGCCACATGCATTTAGTTCCTGAAATGTTCTGTAAGCACTGACAATTGATTTTTAAAAATACCGCATCGGAAGCTAAAACGCTCAACATTATGACTTCGCTTTCTCCACTAAATTTCATCTTTTTTATTAGTTGACTTTTTTGTCCAAAAAGCGGCAGACTAAGTGGAATAAAATAAATCACTGACCTACAGAGACAGAAGTTCCATTCGAAGGAGGAAAAATACTAAAACACGCGTAATAAATAAAACGCAAATTTGTTACTTTGGAAATGTCTACATGTCTTAAATAGGAAGCAGCGAGGAAAAGGCACGTCTTATTAGCCTGTATCTGATGTACAATGTGCGTCTAATTTTCCCTCTAGAATCTGTTTTATCCGATTTATCAGTAGCATTGGAGAGCATTTACGAAAGATTTTTAATTTTTCAATATTAATGCGGACACCGCAGTCTGTCAAACTTTAAGGGCGTACGTCGAATGCCGATTTACAGTAGCGATATGACACGTAAAAACTTCAATTGCTTAAGTCAAGAATCGTTATCTATCACACGTGTTACAAAATTGTAAATCTAACTGTTTATTCATACGCGATCACACAGCCATAATTAATACAGTAATGCAGTGCTTACACAGCTGTGAAAACTGAGCTCATGGCACAAAGCGATTGGCTTTTTTATCAGTCCAATAGCATTTTACCACTTATACCGAAAAGAATATGACCAAGAAGGCCTTACATTTTCAGACATATTGTTAAGAAGTTTAGTTTAGCTTTCTGCAGCGACAAAAACTTCAAAACCAGCTACAATATCCACCCACTTGTCTCCCGGCCTTAAAACCAGTACAGTGGGCATTTTTACCATGGTGTTATTGTGCACGATAGCACTTGTACTTCAGTTAAGTTTTAATTTACTGGTTTTTGCGGAAGTTCATCCTCACAAAGACGACTTTCATAAACACGAGCATTTTGGCGCAAACCAACAACACGACGTACGATACGATCACGAAGCTTTCCTCGGTCCCGATGCCGAGAAATTCGAGAAACTGACGCCCGAAGAATCTAAACGAAGGCTTAAAACTATTGTCACGAAGCTGATCGACACCAACAGAGACGGCCTAGTTTCGCCCGATGAGCTGTCGATATGGATTGAAAAGCAAAGGAAGGCTTTTATGTACGAAGATGTGGATAAAAGAATCGCGAAGGAAGACACAGATGGCGATGGTGAGATTACATGGCTTGAGTATGCTAAATCGGAATACGGAGAATGGTACGATCCCGAGAGACTTCCAAAAGACCACGTAAGTTTACAGATGCAGTCCCTTTAAACCTGTTGAAAATAAACGAATCGCTCTTTCAAAGCGAATTCTCAGTGTTTTCCATGCTTAGTTAACAATTTAATATTATATGATCAACCTTAGTATGAACCTTTCAGAAGGTTACAATACCGTAAGAAGGTATGATTACCTATAATTTCAGGGGCTTTTAACCTCAAAAGTAAGTAAAGTTATTCCGCACGTTTAAGTATCTATATCATCACTAATCGGTCTTCTTTTATTGTTCAGTTGAATGGCTACTTCATGAAGTGATATTCTTAAAAATGTAATGAAATATTTTTAAGTTCAGGAAAGTCTGCTTTTTGTTAGTTAATTGATATAAAAAGACACGCGTTTACTTAAGAAAATGTTTTAAAAACAGCTTTTATATGAAATAAATCGAGTGTGATGAAAGGAAATTTCAAGCAATAGACACAAGTAAAAAAATCCTGATTATAACTGAAAACAGGTGTAACAATAACACAGTAATAAAACATAAAGAAATAATGCAAAACTTTGGACTCGGAGCAGCTAGGAAATCAAATTAATCATTTCAGCAGCTTTTACTTTCAATTGACTGATTTGAGGTTCGTCTTTTACTAACGATATGCTGTGATTAAACGAGCGTGGAAAAACAAATTAAGTCGAATTAAAGAAATCAATTTTACGATCCCCATAGACACTCATAAACATTAAAATACCCAGACTTATCAGAAAACTGAGTATAAAAGCTTTAAACATTTCCACAAGATTTGAACCAATGATTTACGTTGCCGGTACGACACTTTACCAGCATCTTAAATTCATTAACTGATTATCATTTACGGCGCAAGATTTGAAACACTGGGAGAGTTTAAGCAGCGACGTTTTCGAGCGACGCGCGTCAACCGGAAGTGGAGTTTTTGCACTATTCGGGGGGGACTTTGAACAACGTCTTGGAAAAATCGTCTCTTTAAGAGTAAAGACACTTAGCAATACAAATTTGGTAGCGTCATGGCATATTAGAAGAGAAAAAGGCTCACTTCCGGTCGACGTGCGTCGTTTAAAAACGTCGCTGATGGTGCCAGAGACTTTCCATGCGCAGTTTCCGGTTTCGGCTTCGCCGCTGGTGGGTTCGGCCGTTCGCCGAAGATGTGACGGCCTGCGTATGCCGCCGGGCCAATCCGGAAGCAGGCCGGTCACACGCGTTACGTGAGCTAAAACCGAACCCAAGGTAAAGATTTGACAGAGAACAGAAAATTCAATATTGTCATTTTGTCTTTCATTCAGAGTTTACGCCGACAAATCCGTAAAAAGCAGTACAAGTTCGGCATGGCAGACGCAGACAAAAACGGCAAGATGAACCGAGATGAATACGTGGACTTCGAACATCCAGAGGAAAACAAGAGGATGGAAGAAATTGCTTTAGATGAAGTTATAGAAGATGTCGATGAAAATGGAGACGGGTAAGATAGATGTCCAGAAATTTTCTTTTACATAAATTTGATGTCAAACAAGATAAAAGTATTGATCACAATGATCGACATATTCTCGGATCGTAGTTGCAAAACGTTGAATCTTCGGAAGACTTCGGATAGAAATCTTCTCAAACACATGTAGGTGTCTACTATTCGAAAATCATTCAGATCATTCCCGCAACTAACAAGTATTTTAAATCACGTGAATAGCCTAAGAGTAAGCAAAAAAATCCTTTAGAAGACTTCTAATAATAGGCCATTGGCCATCTCCAAGTTCAAAAACCCTCGCCTTTAAAATGAGGCCAAATTCAAAACCTTTCTTGTGTAATCTTGTGATATGACCAGTACCTTACGCATGCGTACAACTACATCACTCCGACATGTGGCATAATGGCCTATTTCCATTGCGGAAAAGCTCAATTACAATGAATTATCTTCTGTTAATATCACTAACTGATGTTTCAGTCAGAGCTATTTTCGTTTGAAGCATGAATACAACGATCAACGCAACTAATCTACTTAACATGGTAACTTATATATCAACTCGAAAACGCCTCCTTGTGCATTTTAACTATTAAAAACAATGCATATGTTCATTCTACAGGGTGATAAGCGTTGCTGAATTCCTCGGCCAGTACCACGATGCCACGAACCCACCATCCTGGGTGACACGTCAGCGTGAAGAATTCCACAAAAAATTCGACTTAAACAAAGATGGCAAGATGGACCGAGAGGAAGCGAGAGCCTGGGTACTACCCGAAAGAGATGACTCGCACGATGAAACAGCACATTTGATGGACGGAACAGACGAGAATGCAGACGGCTTTCTATCTGTGGATGAAATACTACTTCACTGGAATCTATTTGTTGGAAGCCTGGCTACCGATCACGGTCAAACCTTAAAGAAAGTGAAGCCGCATGAGGAATTGTAGTGTTATTTTATAATGTAGTGTTTTAAAAGTTTCTTTAATGTTTCTCCTTTACGAGTGATATTTTTCTTTGATTTAGAGTTTGCTTAACACAGTAAAGAAACCTTGGGGTAGTCAACCAGTCAGAAGCAACTAGGTCTTTTGTTGGCCTGCAAGGAAAGCGATGTCTAATTGAGGCAACCTGAACCTGGGATCGGAGAGGGGGGGGGGGGGGGGGGTGCCAGGGAGTAGGCGGCGGCCACTCGAGATTCTTTTACTGGGGCTAGGAATATCGTTCGTTTTACCGAGGACTTCGTTACATAGAGTTTTGTTATATCGAGGTTCCGCTGTACCCCGACAGCACTTAACACTTAAATTCTTGGCCCTTGTAACACTACGGATAATAACATGGCAAAGTCAGATTTACTTGTTACAACAGTAAACACCAAAACTTTTTTTTTGCAACATTAAACGTTACTTTTTAGCCTTTCATAACTTTAAGGAGAGAGATCCCCGAGAGGAGAATTTCCTTTAATCGTAAAGGATGGGGCTCTTCTGCTTCAGACGGGCAATTACATTTTTTATTGTTGTTGTTGTTTTATTTTCATCAAAGAATACCTGTTCTGCTCGAAACAAATTGATTCCTATCACGCAACTAAAACACAAATGCTGCCGGTTTCACTTCACATAACTTAAGAAAGAATAAAGCGCGACTTTTTTCGTAAGTGAGAACAGAGCTTTGTAACGCAAAATCGTATCAATCGTATTAATACTCAATATACTCAAGAACCTTTCTATATATTTAGCTTAAATAAAGTTTAGGACAGTAGACGAAATTTTTCATGCTTAGTTAGTCTATGGCTTATATCTTCAGGTTATTTTTTCCATTCCAAAATAAAGTATAACTGTGGAGTTCATCAAAAAATTGTGGCGTTCAGTTTGTGGTCTATTTTGTAGTGAATGAAAAGTGGGATCAAACAACAGCTTTATAGAACGGATGTAAATAAAACTTGTGTCCCAAACCACCCCTCGCGCGCTCAAAAGAACTTTATTGCAGTTTATGCATGATACCTGTGGTTCGGGAGAACAGGACAAACAGATTCGATGTCTAAAACCGATGAAAGAAAACGTACTACATTATACAGTTTTTCAGACACCAACTAAGCTGGACGGAATAAGTCGGAATAATACATTAATGTGTAACCTTGATTACAGCTAACTGTTTTGAATTCACACTCGAAATTCTTTTCGAAATCAAACACTTTTTCTAAAAGAATTTACTGGTTTTACGTGCTATCACTAATCTGCGACATAAACAGCTGTCGAACTTTGTATCTTTTGTGCATTGCAGTATCGTCAAACCGCTGAGCATAAATTCTGTAGATCTCATTTCGCCTCTCCCTAGTGTCGTTGATTGACAGCCTTGGCTCCTCCTCCACAGGCCGTCGGTTACAAGATGCTGTCATGCCACCCTGTACTTTGACTTTTCCCGCCTTTTTTTCGTCGGGGCGCGCTTTCTCAGATGACTTGTTCGGATTTTTGCCACCAATTATCGGAAGTTTTGTACCGGGTGCAGACTGCAGTATTCAATAGGAGAGAAACTAGTTTAAAATTATCGCAATTTCTTGGATAGCTTAGCGCTTATCTAGCGCTAGTATCCCAGAAAGCCAAGTTCTTTTCCAGAGTAAACCAAAGCTATTATTGTCATTTAGTCACTCAAATCCAAACAGCTCTAGATGGGAAACTTGAAAAAAATGGGAAACAAGATTGTTCCCTTCCAACTCCAGCGGATAAGCCAGACCTTGACGACGCTTGAAGGGGGAGGGGAACTCTCCAATGTTTCTCTGTGAGAAGTTAATTCATACGCAAGAAAGCAAGAAAATAGTGACGGTGCTTAAATATTGCAAAGGATGCCTACCTGGGCTCGAAGCAGCTCAGCATGCCAATAATTTGATCTTGTGACGTGACCAGCGAATTCCTTATTGATTCCCTCTAATCTGTAAAACAATTTATATTATATAGCAACTTCTTTTTTATAGACGAAGCGTCTATTAGCGTCAATACCCTGAAATGGCAGAAATTTTGCTTTTTAAGTCCCTTTTTTGCGTTTTCGAAAATACCATAATTCGATTTAGCTAACTGCGTCGCAGACGTCATCTAACCCCCTCAATTCGAATTTCCTTTTAACCTGATTGGCTAATCGAACAATGGAATGCAATTGAATAGAACTAAATACTATTTGGAGTGCGTATTTTGTTTTTTTTTTTATATAGACACTGCCCACCTTGACTAGCCTTTGCTATTTGTGAGCTGTGAGAAAATAAAATTGTAAATTTGGATTAACCAATAAAAATGAATGAACGAACGAATGAATTGATTTTTGAACAGGCCCTAGTGCGTACTCAAATCGTGGAAGAATGATTTTGGCGCTGGCTCGCAAACAGACTTAGTCAGCTCTTTCGTCTGTGTCGCATTCTAAATTTGTTTTTGACACTGTGAACCTAATTGCTTGTAAATGGACTAAAGTCGTGCGAATGGCTTTTACCCATGACACAGGAGACTACGTTTAAACTCACTCTCTAGCAAGTGCCATTTTCAGTTCCTCCTCATTTTTATCAGCTCTTCTGGACATCCAGGGGATCTTCATTACGATCTACAACAACAACAACAACAACAAAAAAATACATTAGCTCCAGACATACAGCATAGCGAGAAACTATACTTCAAGACAGCCAAGCCTTTAACGCTGGAAAAAATGCCATAACGATTGCCAACTATTTCTTCCTTAGCTCCCAGAAAATGTAAGTTAAATGAATTGAAGCGAGAAAACTCTGTCATTCTCCGGAAGCGGGGCTAAAGCGACAGACTGAATATTATCCATAAATTCAGAATGAAGAAGTGGATTAAGTAAGACGAAAAAATAGGCAAAATACTTACTTGTTTGGACGGGGTGAGCTGAGGTGAGAGGGAGGTAAGTTTCGTAGAACGTCTATCCGTTGATCGACTCTGCAAAAATAAAACACAGATCTACTAAGCTGCTAATAAATAACACTTTTAACTCTACCATTAGAGCCCTACACGGATTGTTGATGATGTTAGTGAGTATGGTTCAAAGAGCGATTAAAGTAACGAGAATTATGGAGATTTGCAATTATCGCGTTTATGTCAAAATAAAAAGGTAATTATACCATAGACCTCTTTCATAATGGAGGCCCATATATTTGTTCTTTCTTATGTATATAATGAGCCGTTCTGGACTTTTGTATTTCGCACATGCTAACGAGGACAGAAAGGCTAATTGTCATACATATAAAATAACAAATTAATAGGCACCCATTAGCTCTATGCGTTAGGAGATCACCCGACCATCAGTAATCGGCTCCTGGCTCCGGTATGTGATGCCCACATATTAACAACCTCATTTTAAGGCCAGAAACTCCTTTCCATGCTTTATGTAAAAGAAATCGTACATGCGTACATGCATACAGCATACACTTGTACATGGAAATGAACAAAAGTGAGAAAGAAGCGAAGCGGTAGACTCAGAAGTGACTTAAGATTCTCCTAAGCGCTTCTCTTTAGGCTGCTAAAAGGACTGAAAACAGCTCTTACTACCTCGCGAGACGAAGACAACGTCCGTGTTTTTCCCCTTTCGATGTAGTCTAAAAGAGAGAAGACAAACATAAAACTTTGAGACTAAAGAAGTAGGGGTTTTACATCCTCGTTCCCAGGGTTCTCTCCTACGAGTAGCGACGAGTAGGACGTAGCCGCGAGTAGGACGTAGCCGCGAGCGCAGACGTATATCCGGGGGTCGCTTCTCCCCACCCGAAAAAGTTAGCGTTCGCAGGCTAAGTAGGAGAGGACCCTAAGGGTCAAAAGCTATTTTGAGTCTACTCACCAAGCATAGTTGAGATTATCAGGAGACTGGATTTAAGCAAGATCTGATTTGCCTCGGTCTTGTTAAATAGTAGTGACTGACCAACTTCATAAAAACCAAGCGACGCGAGATAGCGCTGAAGCTCAGGGTTAAACCACAGTGAACGCAGAACAAAATCGCTTGTCTTCATTATTCTCTCGGGATAACGACAACTGAGGTTCAACTAAAAAATGAGGCAAGAATTGCGTGAGAGGAGCCTAAGGAAACAGCCGACATTTCGTGACGCTAACATTTATTCCTCGCGAAAAGACGTCTGAGAAACTAACGCGGAAATTCCATACTGATGACAGGTTACTACCCACAGTGCTTCTGATTGGTTGAAGCGACTGTTCCACGCGGCACCGACGACCAATAAGAAGCACCGCCCAGATCTGGGTAGTGACACGTCATCAGTCGGTTCCTGAGGCCTCATTTCGCGGGGAAACCAGTGGTTGCGTCGTGAAATGTCGGCTGTTTTTTCAGGCTAGCACGACAGAGGCTCCGCCATTCATACAAAGAAAAAATTCCGCTGCTAAACTGGTAAAGAGATACCAATAGAACGGGTTCATCAACGGGAAAAACGGTGGGGAGGAAATCATCAAAGAAGGGTTTTATTTGCCTTTATAACACGGCTCTCGAGAAAACAACAACTGAGAGAAACGATAGGCGGTGTAAAAGTCAGGTGATTGTCATAAGCTTAAATGGGGTTCCCGCCGCAAGGTAGTCAGAGAAAATATATTGTCAAAAAACATCCTGTAAAGAGAAAACCAGAGAGTGCAGCGTTCAGTTGGAAAGTGGAAATATCTAGTCAGGAGTAAGCAATAATGTAAAGGATGCACAGAATAAACTTACAAATTCTTTAAGTTTTTCCATTGTGTTTTTCTTTAACGTTTGTAACACCTTAGCTAAGGTGTAACCTCCACTTGAAGACACCTTTACAATATCTGCAAGGAAATTTTTGCACAACCACATGGGCGTTACGACAAAAACTGTAGAAGCAGCAGGTAAACTAGATTATTAGCTGATTTCTAAGAATTTCTTGACCTTCCTTTAGCTTACATTCCGTAGCCTGCGTGGCATTCGCCATTTGCACATCTCCCATAATACGACCTGTTTGCCCCATTAAAATTCTGCATAACTTTTGTTTTTAATATCTCCTGGGTATTACAGTCGCCCTTATGCAATTATTTTTCTGGGGAGGGGGCGGGGGACAAACAAGGGATTATCTGAGATGTGCAAATGGCGAATTCCGCTCTTTTTGGGTGGCTAGATCATTAAAGCCACCGAAAATCCCAGAAATCAAACAATTTCCAGTTTTCTGACCTATACCCTATAATATTACAAGGCTTGGTGAGAAAAGAAGCACTCGCGTCACAGGGTACCCACGAATCCTGCTAAATCAAGAACGTAGGGGAATTGCTACACCCTCCTCCTTCAACCTCCTCCTCCCTCACCCCCTCCTAACTACCTGGACGGGATGCCGGTACGTCAATGGTTTTCCCCCGCACTATGTTTCCGGTATCCATTGATACACCTGTGTGGGGAGAGACTGTCTACCCTTTCCATCTTTCCGCAATCCCGGCCCCAACTGCCTGGACGGGATGCCGGTCCGTCATTAGTTTTCCCCCAGCATTGTGGTTCTCCATTCACACACATGGGTGGGTGGGAGGGGAGACACTGTCTATCGAGTCTAAGGAAACAACGCACTGTACCCCCTCCCCACCCTTCAACACCCCCGTCCCAACTGCCTGGATGGGATGCCAGTCCGTCACTAGTTTCCCCCGGCATCCTGTTTCAGAAATCCATTGATAAGCCAGGGCGGGATGAACTGTCTATCGCGTTTAAGGAAACAATGCGATGTTCCCCCGAGTTCCAGATTTGAACTCCTAACGTATAACTAACCCACCCCGCTCTATCTTACCGCAAACGGCCTGTAACACTTGCGAAGAGATCGCCAGAAATCCATCGGGGTCCCAGTGCGGAAAAACAACAAACGGATCTCTGTCACGCGCACCGTCTTTTTGAAAGTCAAACCCAAGGAAGCCCAAGAATTCATTGGCGTCAGGGGCCTCCAGCGCAGAGGAACTCAGCTGTGCACACATGGTAAAGCTCTCAGTTAAAAGGAACTCAGGATGTTGGTAGGATAATAGCATTTGATGAGCCAGCTGCACCTTTATCAAATAAAGTAAAAACGAATGATTTTAGGAGGCGAAACAATGAAGCGAGGCGCTCCCTTAACTTCATGTATCACTTTTCGGTTTGGTATAAACGGTATTGTCGTTCACTTCATGTATCACTTTTCGGTTTGGTATAAACGGTATAAGGAGAAAGGCGAAAACAGAAAACAATGCTATTTCGTTCACGAATAAGCGTTTCACAGGCCAGAAAAAGTTAATAAGCGCCCAGCCTTTCTTTTACTATAGCTAGTCCGCAGACAAAGTAATTTATTTTTTGGCAAAATAAAAACTACACTTTTTATAAATAAAAGGAATTAAGAACGAACGAAATATAACTTTCTTTTTGTTTTTCCTTCCTTATTTAAACACCCACCTTTGCACTGAATACTAGAAATTTAAGGTTCTGATCGCTTTAGTGTCAGAGGTGGTTCAAAAACAGAAAAAAATATAAATGTCTACATTTGATTTCTTTCTTCTTTACATTTGAAACGAAAACTCATTATGCGTACTTTTCTGATGAAGGGAAATTACCGGACATCCTGGGAGATGCAGAGGAAGCTTGCCAAGATGAAATCAGGGATATTCACCGGTTAAATCGCTATGTCAAATTTTACGATTCTTACCGAGCAACTACCAGGAGCTTTTGAATCCCTTTCTGATTGGCTATCAAATATTGTCTAACCAATCAGAAGCGGGCGTTTCAAATGCTTCCAGAACTGGCCACCATTATCGGTGGCAATTAAGCCCGTTAAATATATCCCGTATCGGTTGTCTACCCCGGGGTATCTAAGGATAGCGAGAGCCTTACCACGTCTCTAATAGCAGGCAGAACGTGCGGGAAGGAGCCATGATGTAACAGCAGCTGAGTCAGCAGTTCTTGAAATCGTTTCATCTTGAACGTTACTGAAGGAACTGAGAGAGACAACGCTCAACTATGTTATTTAGATTATTTTTACTGATAATTTGTGAGGGTGTGTTTGATTGATCGTATTCAGGAACAAGAATACGCAAACATTTGGTTACAAATCTCTACTACCGTCATTTTAGGACATTTAAACTCGACATACATACGAGTATTTTATGTCAAGTAGATTTATAAATATTACAATATGCAATAGTGAATGGCATTGAATGCCACTGAGTCTTTTCGACATTGTCTTATTTTGGAATACAGTCAATAGAACACGTCTTAAATCACTATTCATCCAAATGGCAACCTCATAGTTATGGCTTGAGTGAAATTAGCCTGAAGAAAAGGCGCTATTTTTTCGCGCATTTTTCAGGCGAGCATGAAGAGGTCGTGTAGAGCGAGACACGCGCGACGGGAGTAATGCGAGAAGGGGAACAAAAAAGGATTCATTCTCCTTTATATTTCACCCTAGCCAGCAAAACAGGCGCTATTTTCCCGCGTCCTTCTCCGACACGCGTGTCTCTCGCTTCACGTTCGCATCGTGCTCGCTCGCCTGAAAAACGCTCGAAAATAGAGCGCCTCAGTTCTGAACAATAACTCTTTGTTTCCCCCGACTAAATACTATGTCCTTGATATTCATTTAAACACCTAAGCGAAGACAACGCGAATTGTACAAAGTTTTTCGTCTTACCAAACAACGAGATAACGAACCTAGCCATATTATATCGTCCGAAGTTGGATACAACCTAAGAACGTGTATGACTCTAGAAAAAAAAGAGTTTTGCAAAGATCGTTCATGTTTAGCTCTAACCTTTATTATCCAGTGTTTCTGACGTCACAAGGGGAAATCTCTCAGGTGAAGAACTCTGTACCACTCGATCCAGTTCCTTATCAAACAGCTGATGTCGTAACTTCATCAAATTTACTGTGGTATCAAATCCAACGTGAACAAACGACGCCCAGGAGCTTGGGGACGACATGTGCTCCACATCCTTCACTTGGGTCCAGGCCTCTTTAAGAGAGTCACCGACAGTTTTGCCCTGACAAAAAGAAGCACACCTTAAAGTGCCTTTATAAATGTCTCACGAATTGGCAAACTGCACGTCATTTATTTGGCTGTAAAACAAAACACCACCACTTCGTCACTAAGACTACGTTTCTCAGCTCAAATGAAAATTCCGCTATCTGTTAATAAGAAATATCAATTTGTTTACGGCCTACAACTACACCTTTTTGTCAGCCAACACGTGTACGCAACAACAATAGACTAACAATAAAACTGTGGATTTCCTCATAAAATTGCCCTGTTACAAACTCGCGGCGTTCGGAATTTCAAACCATTGAGCTCTTCATAAATAAGCCCATTTAGCGGTTTCAATTGTCCTTTCTAGATGTTACTGGTTATCGTTATGACAGGGTTCATACGCATAAAACCATGTGGCCCTTCAAAATGACTGAAGAATTGGCGGTGACCGCTCGTTTCGCTGACGTCTCGTTCGGTAACATTTTATGTCCTTCCGCTAAGAAGCGAAACGAGCGCTGCCCATGCATATGCTTCGTTCCCTCAGCCGTGATACAAAAAAGTGCGATACGCATGTACATACCTCGTTCCTTCAGCCACCGATCAGGCTAAAGCACTTAGGGGAACTGACCCAACTTGTATTGGAAACGATTTCACAGGTTAGCGAACAGAACGTTGACGAAACAACAGTAAACCGAATTGGCCCATCAATTTGGATGAAAAGGAAAATACACCTACTACCTTATGCATCAGAGACCTTTCGCTGAGTGCGGGTGTAATCCAGTGATTATTTTGGTCTTGTGCTTTCAAGTCCTTTGTGATTGGTTACTGAATTTCGCGCCTTTCTCCCAGCTAGTCAGTAAAATCTAAGGTCAATAGCGACTTTTCGCCAAGCAGTTTCCCGCGCTAGCCTGCCTCGAAATCTGATTGGTTCACTGGATTGACTGCCTCGGATGTGATTGGCCAGATTGATTACGTTGGTCTCAATTTCACAATACTCAACTGAAAACGGCTCTGTTGCGAGACAACTATTTATCGTAGTACACTTCATATACGTACCATTTCCAAACCTGAATAAAACTTGTAAAACAGGTTTAGAAGTGCGTCCTGAGGAACAGACCATAACGGCATCACCACGGACTGCACACCAGCGGCCAGGAAAGCCATCGCCAAATGGAAGCTGGCGTGTTTTAGCTGACAGTACTGATGGTCACACCCACAACAAGCATTCAACACTATCAACTTTGCCGAGAGTTTGAGCAAAGCTATATCTGAGACAGTCACCAAGAAGGATTCGGCCGGTGGAGGGTTGCTCGGATGATGAGGCTCAGGAGACATTGCTACGCATGCGTCAGACCAACTTCCGTACGTTACCAAATGAACGACAGATGTTTCAGGCAATGTCTTGAGGAGGTGCTCCTTGGTTGCTAGGCAACCACTGACCGGGTCCACGCCTAACAGCGAGGCAATCGTGTTGAGTTCCTCCTCTGCCAAATCTGTCTCCTTTGTTGGCCTCCAGATTTTGCCATTTAAGTCCACCGTAGAGATTTCTGGATTGCCTTGCACCAGAATTTTGGGAGAATCTTGGCTGTCATTAGATGATTCTTCAGAGGTCTTCTGTTGCTGAGAAATCAACCTGATGCAAGGCAGAATCCGTACACTGAACACTTCATGCATGTATTGACCCTCTTGGTTTTGTAAGCAAGGAAAAGGAACTGCATTAACCTCTTGGTCAGGAATTACAACCAGTTCATCTGTGCCGATCGTTCTAAGTTCTTCCTCTAGAGGATTTAAAAGAAGATGATAAAGCTTCTGAAGGGGTGTTAGCTTTGACGAGTAAAGAAACTCGCATGAGTAACAGGATTTTTTAGTCTCATCTGTATCTTTTGTCTCTAATTGCGTTTTCGTTGCTTCATCCGGCAACGCTCGATGGTCACAATTGTAGCTTTCTTGACAGCCACCGTGAAGTTCCTCAATGCACGACTTGATCTTGTTCGCAAAGGTGCAGTGGTCACAATCCTTCTGCCAGTGACATTTGACAATGCCTTTTCCAGGCGACAACATCCATACAAGAAAACCAGAAGGAATAACAGAGAAGAACAGTACTGATGCTTTCTGATTGTTAACAATGTTAATAATATCGTCGGCTGAGTAGGGGACGACTTGTCGGCCAGGCGATGCCAAACAATCGGCTAAAATGTTCCTATGTCTAATAATGTTTACAAGAATTCGAGATCTAACATGTTCGACAATTTCTAGAGCTTCACCTTCAAAGTTCATTTCAATCAACACTTCTTGCAAGTCTTTGTAACACTGATCCAGTTTTGTTAACAAGGGATCTTTGTAAGATAAGCTTTTTCCGTGCTTCGACAGCAGTTTTTCTTCAAGGACTGGAATCGCTTTGTTAAAGTGCTGACGCGAAGTTTCAAAATTTCGCATTGCTTTTGTGATTTGTGCAAGGGCGAGCTGACACTCAAGCTCTTCTTCCAAGTCATTTTGTTCCACGGCCAGCTTCAGACATGTCTCGTAGTAATACTGAGAGTGGTGAAGCTGATGCAGTTCTCTGTAACACGCGCCAAGAAGGCTATACGCTTTACACAGTAGCTCATCCAGCTTGTTGACCTTCACCAGTTGAAGATGCTGTTCAAAATAACTAACAGCTTTGGTGAACTCTCCCATCAGTTTATGCAGACACCCAAAGTTTCTCACTGCTATAAGTTCTGAGACTTTGTCGTTTAAACGCTGTGCGAGCTTTAGATGTTGTTCGTGATTAATGGCAGCTGATTTAAAGTTTCCCATGTAGGCATAAACTGTGCCTATATTACCATATGAATAGGCTGCCCCTTGACGATCGTTAAACTTTTTGCACAGTTGCAGCTCAATTTTATGACATCCCAATGACTTTTCATAGTTGCCTTGTAAGAGCTCTAGTTCTCCTAAATTTGAATATGCTGTAGTAAGATTCTCTTGGTCAATGAATTTCACGACCTCCATGTACTCTTGAGCATGTTCTAAGGCTTTCTCGTAGTTTCCCATGAGTTTATAAGCTGCACACAAGTTCCAAACTGCTCTCCGCTCAAGATCACTGTTCCAGTAATCAAGATGTCCTGCCATACTTTCGTCGTTATTTTGAAGATCCCTTCCAACTGCTAACAGCTTGGCATTGTAAGAAACAGCTTGGGTATAATGTGCAAGCCTATGATAAACATTGGCTAGTTTTACATAGCATTTAATCTCATACTCTTTGTCTTTTAGGTCTAATGCCATAGACAGACATCGTCTAGCAACAGACAAAGCTTCTCTGTACTGAAACAACGAGTAGTAAGATTCACTGATGAAAAGAAGAGACATCATTACTGTTCTTTTATCCTGCAATGACTTGTGCACTTCCTTGATATCACCCTTTATATTTTCATCATTTTCACGGTCTCCAGTTGCATAATAGATAGATGAAAACCCAGTCACAGGATCAGGAAGCCCAGATGATTGTAGTTCATCAGCAACATGATGGCGACTCGAAGCAGGTTCATCTGTTACCTGTTCTAATGTTGATCTTTTGCGCAGGTTGTCCGCACTGGCTTCAGAGTACATCAGCTGGTCCATATTTTTTCCATAATGGGCTTTTAATGCAGTGGAGATGAGGTCAATGCAGATTTTGTAATTACCAGTTTCGTAAAGCCTTTTGCCAACTTGGACAAACCTCTCAAATTTATGAGAATCGACATCTGAAATTTACAATCAACAGAGACTAAGCAGTTAAGAGTTTGAAAAGAAAGAAAAACTTGCCAAGTGTACATACTGCCAAATAGGCCATGCACGGGATCACAGCAAAAGACTTCATATTTGACACAGACTACATCAACAGTGCAGACATATTTCTCAGAAAGCAAGCACATATTTGATTCTTTAAGTACAGGAAGATTAGTGGGAATAGATATCATAATAAATAGCATGGACATTAAGGCTGAATAAATGACTTGCGGAAAGAGTGACGTGTTTCCTTGCCCACCTCCTTCACTAAATTCCTTACCCCTCTTTGACTTGCCTATGACATGACTCAAGAAATTTTACTCACGGTGGGGGCCTGGGCACCGCTGACCAGACCCCCATCTCTGAAAAATACCCATTGGACTGATAGCGTTAAGAGGTACCTCAGGCAATTAACAAGTGCATCGTTAATCTCACCTTCATGTGCCAAAGACAGTTCTTCTGTTTCTGACATTTGACAGATACATCCAACAGCTTGAATAATCCTCAGCAAAAGCTCTGTGGGGTGGGCTGTGTCCAGTTCATAGGCTTTCAGATATGATCTTAAACATTCATGATAGTTCCCCAGATTTTCAAGTGCTGCAGCTCTCAAAAAGTGTCCCTGTTTACCAAATGCATACAAATAACTCTTTGAACTAACTGAAACAACACATATTAAAATAAAGCAACATCTACTCTTGGTAAGACAAATATAGAAGGACTGTAAGTTGCTGATACCATATAAAATTTATTTTTAGAAGGAACCACAATTTACATAAATGACTATGATTTTCAAAAGCAGACTCTCAGTAATTTGTTGTTGGTGTCTTTTATTAAGAGCTTTGAGGTTTGATATTATCGAGAACTATTTTCAAATATACTGTAGTTATAGTCATTGATTGTTGGTACAGGGGAAAAAAATTAAACAACGCAAAGAAAAGAAAGATTCTTTTACTTATACTGAGAACAGCAACAAGTTGAGACAACATGTTGTAGAAGCATATAATCATATAGATCTTGTAAAATGTGAGAAATAACAAGTTGTGACTATATGTTGTACATGTACATGCTGGACCATTGTTGTAGGGGATCTTTTTTATGATTCTCATTCTATAGATTGCCTACAATGTACGAATAGAAAAAAAGCAACCCAAAGAAAGTTATTTTGAAATAATATATAGATTTAGCCAGGGCTAAAAGCGAGGCTCCCATTAGTAAATTTATAATTTAAATTAAACAATAAACTTGTATTCGAATTCCACAATTCAGTTAACTTTAGAGCACATTTATGTGACTTTTGCGGGAAAGGCTACCTGATTTTAGAGAAACATAATTTGCAAACAGCCCAAGAGTGAACCAAATCTTACATCGAGTTGATAGCCTCATATGTACACCCAAAAACTGGTAATCATCTTCGATCACATTTAAGAGCCATAATGGCTCTTGATCACCGTAGATTAATTAGTGGGAAAAAAATCAGGCCAACTTTTTTGTGTTCGACAAGTTTGCTTTGCAAAATCTTGTCAACAAATCTGGGTGCGTGTAAACCAACCTTTTATACCATTTATACATCACATCTGAGGTGAAACAGTAGTATGAGGCATTGTTTTTATCATACCGGCAGACCTCGGACAGAAAGCAGTATTTCACAATACAAATTGCACTCATCCAATATTCATAAACTATTAAAAAAATTTCCAAAATCACCTATACGGCCATCCGGTTCTCACTTTTGTAGTGCGAGCTGTGGCGAGTGTTTGAATGAACATTAACAGAGTTACGCTCCAAGATAATAAAGAATTTATCATGTTTATTTTTTATTTGATGGTTTAACGCGCGGCATTTTGAGAACTCCTGCAAGCGATGTTCACTGAACGACTGAAAACAATCGGCATAGCGATTAAAATTGCAAGAGAGACTACCAACAATCAATAAAAGAAATATAATTCGGTGAAACATAAACAGAGACAACAATTTTCATTCAGGAAGACAAGTATTAAAGTGTCCCTAAATATCCTGAGTCTTCAAGCTTCAAGCTTAAGTTTGCTGAAGTTTATGTTTTAAGCCAGCTTCCGGTGTTTGTTTTTTCAAAGGCGAACTCGAGGCAAAAAAATCGCTCAAAGCTTTCTTTTCCGGCTAGAATTATAACTAAAGATTCTTTGGAACATTTTCTTTCTATTTGCGGTGAGAAACTGTCTAAAGGCTTTTTAAAGTTCTGTAAGATTATATCAAACCAGATACTCGGTGAGATCGTTGTCTCAAAACTTACAAACGCCAAGCATAAACTAAATTCCCGCATAAACTACGCTCCACTTCATTAAATTAGATACAAAAACAAACATGAAATACAATAATTTCTCTGGCTTACCATTCGAGATGCAGCTCCTGAAAGTTATCAGGTAAAGCCAGTATCGCTTCAGACTTTGCAATCCTCTTACGCATCAAGCAAGGTGAAAACGAAAACGATGCCATCCGAAATCGGATTTCCGACTTTGACAAGCGGCGTTTTCTCAACCAAAACCCAATAAACAAACTAGCCATGAGTAACAGAAGACTCCTGATAGCAGCTGAATTTCATTTTGTACATCCAGTGGAAAAAGACAGTTAAAAACATCACAAGTTGACACAAAACTCTGTCAGCTTCAGCTGTTAAAGTAAACAAGATTCAAGATGCTGCATAAATTTTGCCCATGAACTCACATGTCAAATTTTGACCAATCAGAGCATAAAAATTGGACGTGAGCGTGACCAACGCGTGACCATTGTGAGAAAAAAACAAAAGCAACTGTCTTCCCTGCCTGTAGCAGCTGGCTGAATTTTCACGTCCGAGGTCAGTTTGCAATCAAAATTTTAATTGTGCAGCACATAAACACAACATATTTCATATGAATTGAGAAAAAAATTGAACTTGAGCCTGCGATCACTTGAAAACTAGTTTACTTGTCAGCGGATAACTTCAAAAAATACTTGACCTCGACGGGTCGACACCTGAGCCAGCGATACGGTCAAGTGATACTGGTCAGCATGGTACTCTGTTTTGACAGCTGTCAATTGATCAAAACATTGATGTCCAATATGTGTGCATTATCAGTTTTCCTGTGCCCCCAAACTAGTAAAAGTATGAGATTGAACGTTGTTCGCGATCTAGTAAAACAGTTAACTGGTCAGCGGACAGCTTCCAAATAAATCACGTCACCTCGATGAGTTGACACATGAGCCCGCGATATGGTCATGGGATACTGGTCAGTGGCTATCCTGTTTGGACAGCTGTCAATTGACCATATTGTTAATGTCCTATATTAAAGATGTGGGCTTGCCAAGACACGCCTGAGACACCCCTCCCTTCCTTTTGATAGTCTCCCCTAGCCCACCCATACAATCTGTAGACGCGTACGTACGTACGTACGTACGTACGTACGCTCGGTCAATCACGTGACAACCAAACGAAAAGAGGTTGACCATATTCCATGGGTATGGGGCTCTGTCCCACGCGCGCTTCGCGCACGCGGGAGCCCCGCTAAAAATATCCCACCTGAAAGTTCTTCAATCACCAGATAATGTTTTTATTCTCTGAACAGTTTGCATGACCAGAGTCTGCACTTACAATAGGATATAGGTGGTATAATACAGCACCCTAAACCTGGACTGAGCTAATAACAACTTAACAAAAAGCACTTACTTTTGGTTTTTGCGGAACGATGCTTATGAGGCTTTCAGCATCTTTCTTAGAGTCATTAAACATGCCTAACTTGGCATAGACTGCAGACCGACAGCCAAGGACATCTTCATCTTTGGGTGAAAGAAGCAAAGCATCAGAGTAAAAACTGATGGCTTGAAGGTACTCCTCATTTTCAAAAGCCTTGTCACCCTTGGTCCAAAGTGCTTTAAACTACAAAACGGAGTGGGTACATTACAATAAACATTCTTAGTTAAGACTAGAGGTCAGCTTATTCAGTCAATTCTCTCGTAAGCGACCACCCTTGGTGCACAACAAAGTGGTCGCTTATGTGAGGTGGTCACCTACGGGAAAAATCAAGAAAATAAGCTCAAACTGAACTGTTCAATGTAATTATATCAAAGTTATTACCTAACGAGCTAAAATTAGATAAATAGACAACTGACAATAATGTTTCACATCGAAATGACTAGTATCGAAACGACCGGCTTCCTAGCAACATGCATTGCATATACTGAACAAAAAATTGAGCAAGTGAAAGAAAGCCTCTGCTGCCTGGGTGAAAACAAACAAGTTGTAACATCATAACTAATAAACAGGTGAAAGCAACACAAAAGAAAATACATGATTATAGTGGGAGTAAATAAACTGAAAGAATCGCTGTACTGGCTGACCTTTACTGGGCAAGATATAGTGTCTCCATGAATTAAGAGCAAATTATTTTCAAACTGTGTTCTATTTTAGCACCACGATTTTGGTTCGAGATTCTGCACAACATTCATGCTACATTATCTGACAGTGAAAGTCAACATTCCAGTCAAAAAATGCGACTTACCTTTTCCATGGCTTGTTAAAACAAACTATGCGAGGACTTGACTAAAATTAACGTTGAGGAATACTCCAAATATAAAGCTATCGACCTGCTAAAGGGTCCACAAACAAACTCGCAAAACAGGACCCACTTGCATTCAAATCCCTACAGGAAAATTGAACCTAATTTATAAAGAAAACTCTGATCATTTCCGAGAATTAAAAGACAACATTTCCACCTACAATCACGTAAACTCCAAATTAAATATGCTTGTTTACAAGTGTGACTTGCTCCGCCATCTTGGTTTGCTTAGCAACCAGCCTAATTGGTACGCAGTCTTCTCCAGTCTTCTCTCTGCATATAACGCCTTGCAAGTTTAGCCTTTTGGCTGTTCACAGGCGATAAATATTTTATATGGACCCTTTTTTGTTTTATTTCTAAGCATTTTCACCAGAAAAAGTAGATCTAACTTACACTAAGTACAATCTTACGCCTGAGGAATTTTATGACCAAAATAACATCTTCTTTGGCTTTTACAAAACGACTGAAATATTCGTCGTGATTGATCACAGCTATGGCAGCGAACTTGATCCAAGTGTTCACTTTGATTTGTCTTAGTTTCTTTTGTTTCATCAGTAGCGAGGAACTTACGACCGTCAACGAACTAATTGACTTCCAGAAGTGGTTTGAAGATCAAGGGGGAAAGTGTAGATGTAAGTTCACAAAAAGAGACAACAAGTTGCTTGCTGTTGCGGACAGACAGATTGTAGAGAAAGAATCGATATTAATGGCACCTCAGTCTTTACTTGTGAACTCGACGACTGTTGAAAGGTACTGGAGTAACTATAATCATAAAAAAATGAAATAATTTTATATTTGCCGACCAAACTGAACCTTCTTTTAACTCAGACTTCCCTTTAATCCTGAGTGTGTATAAAATGCGACCCTTGCGAGCCATGGCAGCAAGCCATGTAGTCCATTAAAGACTCATTGAAAAATATCCAAACCAAAATCGAAAACAGTAATACGGAAAACATTAACTAAAAGCTAATTGTTGTAAATAAGTGTTTAACCTTAAACACTGCTTAACCCTAGCCCTAAACCTAATCAGTATAATGAGTGCTCAACCCCTTATTTCTGTAAGTTTGCAGTTTTTGCGTCATAATTTTACCGACAGCTCGTGTGACTCACATGGCTTGCTGGCTTTCAGTTCGTCAAGACCCCATACACCTAATACCATTTTCCTCTGTTTAGTTAGTACATAGTTATTAGAGGAGACTGGTTATGAAAAGCGGCAAACATCAATGATAAAAACAACAGTGCTGCAGTTCATGTTCAAAGCACCGTGAAAGTGCACAATCCTTTGTTTTCTGTTGGCAAATTGTTACGGAATAAATTAATGCAACGTTTTTATTGGTCAATACAATCAAAATGATAGGAATTCTTTTGAGCGTTGTGCACTTTCAGGTCCACAAAAACATATAACAAAGGAGTCTGACGGGTTTCATAACCATTCCACTCAATTAACTATGGTTAGTATGAAGTGATAACAGTATCCACTTGTTAGTTTGGGTCATTAAGCTTCCTCAAGAAAAAAAACACTTTTTCTGACAAATTTGAAGAAATTATGAATTGCGGATTGGTAAGAGGTCATTATTGAAACTTCCAAAGAAAAATGTTTCATTTGTTTTCAGCACTAAAAGTACTGTACTTACAGTAGCAACTACAGTAGTTGCCATTGAAAGCTTCTGAACAATACTTTGTTAAGGTGTTTTTTTACTACTGGAATGCTTTACCAGTTTTTAAGAAGTTTTGTCCTAGTGGTGTTGTTTTAGGACAAGACAGTATTTACAGGTTAGCCCAAAATTTTTATAGTTTTCTTTTCCCTCCAGGTCAACGTTAGGACCAACACTGGAACAGATATCCCTTACGGATGACCAAGTCCTTAAGCAGCAGGATCACACACAACAACAAGCAATGCACCTGATGCAGCTGGCTGTGTTTGTGCTTTATTCTATTCACATTAAAAGTGAACAGTGGCTTCCCTTTTTCAAGATTGTTATGAATAAAAAATGTGATCCACTTTGGATGTGGAGTGAAGATGAATTGAAGGACCTTCAGGATGAAAAGTTAATCAAAAGAGTTTTTGTGTGGAAGGAAGTGGTCTCCCAGCTTGCTGCTAATATTGCCCCAAAGCTGAATAGCTTTGGCTTGTTTGCTGGCAGTGACATTGAACCAGAAACCTTGGTAAGACTTATAACATACTACAATATAACATATATAACAACTTTATTCAATTTTCATTTAGTGGCTAATGTAGTTGAATATCTATTTATCAAACGATATTTTATTTTTCAGGTGCACACTGTGTGTGCAGTTCAGTCAAGTAGCATTAATATCACAAGTGACACAGGACACCCAGTCAGGACCTTAGTACCAGTAAGTTTAGGGAAAGTTCATTTAATATGACAAGGGGGGGATGAAGATATTGAAACTCGAAGCTTGAAATTTTAGCAGCCCCCTCGCTAGCGGTTCAATTTTTAGAAGCCCCCTCCTTGGTAGTCGAAAAAATTTCAGACCCCCCCCCTCCTCCTTCAATTCCTTTGCTCCCCTGAAAAAAGATTGCTAGACTGTATTAAATATATTTACCGTTATTGTCTTCAATGGTTTATACTATGACAAACTTGAGATACAGTTGTGATACAATTTTCTAAAGCATTTTTGGGATGAACAAGAGTGTAATAATTACTGAGACTACATTTGTTATATCTGTAAACCACGTGATATAGCTGAGTTGCACAGGTCATTAAATTGTTGAGTTGAAAACCATCCGATCAGTATGATGATGTCATGTGTTGGTTTTGAAGTATACAAATTTTCGGAGCCCCCCCTCCTAGCGCAACAATTTTTTCAGAGCCCCCCCTTCGGGTGTCTAAAAATTTTTGGAGCCCCCCCTCAATATCTTCATCCCCTCCCCCTTGTCATATTAAATGAACTTTCCCTTATACCTAAATCTGCAAATAATGTTACAGATTAATACCATCAATCACGGCACAATTGGGCCTTGAAGTAGCCTGCGAGTAGCTCTCCATTTCGAGTTCAGAGCAAGTAGCATAGCCTCCCTTTTCATGTGCTGTTCATGTGAAACTCACCAAGATAAAGAGCTTGCTTGCTGGCTAACCGTGATGATAAAGGTAGCCTATGAGGTACATGAACGTATAATTTTCCCAAAGGACTGTGCAGAGCGTGTACAGTTTCTCGCAAGTAAGCCTCTTTACAACCAAAATTGACTTTTCAATTGTTGCTACAGTTCTGCGCCCTGAGGGTCCCTTGAGGACTTTTTAAATGCACCATTTCACTAAAAATTATGTGAATCTCACAATGGCACAGTCTGGTGAGAACACTGATTATATACTGAGATAAATAATTACTGTCAATTTGTTAGCTCCTAATGCTGTCAACATGAGAGATATCTGATGAGATGAGATATCTGAATGGAAAGAGACAATGTTTAGACTATGAGCCATGTCAATTTTTTCTCTTTACAAGAGAAAAAGGCATTAGAATAAGAGGAAAATGAAATCTTTTTTTGTCCCTCTCACACGTTGCCATATTATTCTCTTGCTTGCTTTAATTGATTGTATAATGAAAAATGGAGCTGTTTTGGACGGTGTACACAATATTGGACTTATGTTTCTTAAAAGGAAACAACTCATGGCTTTGCATATTTGTGGGGTTTTTTATGCACATTTCCATGTCCAAGTTTACTCATTCTTCGGGTCAGTAGCACTAATTTGTGACTTGGCATGTTTGCCTACATTTCAGGGCCTAAACTTGTTCACATATCAGCCCAGTATTGCTGGCACATGGTGGATCAAGGGTGGTGCTCTGCGGTACAGATATATCAACAGCACTGTACAAGAGGGAGATACAATCTTCATAGATTTTAGCCCGAAAGGGGACAGCGTACAAACACTCTTTGAGTATGGCGTGTTTGCTTCAGAGGGAAGCAAATTCTTCAGTCCTTTGCCAGAGCTTAACAGTCGAATGCGCAGAAGATTAGCCGACATGTTAAAACTCAAGAAACGAGTGAAATACAGTGACAAATTCACATTTAAAGCTGCCGGTCTTCCCAGCTTTAGAGTCCAAGCGCTATCAGACAAAGATGTAGATAAGTTGGTGAGGGTAGGCAGCAACGAAAAGAAATTATCCGAGTTAAAGAAGGTATTTAACAGCCCCTCGCTTCACATTCAGAGCAATTCATTTTACTCTTGCAAAGACGAGGTAGTTGCCTTGAATTTGCTGTCGTTACATCTGCGAGATGAGTTGTCTGGTAAATCTACGGGGATGCCCGAGGATGAAGAAATTCTTACTCAAGATATTCCAGAAAGGCAACGCACAGCTGTCGAGTTTAGGCTTAAGTTTAAAAGGCTAGTTACAAATTATCTTGACATAACTAGCGCCCGAGCAATAGAGACAAAAAGGGAATGTTTATCACGAAAAAGAGACGAACTTTAACGTCAGCTCCCAAGATAGTTTTTAAGAGAAATGCATCAATCTTACACATAACTGAACTAAAATTAGAGGGAGTTTCAGAAACAACACCGGCGACGGCAGCGAAAACATTACTGATAAGATGAAATTCTGTCAACCTTGACCGTGATTATTTCGATCCAAATTACTGAGCTTGTCACGTTTAATGGGGGCGAATTTTTCTCGAGTTCAATTGCTAACGCCGCATGGAAGTTTACAGTTCGGTAGCTTTGGATTTCTCAGGGGATTTTGGAGCCCATTCAGCTGCCTTTATACAGTTTATAGGAAAATGAACAGCTACAAATGCACTAGACTACATAAACGATGCGGCCATATAAAACCTTCATTAACTCAAGATGAAGCTACATAATATTTAAATTTTTATAATAGCTATTTATTTATTTATTAATAAACCCTGACTTTACCTGCATTTTGTTCCGTGAGCAACTATTTTTTCCCAGGCTTTTCTACGGTGGTGAGCCTTCGTAGAAACCTACAATTGCAATTCTAATCCCCTTCCCTTTCCCCCCCTCCTCCCCCATCCCTGAGTTAGGAGTCCCAATTCCCCGGGGACAAAGGGTGAGGGGGACGAACTTTGCGTTTTCCCTGTCACTAACAATAAACGAGCTACAACTCTTAAGGTACGGAAAAACAGGCAACAAAAGACGTGCAACTTTTCTTGCAACATTGCTGCAAAACGAGCTGAATAGAGATGTTGCGCGTTTTACCACCCACGTTCAAACCTGTCTTGCAACAAATCAGGTTGTTAACAGGTTTGAACGTTGGTGGTAAAACGCGCAACAACGCCATTCAACTTCTTTTGCAGCAATGTTGCAAGAAAAGTTGCACGTTTTTTGTTGCCCGTTTTTCCGTACCTTTAATAAAAAGTGAGGTTTTTTCAGTTCACACCAAAAAAAAAAATGTTAATTACTAACCGTCACAACAAACTACAGAAGGTTTACTCAGTTCTAAAGTAGCCTGATAGAGTGCATCTGTGACTGTTTTCTACAGCGTAAGAAAACCTAGGTATTAAGAGAGAAAAATAGGGCTCACCTCGTACTCTATTTACAGTTTGATTTACCTCTCATTAAATAATACTCTTTCTCATTGTACTCGCTTCTACAATTACACTGCAATTACGCGCTTATCTTACGGCGAGCTAGTGCCTTTAATTTCCTTCAATCGGAAAAAATATATGGTATCTAGCAGCACAAGTAACAACACCCATAGTCTCGGTCAGAAAAATCATGGCTGACATCCTAAAACGCTTTTGGCTGTATCTTCATCTCTGATCTTGTGACAGAGATGTAGGCGTTTTTCCACGAATACCACACCATACCTTGCCCACCAACTTTCCCATTAAGGTACCGAGCGTTTAGGTTAGAATTATAGCAATCTTTTTACCACCAAGCACCATGGTCCTTTACTGCACAGTTTTCGTCTGACAGTGCGTCATTATCGCGATCTTTTGTGGTAAAGGGCTTGTAACCATGACAAGTGAAAGAATCACCTGCGGTTCCTGAACGTTAATAGAAGAGGCTGGTTATGAAAGGCGGCAAACATCAAAGATAAAACCAAGGGTGCTACATTTTTATTAGGCGTGCGTTGCAGTGCAAACTTTTTGGACGTTGAAACTGACAGAGATTCGGGGCGAGTCAATACAAGGATAGTCTGCTACACAGCCCGGTTTTTAGTGTCGTCACGCAACGCTCCTCCCCACTAAAAACGGCTGTGTAGCAGACTAATACAAGGATTGACAGCTCAAAATAGAGGATGGGGTCGGTAGGAGAGAAGAAAAAATACGGCGTTTTTCCTTTTTTCTCCGCGCTTCTTCCCCTCGCCCGCCCCTTTTCCCTTGATTTTTCAATAATAGGGAGCTTAAGCAACAACGACAGCGACGGCTACGAGAACGTCACTTAAAAGTGAAGTAGCAGTGCCTCAAACTTTATCGCGCTTATTCCACCTCGTCCAATTCGTCAAATGTTGGCAATTTTTTCAGGATTTGAATTCTAAAACCTTGATCAAAGTTCAGGAAAAGAAAAAGCAAGTCGTTGTCTTGTGTTCACGTCCTCCACAAGACGTGAAATTAAGAATTTCACGTGGCAGTCGTGCAGTGGCTGCAAAGAAATGTACAAAAAAGCGTGATGCGCGTGCAAAGTGCCAATCTAAACCAATCAGAAGCACTCTGGGTAGTAACCTGTCATCAGTCTCAGACGTCTTTTCGCGAGGAATAAATGTTAGCGTCGCGAAATGTCGGCTGTTTTCTGTGGCTACTAGTTGTCCACTTTCTCTTCAATTGCTTTTCCAACGCCTGTACACGAGCTAGGGCTGTTACTTGTTTACCACTCTTCCTTAGCGTGTTAGATGGATGGTTGATGTCGTGACATTGCAAGCACTGTGGAAAAGAAATTGAAGGGCTATGGGGAGGAACGCCACTATTGACAAAAAAACATAAGACAAAAAGAAAACAAAAAATACAAGAAGAAACAAAAACAAAAACAAAACAAGAAAACACACCGTTTCCATCAAAGCAGTGGTAGCAAACAATAATGTTGCAAAGCAAAGTTCCTGTGGCGAACAGAGCCTTTCAAATCTTTTTTTTTGAGTGAGAGAGTCTTCTCGAGAACGCCAAAATCGAGCTAGCAAAAGAAAGGTTCTGCTGGCAGGGTGAAGTCCTTGCTAGTGCCAAAAAGAATAAGCAAAACAAAAATAAAAACAAGTAAAACAAAGGAGAGAACCAGTTTTCACAGGCTTTTACCTCATTTTCTATCACTCACCTCAGCCTCCACTCGTTTGGAAGAGGGAGTTCCTACTCAAATACCTTACAGTCACGTGAGCTTCACTTATGGCTAAAAGAGAAAAAGAAAACTTCTAAAGTCTCTAATTTCTAATGCTGTATATCAAAATTCACCCCCTCACCCTCAGTATGTCACGAGAAAGGTCACATGACCTCCAGTTGCACTCTCCACTGGCTCTGCAAATGTATTAATAGTAGTATGTAAAGAAATATTTTCAACTTGGTAATTGATGAGAAAGATGTAACTATTATTGCTATGAGTATGACTAGAACTAATAGGACAAATAAAAATATCTTGAGTCCCTGACAGGATTCAAACCTCTAACCCTCTGAGCACTGAATGGATGGAGTACTTGCATGGTGTCAGGACATTGTCAGGACATGGGATGTCATGGTTCAGACTGCTCAGATCTTGTCAGGATCTCAGGATTTTTTTGTCTCTGGGCAACAAATGAGGATAAAAAATCAATGGTAATTCTGTTTATTATAAGAAACAGTTCTTTTTATCTTGACAAACTTGACAGGATGTTTGCAGGGTTAGGAAGCGTTTGAGCTTGGATTATCAAATGTATTACCAAAGTGGCATTGTCCATGGCCAAGCAGAAAAAGTTTAAAAAAATCAGTCATGACAGCTCTCTAGAAGTTAAAGTGATCTTATTTCTCTCAAGTCAGTAGATTTCTGATCTGCTCGTAATTAACACCTTTTTTTCACAAGTTTCTGCCTCAAGCTAGACAAGGCCTATGATGAGACGAGAGATAATGGCTGAATGCCTTGTTGTAGCCTGGGACCAGGCTCCACAGTGGGGGGAAAGGCAAAAAAACAAAGGGTCTAATAGGAAAACATCTTTGAGTGAAGCGAGCCGAGCGGTGGCCTGGGGAGGGGGAAAGGGTCGCCACCCTTTCCCCTCCCCAGACTACCTCTCGGCTCACTTCGCTCACCAGTATTAATTTTTTTTCCCTCCAATTTTCCCCAAATGTGGAGCCTGGTACCAGGCTAGTCTTGTTGGGATATATGTTACTCAATGGATTTTAAGAGACAAGGGGACTGCAACCATATGGGACTACGGAATTTCCTGCAGAAACAGTGACAATGCAGGTAGCAAGGGTGGGTGGGTGTATCATTTTACAACCTTGGGAAGAAAAAAATGAGGATAGAAAAAGGTTTAAAGTTTGTTTATAGTCGAAAGTAAACTTAGCTTATCCAGCTAGTTTTCAGGTACTTCATGCAAATAATGAGAAACAAATACATATCCAAATAGAACATAACAAGATTAATTATAATAACCCAAATTGGCAGGAGGCAACCAGTTGGCCATTTACAAGTGTGGCTGAGCATTTGAACTCAGGACAACCAAGAGTAAGTTCAGCTAGTGGTCCGAGCGAGACTCGAACTTGGCTTTGGTGGATTACAGGTCTGATGCCTCCTCACTGTGTGCAAAAAATTGTGTGATGTTACCCCTAACAATAATGCACTTTTCTTTGAGATATATGCTCAACATTCTTGATACATTTCAAGATTCCCTTCTGCACAGGTGGCATGCATTACTAAGGAAAGTATGATATATTAAGTCTGTCAGAAACCTTCTGGCCCTGGTCGTTCAAACATGATAGTGCTATCCGATCAAGTGAATAAGTATCGGGAAAACCAATATTGTATTATCCACCGGATAGAGATTTATCTAGTCAAAAATTGGGGCCTGGTCCCAGGTGATCAAAAAGAGGAAAGCAGTATCCATTGGATAAATCTCTACTCAGTGGATAATACAATTTAGTACTAACCAAATCAGTGAGTAGCAATTTTCGCGTGTTTTGATTGGCTCCAGTAACTCGGAATATCCTTGGCTATTCACTTTTTTTGCGACCAAAACTAAGATGGCATCTCATTTCAAGACAATTTCGAAAGACGAAATTTGAGCAACAAATGAAGCAGTTGTACAAACAAATACCAAGAAAGCGACGAACTTTGGCTTGTCAGTGTTTACTGGTAGGTAGAAAATTATTTTCATGCTGAATTTGCAACAAAATCGTAAAAATGCACTTGGCAAAATCCCCGATATGTTTGTAAATTGTAAATAAAGTTGCTACTAAGTGGCGTTTTTAATTTATAAAAAGTTACTTTTTTTGTTTTTATAATAATAATAATAATAATAATAATAATAATCAAAAATTTATAATCCAACTGATTTGGTAAATACTAAAACAAGTATCCCCTCAGGGTCGGTGAACAGCACTAGATGTATACCTCACCATGATGCTTCGTGTTTTTAATTTATAAAAAGTGACTTTTTTTGTTTTTATCCAACTGATTTGGTAAATACTAAAACAAGTATCCCCCTCAGGGTCGGTGAACAGCACTAGATATATACCTCACACCTCTACGCTTTGTGTCTCAGCATATCTCCATTACTATTCACCTCCCCTTTAGGGGATGGTTGTATCATTAAAATTATTGGTTTCCATGATATTCAACCACCAGAGAGTGATTTATCCGGTGGATACCTTCATCTAAAGTTTGAACAACTGGGGCCTAGTTAGATCATTAGAATCAAATATTCACATTGCTCAGTGTGTTTTCTGTAGTATTTTAGAAATATAATCTGGGAAGTTCCTTGTATTTTGATCTTTGCTCTCCCCTCAGAGATAAAGTTCAATGCGGGCCTAGGCATCTAGTCACTTAAGATTAAAAGAAATTTCTTGTTATTATAACAAATTTTATTTTGCCCTAAAAGGGCTTTTCTGTTTCATAAAACATAAAATACATCTTTTCCTTGTTGCAAATTCACATTCATTACTTCAGTGGCTTTCATATTAAAATAACTGTTTTTTACAATTCAATAATAGCTCTTTTCTTTCACCTTTCTTGAATACCAGACAAAAGGAACTCTGTAGAGACAAGAAAGGAACAAGCTACATAATGGTTAAGCGAAAGCCAATTTGCATTCAATTATTGTTCTTTAATTTTATGAAAATATAATAAAAAAACTAGGTTAGACATTTTTCTTTCGCATTTCAATCTCACAAGCAAAATTAACCCTATATTGTTTCTTAAGTTCTTCAAATAGCAGTTAAACCTCTATTTATAGTGATATATATTAATTTAAACTCGAGGTCCTCGTAAAATGTTGTCAGACCATCCAACAAAATATTAAAGCTTTTTAGTCTTGACCGTTTATAGCGGTTCCAATATAGGCTAATGATTTATTTCGAAGGAAACCCTGTACAGGGTAAGTTTCTTTGAAAGGACGACAAGCATGAAAGCTATTTGAGACTGAAAAACGCCCGTAAGATGATAGCGTGATTTGTTAATTTCGGGAGAATTTGCGCAACTGATTTGCATCAGGAATCTTAACAAATAATTTATACCGAGACACGAACATGTACTGCATTCGTCCATACTGGTCACCTTTAAAAATCCTTCCTCTTGTAAACTAAGTACTTGGTACAGGAAATGCACTGTTCACAGCACCAGCTGGAACGAGTCCTGCGAAGTCACTTTTCCTTTTACGCGGCGTATTTTCCGACTGTCTTTGAATATTTTTCGCTCTTTTCAGTTCACGATGAGCTCTGTCGTGGTTTTCGAGGCCCGGGGGAAGTTCATGCTCCGAATGTTTTTTCCTCTTTAAAGATGACTGTTCAACTCTCATTCTTGAAAGCGCAACCACTAGCGAATCACTCATTTCAGCAAATTCTTGAGTGTCGTGAAATTCCGGAGACGATGAAAGCACGGCCATACCAAAATTTCTTCGATAACCCATGGTAGGGCTTGGCGGGGGAGCGCAAGGCAATGGCGACTCCTCGCAAGACGGCGAATGCCGCAGACTGGCCATTCCCGCTACTTTTTTTCGATACAGAAATCTTCGTTACTTCCAGAGGTTAAATACGCGAAACTTCAATCGTACTTTGTTGCAACAACCGTCTTTCAGCGACCAGAAATTCTTGCTCCTTCGAAGACATTCACCTCATCTCAACCTCCCACTCACATCATCTACCTACTTCACATCCCAACAGCTGACGCCATTATGAGGTTATTTTTCAATAATTGACCAATCGCGTTGCACGGTAGACTATAGAGTTTGTAGCGAAAGCCAATCACAAAGTTCGTCACCATACCACTCTACTTTTTAGAACCTCCTTTCTGCCTCACGTGCGGAAAAAAGCTAGCGTGACTTGCAGCACGCGAGGAAAAAGGACACAAGGCAAGCAAACTTCCCGTTAAATCGTTATGTAAGTGACATTTCAGTACTCCTTCGACCAGAGACCCATCTTTCCTTTATAAATACAACCGGAAACCGACAACAGCCTTGTTCAAGCGTGGGAAAATGGCTCGCTTTGGTCTTTTTGCGGCTTCACTTTCTGGGGGAGGGGTTGGGGGAGGGTCTTCTGATTCTGTCCAAGATGACTAAGGTGGTATACGCACGGTAGCCTCTACTCGCAGGGTTCATTTTCAATTGTTACAAAATTCATTTTCTCCCGGCCTTTTCCTTTTACACCGGAAATTTAATCTATAATTTTGCTGTGACTGCACGTTCCTATCCTCCGTGTATAAAATACACGCACGAACTGCGCTCCTAATAATCCGAAAGATAAACTGAAAAAACAATGAGCTACAGAGGCTTTGAAAAACTCCAGTGCACGCTTACAACTAGCGGAAACATTAGCGAATACATGAACGCTGAACGCCGAACGCCATTTGCTGGTGATTTCTGACCGCCTAAATGTACTAAAACAACAAAAATTGAGCGATTTACCTATTTCTATTGAAAAAGTATTATTTAGAAAACCAAAACGTGACCTAAAAGGGGCTCGACAAGCCAAGCCCCCTTCTTTTGTCGAGTTAAGGTCACGTAAACCAAAGGCCTCGCATGACATTGTGCAGAAGAGCTTCGCTTATAACTTTCTTATGGGGTCTTTGGTCGGTTTGCTGTTGAGGTTTCACAGTGACGTCATGTCCTCTCGTCATGTTGTGGTTACATTATTTCCTTAATATATTTGATGAAGTTTGCTATTACGTCGTGTGAGCTTGTCCTAACGAAGTTTAACCGGATATGTGATGTGTACTATTATTATTGTGTGGTTTTATCGTCATGTAATAAGGATACTTTATCATGTTGTGGGGTTTTGTAATTATGTAATGTGGTTAAAAAGTTATGTGGTCCGCTTCTTTCGTTATGTGGTCTTATTGTGACGTGATGATTAGAATAAATACCAGCTGATTTCTCAAGGCTAACAGCCACAGGATCCGAGGATAGAAAGTCTGAACTGCCATGAACGCAAACCATAGGACGTACTTTCATAGTCGCTAGCACAACAAATACAACAGCAACAGCCACAACAACAACAAAAGAGAAACATCTAAGGTAGTCGCTTGTAACACAGTGTAGCCTGCGAGCTACGTGAACGTTTAAAAGGGTAAGGAAAAAGGGAGCCATAATTTCGCCTTCAGATAGAAAACTTAGGAATAATATTCCCAAATGAAAAAAAAAATTGCACAAAAAAACTTGAGGCAAAGCAGTCTTCTTAACCAAATACTTGACATACTTTCAGTCTCATTTTTGCTGCAGTTGTTGTTATCGTCCATATCATTTTTCTATTTTCTATTTCGGAATTATTAAAAATTTTCCGCAACTAAAAGCAAAGATCGTTTCGTACACATTATTTAGAACAGCTGTGTACTGATGTACAGAAACTTTAAAGGGACATCTGAGTTTGAGTTGAAAATCGGTGTTTTTTTTGTTGAAAATGGGAGTTTGTTTTCAAAAATGGGAGTCTGAAAATGGAAGACAGAGTTTTGACAGTAGGAGGCGTTTGTCAACAACAGTCGCTCTTGAGCAATGTCCCAGACTGTGCGAAGCGGTCGACAAAATGGCAACTGTAAGGATTCGTGTAAAGAGGTAAGCTCTTGTCGAGATGCTTTGGTTCCTTTACAATAAAGTACAGGATCTAAAGATTCATTATTCTTACAAGTAGCTGATTTTATATCCAAAGAATTAGTTCGAGTACTTCTTTGTAAATGAATCAAAGTACTGTGTTTATAAGAGCCTATCTCTTTACATGAATCCTCTAAACTCCTCGCCTTCACTGAGGTCAACCCAACAAGGCTGAAGAAACCGCAAAGCCTGGGACGAAGTTTAAAACAAACTCCGATTTTCGAACTCCCATTTCCGAAAGCAAACTCCCATTTTCAACAAAACAAACACCGATTTTCAAGTCAAACTCAGATGTCCCTTTACCAGGCCAGGGTGATTTAAAAATTAAGAATCAGTGAAACATATATCTTCACAAAATTTGGGGTTGATTCTGAAACGTAATATTGGATAAATTTGATTAGCTCATTTAGAGCTGTAGAACTACCTTCATAATTATAGAAAAGACACCAAACTTATATATTTAATATATATTTTAATGAGCAGTTTCTTTCCCTCATCTGTTAGCCGCCTCTCCCTAAACTGACAAAACACTTACAAAAATCATAAAAAAAAATTCCTTAACGGCCAGAGAGTTACCTATAATGTGCTAGAATGCTAGGAGGTAATGAATAATTATTTAGAAGAACAAAAAAACAAAAAAAGGGCGAGAAAACTCTTAACAGATCAAGATTTCTCACAAAACTGGTCCGACTCCGTTCAGGTGAGAACCAAAAACATTGTTTTTTTATATTCTATAACTTTATCATCCCAATCAAAGTAGTAACATGAATATAAATTATTTCATATTTTCACATCTGTATTTTAATAGAAAACCTGTTTTAAAAGCAGTATGGACAATAAATATATACTTTGCAAATACTGATTGACATTGATCGGTCATCTCCTTTTTCAGTGCTGTCTTCAATTTCTCCCGTTACCCTTACAAGATTTGCCCATGGTGCTAAGTGCTGGATTTCTGCATTGCTTACGTTTGCTATAATCACATTGGAGCAAAACTTGTTTGCCTGAGTGTTCTTCACTTGGCTTTCTTGTAGCTGCAATATTACTCTGTGCAGTTATCCCAGTTTTTGCACTATCACTTTAATTATCAGTGCCTTCTAGCACAGTTTCCCTGCCTTTGATGTCATCTTTCAATATTGATGATCAGCTTACTGTACCAAAAGCATCCAAGCAGTTGATATCCACACATGTGTTGTATCTTTAGATTATCATAATCTGTGTCTTATAGTAAAATTCCCTTCACCTTCACATGCTCAATTTTTCTTTCGTCCATTTTCATCCACTTTGTCAGCTTGCCACAACTGATGTTGAAGGTTGTTGATCAGTTGATGATAGTGTTGGTTTGAAGTACATATTACCTTTACTTGTACCAGCTAAGATAGCATCAACCTATTTTAAACAACAAAATTAACAAAAATGATGTTATTTCAGTCAGTGACACAGGCGGCTTGGAATAATAATCAGAATCCTCCAAACAGGAATCAAACCTATAACCTCCTGGCCCAGGTTGTTCAAAAGAACTATAACTATCCAGCAGATAAGGATTTGGGAACTAATATTATTGCACTATCCAGTGGATAATGTTATCCACCTTTTGAACAATGGGAGCCAGGTTACTAGCCCAAATGTTCTACAACTGAGCAACAGAAGACTCAGCTCATGAGAACTAAGGCCACTAAACTAGACTATTTATTTGATAAACATCATGCACAATCTATCTTAGCACATACTTTCCCCCTTTGGGAAAATTGCAAGTACCTCTTTTACAACATTGTTCCTAAATTCTGTCATCTGTTCTTGTAGCACAAGAGCATCCTCCCTAAGTTTTATCTGTCTTTCTCGTAGTGTTCCAAGCATTTCAAGATTGGACTGCAAAAACAAGTTAATAAGAACAGCATTATGTCAAAAGTAATAAAAATATACAGTGGTTAGTGGCTGCAACTAAAAAAAATTCTGCAAAAAAGATGAATAAAGATAACATCCCTGACTTCCCAAGAAACATCATCAAGCTTTACACATAGCTCCCTCGAACTCCATCATTCCTCTTTAAAAGACGTAAAATACCTCTTAAAATTTCAGAGGAAATTTCATGTGGGTAGATGTTGTGGTGGGGGAAAGGCTATTTTGGGAAAAGGAATCTTGTACAAATTCAATGATAGCTGTATTTAAGGCAGATTGAGATTTACCTTCATAAGTTCTAGTCCTTTACATGTCACTGGTGGTTCAGCTTTAGCTTTACTCTGTTCTGAGGTATCTGTTGCATCGCCATACATGTTTCTAAAATATCACAGAAAATTGAAGCATTATATTAGGTAATCAGTCAGTGATAATAATCTTACTGTGTACCATGTTCTGTCTGCTTTTAGCAGTCAATGGTTGAAAAAAAAATGGTATTCAAACCTGTTAAACTCTTCCTGAGTTATGGATAATGCTTGAGCATCAAGCTTCTCAATAAATGATACAGCACAACACTGTCAAGAAAAAACAATAAAACTTTTACACTGTTCTGAAAGGAAATGATATTTAGAAGTAGTACATGTAAATTGTGCTATGAAAAAGGTAAAAAAAATCGTACAACAAAATTTGATAGTGAGTTAAACTGTCTGCCTCTCTCTGGACAATTGTTTTATTGTCTAGATTTTTTTGCTAGTAATGGCTAATATGTTTAATTCATTAATGGTAAGGGTTGAAAAGTGAATGAATCCAACTATAATTTCACTTAACATTATTCTATTCGATCTACTGAAATGTCCATTAATGAAAAACGTAAACTTCACCATGTACATTTCATGTAGCATAGATGTTGTTACAGTGTACAGTGTATACATGTGCTTATATTTGCACTTGCAAATTTATGCAGGTTTCTAAAATGCCTTAACAAATGCAAGGTAAGAAATTTTGAGAATGTGTTTATCATTAATGATGACAGCATAATGCATGCAAACCATAACAGATTGAATAAAATCATATTAATGCACATAGCCTTTATGTACAGGGTCACAATATGTACCTACCAGGTTTGTAAAGTAATACCCAGCTTCTCCCATCATTAATTTATTTGGATTACAAAATCTGGAAATATATCTGTAGAAAATAAACCACACAGTAGTGTCAGCCAACCTGTGATTGGCAATAGGCACTGAAAGCAATGAAAATTGATTAATATTGATGTGAAAAGAATATGGGGTGAGTACGAACGTCAAAAAATGAGACTCATAATGATTATGATACTTACTGTACATTGGAATGTAACATTGTAGGATTTGCTTTTAACACAACATAAATAAGACAAGGAAGAAAATCATCGGCGCTTACTGCTCCCCCCACAGGTGTTGACAGATGAATAATTTCTATCAACTGTTAAGGTTGCTAATACATGTTGTAAAATAAATACTAGAGAGCTTTAGATTGGATATGTATGATTACGTGGATGACATTCAATTTTAAGTTTTCTCGCCTTTTCTCTAAAAATAGACACCTTGGAAAGCATCACTGTACTTTTTTCACCACAAAAGTTAGCTCGCTTATTTTCCTTGAAAGAGGTAAAGCCCTCTCCAGATCACTAAATGATAAAATTTCTAACATTTAATTGATAACTTGTTTTCTCAGCTGCAACATTCTCGCTAACACTCGTTGTAGAATGACAATGGCTATCACTTTTTCCCGCCAAAATGACGTTGCTTTGCACCCTCGTGCTACTCAGCATTGGGAGAATCTCACTCTCGTAGTCATCCTTGTCTCAGAACCTAAACCTCTCTACTGACTGATCGTGAAATTAAAGATGGACAAGGCATACACTAATATTATTATCTTCCCATTTTAAAGCCTTTAGTGGTGCAGAAAAAGCCTCATGCATATCACATGCACAGTTTAATGCTGAGTTCTAACAAAAATTCAAGGCAAGAGAGCCCAGTGCTATGAACCAGTGAAATTCAGGGTGCCCAACATAGGATTCCTCTGAAAAAACAAAGATTTCCTAGTTGCCCAAGAGCAAAAGTAAGGTGCCAGGAGCCTCCAGATGCAGCCAGAGCACAGCCCTGCAGTGACAGGAAGAAAGTAACAATAACTTTATTTATTATAATTGGTAATTTAAAAAGGATACTAAATATTTTCTTGCAACATCGAACAACACAAGCCAGCTTGTCTTGAGGAGCTCTTTTAGTGTTTATCTCAACAAGATCTTTTAATAAAAATTCAACAAATATAAAGTATTATGATTTGGTTATTTAAAATGAAGTACACAAAAGTACAGTCATGTCTTCAAATTGTTTTAAAAATATAAATGATGGAACTAAAATCAAGTGATCATTATTGGTATTAATAATAATAATAATAATAATAATAATAATACTTAGTAATAATAATGAAATGATCAAAAATAAAAATAAAAAAATAATAATAACAATAATAATCATAATCATTATTAATATCATTAAACAAAACTGTCTTGAGCCTGAAGGAAACAATCTGGACAAAACCACACAATTTGGCAATTCTGTCAATGTTTCTGATTAAAATCCCAGATTTTGGAGACTAAAAAAAATAAATTTAAAGGTAATAATGAAAACCAAGCTTGAGATAAGCATTAACCTTGCTGTGAATCTTCAATCAACTGCTGAACCTTCTCATTGTCAGGATTAATAGCAGCATCAAGATGTTGAGGAGATATCCAGTTAAAACTTCGAATTCTCTTTTGATTTGCCAAGTCTCTTGTTTCATCATCAGTAGAGGGTGGACAGAAAACACTGAAAACAGGAAATTGTTTATCCTTAATTAGACTGAAAACTTGTCTGAATTTTTGTGTCAGTCAAGAATGCAAGAATTCACATGAAGGTCTGATGTCAAAACTGCAAGAATTTCATTCTGGTGATTAGCACCTTGCAAAACTAATTCTTATAAAACGGGACTGTTAAATTGCAGTCTAATACTTAAAATTGTCGATATTTGTACACTTTTGGAAGGCGCAATCACCAAATGAAAATTTTAAAAATGAGCTTGGAAAGATACTGAACGTCATGCACACTACACTGCAATAATTTTTATTGTTAAACAATAATAAACTCCAATAACACCAAGAAACAACGGATCATTATACGTTTCTGGGAAACTGCCCACCTACTCCTCCCTTATAAGTCAACATTAACACTTACTTCTCACTCAGGGCAAAATGTTGGCTTAGGGGAGGAGTAGGTGGGTACTTTCCCAGAAACATATATTGATCCGAAACACCCAGGAGATGGGATCCTAACAATACACAGACTTTAACAAAACCAAAAAAAAAGCTATATTATAAAAACTAACAACAGTGTTTCAACTGATACCTGGGCAACTCAAATATAAGGTTCAAAAAACTTGGCTGTACAGTTGTACCTACTTTTTCCTACTTGCTCCTCAAGATATGAGATAAAACATTCCCTCTTAAGTTTAATACCAATTGTATTAATTGTATTTTGAGAACCCAACCTCAAATAAGCACCCATCCTGTAGGGAGGGAAGTTAATAAGTGCCCAGCATTGAATAAGCGCCCACCCCCACCCTCCCTCCGCCACCGAAAAAAAAACGAAAGTGGACAAGAAGATTGTTGGTTATTATTTCCTTTTAGTGCCCAAACTGCTTCTTGTCAATTGGCCCATTTGTATATTAAGTTAATTTTAACGCAAACACTACTTGCTTACAACAAATCACAGTATTGTTCAAGCTGCTCAATAATAAACTTACACTCTGTAGAGCTTGGTCATGATATGCTTTTCTACACCATCCAAAGTTCTATCAATGGCCTCTGGAGGTTGGTTTTGGAACAGAGGGTGGGATTGAAGATGTTCAGACATCGCCTAAAAAGGTCATGATTTGTACATGGTCAGTAAAAGTGAAGTCACTATTGAACACCAGGATACACAGGTCTCCAGTATCTGATTGGTTTCTTGGAAATGTTATTAGATTGAAGTGCAGTGCTTATTCTATTGCTTCTTTTGAAGTTACTTGTTTTTTAAAAGCCATGGCCAGAAACGTCAGTCAAAAGGTCATAACAGTTTAATCAACTGTTATGACAGTTTGAAGATGGCAACTACATGTACATGAATATTCTATTGCGGATCCATGTCCTTTCTACCCTTTGTGACGTCATCAGTTTTAACGGTACTTGAAGAGTCTTTCAAACCATACCAGAATGAGCACAATTCATGGCGGAGAAAGAAGCAAAAACCACGTGACAAGGACCTGAAAATCTCCATGAAAATCTTGTTCCATTACCCACCTAAACCTAATCCTAAGATCCTAAAACTTTCCTAAAAGTTTCCCACCAAAATGAAGCCTACTAAATGCCCAGCAAGAAAAAAAAAAATGAGGCAACGAAAAAAGAAGGGAGGAGAGAAAGTTAAAAGAAAAGTCAAGACTGCTGTGTCACTTTTAAACCCAAAAATGCATGCCCGAACTTTGCAAGCTGATATTTTGATCTGGCTCAGAATAATTAATAAACGGTTTTGGTAAGTTTTAGCTCTTTATTGACCAGAAAACCATGCTTCAAAATTACGCAAAATCTCCAGGAGTAATGGGAAACCATGGGTCCCATTGTTTGAAAGGTGGATATAACGCTATCCATTGGATTCACCTCTATCTAGAGGATAAACTGGTTCACTGCTGGATAGAATTTATCAGGTGTATAGCACTATTCAATGTTTGAAACACCAGGGCTTGATATTTACAGTTTGGTGCATGGTGATTTTTAGTGAATTTTATGGGGTAAAAAAAGTTACTTTATAGTACTCACCCCATAAAAATCATGCACCATTTCACTCTGCTGGTCCACACTGAGTGTAGGATTGTTTAACATTCTTTGGACAAATCTGAATAACAACAAACACAGTAATGCTCCACTGGAAAATTTTGAATTTAGACTCTTGAAAGTGTGTATTCCTTGATTGGAGGACGAAAATGGACTTAAAATCTATGTTTTTGTTTGAATAAACATGTAAAAAAAGAGAAAAATTGCTGTTGTTAGTGCTTGGTGGACTGACTTCGGCTGACATATAAAAAAATTACTTATACCAAGATTCTCGGAATCATCTTGTCTTGCTCTTTTTGGGGAGCTAGGTAGTGAGCTTGCAAACCCAAACAGTAACAAAATGGTAATGACAATAAAAAATTCACAAAAATACATGTAAGAGGAATACAAAACTGTCCATGAGGTGTAAGTAATGTATGCCAAGTATATTGTCTCTAGGTGTCCCGATTTATGTCTGGTATGGATAAAGGGTTTCCATCGACCAAGCACTTTAATCAGCTAGACTGGGAGGCCCTCAGCTCCCGCAGTGGTAGCAGCTCTGATGCAAAAGCTGTGCGATGTGAGCGGGGAAGGTACTGGCCGTCTGAGAACTGGAGCAGAGGCTGAGCGGCTGGATGTGTACTTGTCTGGAGGAGGTATTCTCTTAATGCAGTAACAGCACATATGAGTGCTTGAACTTACAGCGATAGAAGAAAGTGCCAACTGTGAGGGCATATAGCATAATATAGAAGGCAGAGTGCCAAATAAGGAGATGCCATGTGGGGTAAAACTGCAGTGATCTGGAGGCTCACAGGTTATTGCCTGCAAACATTAACTTCCATTTTACGCTAAAATATCATTAATAATAATTGATCATAACAAGAAATAACTATACCCACAGGACAGAGAGAAGAAAATAAAAAGAAAATTTATAAAAAGACGAGTTTGAAACTCACACTTTGCACTTGTCATTAACATCTTGAGCAGCCGGCTTCTTGAGGGTCTTCAGAAACTCACGGAAACCAGCAGCAGCCTTGGGAACCTCCACTACAATGTAAAAAAAAGTCTGAGTTAATAATAATATAAAAAACTGTCAAATTAATGAATGAAAATTGACAGTGTTAAGATCAAACTGGACAAAGTAATGTCTAAAAACAAACCTCGAGAAGTGTTTGTCACACTCATATAACAAAAACTAATGCATTAATTTGCCTATGAGAGATAACTTAGGTAAGATGCACTTTTACAATGTATACAGTGTATGCTTTTATAAATTAAAGGTAAAGTTTGTGTCTTGTTCAAGATGCATCTTACATGTATAGGCAAGTTGCATTTTCCCCAAGTAAATTATGGCCCTCTTACTATCATCAGTGTAGCATAGAATAATATTTTGCCGTGTTTACCTGGTGATGGAGTAAAGTTAGCAGCTGGGGAACCATCTGGTAAAACACTTCTACCAGGACTCTTTTTGAATAAGTTCTTTACACTCTGCCTGTTTGAATAAAAAAATTAAACCCTTTAATTTCTTAGCTCCGAAAAGTGACTTGAACCTCCCGGCCATTTACAATCCTGAACTGGGAATACAGTACATAATATAAACTTTCTGTTACAATGTACGTAAGCTGACATTTTAGATCACGGATGAAATTCAAACGATTCAAATGAAATATTAAATTTTGTTTTAAATTGTTGCTCTGTGTTTTGAAGTTTGTATACTAAAAATTTCGTTTATCCTTATACTACATGTGACACAGCAAACACTGCTAAACCAAACACATAGGTCACTGGAAAAAGGAAATGTTCAAGAAGTGAAAATTATGTCCTGATTGCCTTGTTTATTTATCACAGGAAATGTAGGGAAAAAGTGAAGAGAATATGCATGCTGATACTAGGGTTTCAAGATCCACATGCCCTCCTATCAATAATAGCTATACACTGTACATAGGATAATAATTTCAAGGCTATCACTTAAGATTCCAAGTTACCCGGTATATAGGTAATTACTAGGCAGGGCATTGAATAGCTGGGAAGTTCTTTTGGTTACATTTTCCTTTTTGTTTTCTTGGAAAGTAGCCCAGGGTCATGCTGATTGTAGAGAGGGAAAATTCCCAGGTTTCTTGCCCTGATTAAAAGCCCCTGTTGATCGATACATGTTAATTTTGTTTCCTTGATTAAAATCATTGTACATAATGATATTACATGATTTATGGTGGTTTCAAAGAAATAATATTACAGGTCAAATTTGATTTCAGGCTAACAGTTCTTTACCTAGGTTGATTCTCAATTTCCTTTGTCTTGTAGGACTAGGAGTCAATCAACCTCGGTTAAATCAAATTAACCTGAAATCAAATTTGACCTATAACATAAAATTTATAAGCAAAGTGAAAAAGTACTTAACAAAATTTTGGCAGCCTTTGTTTGAATATTATTATTTATCTAATGGTCTGCATTTATGTTCCTTTTTATGTAAAAATTTACTTCAGTCTCACTTACTTTTTTGACTCCAACTGAAATTTCTTCTTTTCTTCAAACTTATTAAACTTTAGCTTTCCAGTTTCTTCAGGCTCCTCTCGTGCAACTAAAAATGAAAAAATACTGCTCTGAGCCAGATCTGATGATAATGTCATTCTAATGTAAGTGCACATGTAATCACCAGAAACCCAAGCTCTTCAAGTATGCTTAATCAAGACACTTGAGTATATATCACTAGGAATGAACTCTGGACTGGACCCTAGACTTTTGATCAAACACTAAAGACTATTCTAGGGAAAACTGTTCCAAAATATGTTGTGGTTCATTTTTATCCTAGGTTCAAGGTTTTTTTTGTTTTTTATTTTTGGGTGGTACTGTACATTTGTACAGCTATGATGAGTCAAAAGTATGGGGTCAGTTTAAAAATAAGAAACAGAAGTAAATTTACAATGTACATGTTTACTCTTGACTTCAGATCATGAACTGTGAATATCATGTACAAAACATTTTATGACTAAAAAGAATAATTATTGTCATCATGAAGGCACCAACATAAGCAAATTCCATCAAATTTGAAGAAATTTCACAAGCAAAACATGTTACAAGTTCACATGGCTTTGCCATTGTTAATAACTAGTCATTGTTTCTAGTCATGTATTATATTCTCACTACTTGCTCAATATACATTGAAAAAACTATTTTTACCTTCAGCACGTAAGTTTTGAGAGCCTCCTGCAAGGGCAGCTTCTCTGCTCTGTGATGCAGCACGTGCTCTTTGCTGTTTTAGATATACTTCACGATAACACACTGAACAGTAACCTTTCCATGCTGGGTTGCCATAGAAACCACAACTGTAAAGTTTTAACCATACTCGTTAACACCTCATTCATAATTTCCTATATTTAGAATTATTATATATTCTACTCACTATCTGTCTTCTCATTGGCCAAGAGCCTACAGATAATTTTGGAAATCAGTGCAACATACAGATTAGTTAGTTATCTGCTAGCAGGTTAGTGATTAATCTGTAGGTTGTGCGCACAATGCATGATTTAAAAGAGCAATGTCAAACCGAGTTCCACGTGATGCTGTTTTTGTCCTTATTTTCTTCAATTAAACAATGTATAATAAAGAAACTATTAGATTTGGTTTTTGTGATATCCAGAACAATCAAGGTCTCGCTAAGTGTTATCAGCTGCAGCCGTTGACTCAGATGATTTAACACTTACCTCAACCTTGATTATTCTGGATATCACAAACACCAAATCTAATAATATAGTTTTTAAAATAACTCCTGGTGACAGATGGAATCTATGAGTTAATCACACACTGATAAGGTACATGTGCACAGAATGATTTTTGTTTTTTTCTCTTATTGCTAAACTAAACTTTTCTCTTTCTGAAAATTGCAAAAATAAATTTCCAGCAAGAAAAACCAGTCTTAAACAATTACATCAATTAGTTCCTACAAAAATACAAATAATAGCTGATCTGAAAACTTAAACTGATGCAAAAATTTCATGCCACTTGGTGGCCATGGTCCTAAAGAAACACAAACACTACATTTTTAACACCCTCCCCATCCCACACCCCAAAGGATAATTTGTTCTAGTTCTAATCCAGTCTGTTGAAATTTAATACAGTCGAGCCTCCACTTATGGCCACCTCTCTGTAACGGCAACTTTTTTTAGTCCTAGCGAGCAGTCCATACATTGACTCTTGTTTAAACTTCTCTGAAATAGCAAAGGACACTAAATCATGTCCCCAACAGCCAAAAAAAGCCTCTTGACAACAGCCAGTTGTTTCATCAGCGACTAATGAAAATGTCAAGAATAGTTGTGAAATTTGATTCGTATGGCACGTTGATGATTAATCGTGGCATGCAATCATATTTTGATTGTGTTCCATCTATACTGCTGCAGTACGCGTAAATTGTCTAAGATACTTCTAGGGATATTGCAAACCTTGCTCGTTCTGTCACGTTAACACTTTGATTCAAAACATTATTCACGTTTTTTTGTGAATTTCATTGCTATCTATTATATATGATTAGATTACCATTATGGGAAGAAAAATATACAGCAAAGGCATGAAATCCATGTTCCCAAACAAATAAATAATTTGTTGTGGTTTCACCAGTTTGCTAGTGGAAAAAACCCTTACCATAAAACTTTGCAAGTTTTCTAAAAGATCTGTCCCCAAGGTGGCTATTATATATGATTGGATTACCCTTATGGGGTTCGACAGTTATCATGAAGGAGATCACAATAAACAATTTATTTTAACCACCATAAATTTGTTCTGTCCCCAAGGTGTGATTGTGGGGTTCGACAACATCATCAGTAAAAAGCAATTGAAAAGGTGTTTCTAAAAAAATGAAGATCTATCTTAATTTGCGTTGTTACAGTTACGTGTTAAGCTATGGTTTGCTTTAGACAACGCTAAGAAGAAGCAAGTTACACAACTACACGACGGAAATCACATGATGGTCCTTCATTTCCGGCGAAGCGGGCACGATGTGTAGCAGCCGATAGGCAGTTCATCATTCCATGCACCTTTGCCACGATCTATTCAAACACTCACCAAAGGTTATGTTTCATATTTCCTCACGAACAACTGGGCTAACAAAGGCCTTTTTACAAGAATGGAGCTTAAAATGCAGGGATGGAAAGCATCAATCTACCTTGCAGTTGTTTTAACATCCATCATTCAGCCTCACAGCTGAGCTTAAAGCGCTGCGTTCAAAATCTCAGAATAAAGAACGACTGGAGGTAAGCAGCTTTTTACAATAACAAAAAGTACGATATAGTTTTCGTTTGCATTAGGTTCCGTGAAGATAGCTTAAGACCGTGAAGACAAATAAGACTACTGGCAGGTTAAACTGCCAAACAATCGAAGATTTCGAAACCAACAAGGGAAATGACTCACCCGGTTTTACAGCGAAGTTCAGGGTTGTTTAACCTCTCGTAAATTTTCGACCGTGTTTTACCACGATCCGCCATAGCCTCGTGGCTATCAGACCTCGTTAGAAAAGGATCTGACCAAAGACATCTACACGCAATAACGTCCCATCGACAGAAACGATGACCTCGCCATTTTGTTTGGAATGTTTGTACCAATTGAACGAAATCGAGAAGAACTGGTAACTATTGATACGCCTGGTGAACAAGTACTGGTAACTAGTTTAGTCACATGTCAGATAAGGTCAGATCAATAATTGACTAACAATGACTAGACAATTATTTGAGGTGATAAAATTTTTATATTGTTAGTTACAACTCTGCTCCTAATCATATTTTTTTTATTGGCTTTTGGTTCGTCCTTCCATCCTTCCGAATCCCCCTCAGCAATACTGAGCCGAAAGGACCTTACTCCGTCCAACATCGTTTGATTTGGGAGCGGGGGGAGGTCGCTTATGTTACTATTATGAGGAAAGACACAACACTTTTGTCTTCCATAGAAAATGTTAAACGTGGGTCCTAAACGTTGAAGACCATGACTTTATAGCGATCAAGCCAGTTTTTTCAATAATCTTTAGTGCCCAGGTTATCTTGAATCTTTATTACCTAACTATCTCCTCCCACATTTCATTATTTGCTGAAAAACTATCATCATCATCATCATCATAGTTATCATTATTGCTATTATTATCATTATTATTGTTGTTGTTTTAAGCCGTCAGATCCTCCCACGTAGCTGCTTATATTTTAGTATTTTCCCCTTTTATTTTTTTAATAGCTCAAAATCTAAATTTACGTCATGAGATGCCACAAAATGTCATTTATGTTAACAGTAAAATCTGTAAATGGTTATAGCCCAATGTCGTTTCCCTTTTTATTCACAAAGTATTTTTACTTGTTACTTTATCCCACCCCTCGCCTCCACTTCTTTTCTTACTCAAGTAACTGAGGTGAAAATACTTCGACAAAAGCCGGGCCACTTCCAATCAGACCAATGCTTCGTCTAGAACAACTAAGGTGTTCTTTACAACAGTTTATTTACAAATGGCAGCGACGTTGATGTGCAGACTAACATCCGAAGAGGGCTCCCTCAACAAGAAGTGTCGGCTGATACATTTTCATTCTGTGTTACTCAGACATACAATAGTTGTCCGCGTTCAAATTGCTTATATAGGAGAAGATTGCCTTCTTCGTGACCTCGGTTACACTCCAGTTACTTCAATCGCCATTTATTGGCAGAGTGAAGATATGGCGAAAGTTTCATTTCGTGTTATAAAAAATCTTAACGCGCCCAGGTGCACCGCCCGTCTGTTAAGCCCCCACGTTTATAAAACCCCTCACCACATTTGGCAGAAAAAATGAGCAACTGGGCGCTTATTTGAGGAGATAAGGCATTGATAGCCTGTGAGAGCATTCAACAAGGGGTCTTCAGCAAACACTATACGATCGGGATATACTTTAACAGACTCTTTTATTTCAAGTGAAAATTAAAGTAACATTACATATACAAATGTCCTTGCTTTTTCCCTTTGATAAAGCCTTTAGTACTTCTGATACGTGTTGAGTTCATGCATGGCAAATCAGCAATTTCTTCTTAAAATAATCCATTAGTAAGCGTCCTTCCTTATGCTGACATCGTATGAAACGCACGGAGTAGAAAATTTAAAAAGCAGGAAATACAAACAATGGTCGCTTGCAAAAATGAGCAATATATTTTGTCCGCAGACTAGGAACTACTTTAAAAAACTTGTACTATCGAAATGCAACTTTTTTAGAAGAGAGACAAAAAGCTCAGTGAATGACTTTATTGTTGAATTGCATGGCTGTCCGCCCTTGTTTGTACTTCTGCTACAATTATAATGGCAGTACTGGCCATGACACTCATGATAATACAGATCCAAATTTTAGTGTTGATGCGTAGTGATGCATTCAAGAAACCTTGGAGCAGTGTTGTTGAGACGAAGGACTGATCCGTAAGGCTGGCAGTTTGTACGGCGACAGTTTTCTTTGAAGTAAAATTCTCCACTTAGGCATATCATTTTCGTTGTGAACAAGGAGTACGTAAGCATGTCTCAGAAAGAAACTAGTATGTTCAGGCTCCCTGTCAATCGGAAGATTGAAAATATAAGCGTCTCAGGTCAACCGTATAGCCCCGGACTATAGCCTCGGGACTTTAGTTCCGAGTTAGAAAGAAAAAGTACATCTAAACAAAATCTCGTCAGTTTGTGATCTAGGCATATTGGATTAAAGCCAGAATTGTTGCTTGAATTGGCACCCTTCTAAATGATCATTTAACCACAGTCAGCCCCTTATCCGAGCCTGCATCTAGCCGTGTTGTTCGGACCAGTTTGCGTCACTGCACTGAATTGGAAGGGTTGCTGGAAAAATAAACAAAACATGCCTTTACTGAATGACGTAGATTTGATACTAATGAACTCGTTTTATGTCTGAGTTGGGTCATTGATTTTATTTACCGAAAAAATAAGACAAACACAAAACATACACACACAAAGAAAAAAACACAAAACACTTGAGGCTAAAAGAGGCCCCCTAAAATTATAGCGGTAACGAACCATTAAAATAATGTTGAGCTTTTTCAGCAGGTAAAGTTAAGGTGCTCTGATGTCTACTGTGACTTACGGACTCGTCCACGTATAAAAAAAATTATCAATTTCTTCTCTCGGATAATCAATTTGCGCCTTAATTTTATCGTACCTTTCATTGTCCTTTTACCTTGAAACGTTTAAATAGCTAATCATACCTTCGTCGCAGCAAACACAGTGACTTTCAACTGCTAGCCTCCTATTCTCATTCCCTGGCATTGTTAGGCGACAGATTCTTCTATAAATCATCTGGGTAAAGCGACAAACGTTTGCGAAAACGAGCCTGGAAATTCCAAATAGACGCTGAATACATCTTAAAACTCTGTTGATAGATGACATTTTCTTGAATTGATTCTAACCAATGCAACCTTATAATATCAGCAAAGGACACGAAATTACAAGTGTTTTCGAGTTTTGCAGACAAAAATCGTTATTTATGATAGTCAGGCTATCCGTGGGCCCGGTTAGTAACATTCATTAAACTTCCACTGACGTAACACTGAATTGGCGCCAATAGTAACAATTAAGTTAGTCACTCAAGCGTTATGGTAATATAAAGCCGCTTATATTATCGATAACCGAATTAAAAATGCGTCCTATGATCGAAAGCTTTGTCAAACTGCTGAAACTAGTGTCTGAATTACCGGAAAGTTTAATTTTAGTTTTATTAGTTGCATTGCTCTCTCCTTCTGCATTATTGATTAAATTCCCTGAGTCTTTGTTCATTTCTCATGAAAGAAACGATCACTTTCCCTTAAGAAGCATCAGAAACGCGACCGAACATATTCCTACCCTGATGACGCAGTTTAGCGTCAGTTGATACTAAAATATAAACTACCTTAACTACTGAACTTGCAAAACTAAACCTACTGCCTCCTAATTATTACGCACTGCACGCATGTTAATTTCACGCACAGAAATAGTGTATATCGCTGAGCCATTGACCCAACAGGAACAGAGCAATATCACCAAAGCTCCCTTTAACCTTTAGTTAACAACACCTTCCAAGACCGATCCTAAGCTTGTTTGAATAATCGGTTGTTAAGACCTCGATTGGCCAAAGAGGTACACAGACAATTTTTCATTTTTTGAATAAGTGTTGCGCATTAAGGTAAGAAACAAACCTGATTTTAACTCTGACAATCAGTTCCAACACTTAAGAGTCCAACACAAAATAGCGTAGTTTGAAAGTTCAAGTTTTCAATTTTATCAGTGTATGTTTTTTGAAGTGTTCAGAAGGTTGTTCATTTCAAGGTTTTTTAATATTGTCTTTAATAGCTACGTGTGCTAACGACAAGTGTGTTGCCCGTATCGAGTAATACCAGTGATCAAGTTTACTCAAGCGTTGTGGTACAATACAATACAATACAAATTTTATTGTCAACTCCCCATGGGGGCTTTTCAGAGACAAGTATTAATAGTACAGGTAATCAAAAAAAGAAAAAAAAAAGTATCACAAATTGATTATCAATAAACTATTAAGAAACTATTGATTTTAACTCTGGTCTCAATAAACTATTAAGAAACTATTGATTTTTACTCTGGTCTTGTAGCGGTGAACTGCAAACCTTCGAAATGGTTGGAAAAAATATCAATGATATACTCTTTTGTAGCGGAGTTAGAAGTAAAATGAAAAGGAAACCAGCACGGTATGAACTGACCACATCAGCGTGACTGGTTTTCTTATAAATAAGCGCCGTGTTTAAAGGTAAAGTTACACGGGACGATTCGCAACGACGATTTTTAGCGCAACACAGCGTTGCAATGTTGGAACAATGTTGGAACCATTCGAAACAATGTTGCAACGCTGTGTTGCGCTAAAAATCGTCGTTGCGAATCGTCTCTTGTAACGTCGCCTTAAGATATAACCGCAAGTTTGAAGTAAGCATTTGTAAGATTCATTACGATGATAACGCAGAACGGAAACCTGTGTTTGGTGTACTGATCAGTGATTGATGTTTATAAAATGCATAATATCAGTTTCAATATATAAAATGTTTAATCCTTCATTATGTCTGAGTTGCCTTACGTGTTAAAGACGCTCCAGTTAAAAAGCCGAAGAGGCCCCTTGTATCAAGTAATTAAAGAATTAAAAGCAGTAACAACGTACAACGAAAAACAGAAACATGCGGATTGTTTTCTTGAACAACGAACTGATTCTAGAGTAAGACTAGTTTAATGTTAGAACCATGTAAAAATAGTGTATTTATTTTCGGATCATAAATAAGTTTCAGTTTCTGACCGAGGTACTCTAATATTGCGCATAAAAACCGGCTTAAATAATGCGGTTGTTTCTATTCCGTGATAATCACGGTCTCTTGATTTTCTTGCTATTCTCTAAATCACTTTTAACTATGGGAGCGTGAAGGATATTATCTTTCCTTAGACGTATAAAACAAATCTGTTCCTTAAACTACTGATATTAAATGATATTTTCTTCGTTCCTCAAGTGATTTTCCATTTTAGAAATCATGTGATTGGAAATATCTTTGACATGACTGTACATGACCGTACATGGAACCAGTTCAGTGATCTCCATTTACGCCTTC